TTCAACTAAAGCACGATAAGTCATAGGGCACATGGCATGCTTAACGATTGGGCTGAGACATTCTTAGCTCCGACGCAAAGTGTAGGCCAACCACAGAGGCCGCATCGAAATCCATAGTCAGCTGCTCTCCTTCTAGGCATTCGTCTTGATTAGTGACATACTGGGGGGGAAATAATAACGGAAATGAAAAATCAAATGATCCGAGCTTGTCAATGCACAAGGTGCCAACAGAAGGCCATATTTGTTGTTACTGGAAGCCTCAAGTTATAGACGAATCAGATTGAAGCCAGAGTATATATCTAGGCAACTGGAAATCTTTTTTATCTCAGAAATGCGAAGGAAGTAAAAATTTGGCCCAGAGTGTTTCTACAAAAGAGGCGTAGCGGCGTCAACGGTGTCTTCTTAGTCAATAGTCACGTACTTATTGTCTGAGCTACGCAATTGAAGAAGTCGGCAGGTATCAGTGCGCATGGAATTCTGGTGAAAATTCTTTGTGGCAACGCTATACTGCGAACGTTTTGGAGGTCAAGATCATTACGTTAAAAGTTCCGCATATGCTTATCAACGGCCTTTTATTTCTGCACATTGATGCCTATTCCATTCGCGTCATCCAGCGTAAGCTGTGGAACGATTCACTTCTAAATCTGCCATCTAAAACTAGCGTTTACTTGGGTCGCATGACGTTGCCTTGGCAGTCGACCACGAGGCTGGTTTGGCCCCCCTTCTCAGGAAAGGAAAACAACACAGAAGATACTGTGGACAGAATTAAGCTTGCATTAGTACACAGGATCTTGTTATTATTACGAATTCGAGCGATGACTTGACGCTTCTTTTCGACCCGTTTTCGCTAACATCTACGGCTTACCTTCGACAAGTGTCGGCCAATGTAAATGCTTTCACCAACGATAATTGGTGTATTGATCGAATATTCGCCGGGATGCTGCATCTTGAAAAGAGCCTGTGGATCACTTTGACTAAAAGAATGAGCCGCTGTCCACGTTGGTCGATTTTGTCATACGGCATTTCATGGCCAAGCCGATCTGCAGCCAGTGGAAACTTGTGTAGTGTCGCATACAGGTCGAAACAAGCGGCAGGGAGAACGAGAGTTAAAAGCTTGCTATAATCTCACCCTCAAAATATTTCCCGTTCATTCGAGCCGGTAGCATATCCACGCTTGACCGTAGTTCAATCGTCATCAATGAATGCGAGTATCGCTTTGCTTAGCCCAGTGTCCAATGCTAGCATCAGTGAGATGCCAAAGAGAGAATCAACCAATGCACAGACAGAATCATCCGTGCTGTTTAGCCGTCAACTTTACCTGTCAATCTCTCCTGTCAACTTTTCAATTTTGGCAATCTCACTGACTGAGCCAATGCTCTTTAAGATCCTGCCACGACACCACTGAAAGCTGCCCAGTCGTCTTTAGCCGGCTTATCACCATCACAAGTACATTAACGGATAAATGATCCAAGGACCCATGCCTTGTAGACATTATGTAAGCGGAAAGATGCGAAAAGATGCGAAAAGGCTATTGCAAAGACCCACAGACAAGGTAAGGCGCTCACTCATCAAATCTCAATATCAATACTTCGATTAGGGCCCAGCCGTGATGGCAACACCTTTTTTTCCCTCTGTCGATCAGCTGTAGTATGTCGGGCGCGAAATGACGAGCTTCTATCTGGTTCTCGTATTGATCGTGATCTGCATTTCCTCCTTCCCCAGGTGAATTGACGCGATTTTCTTCAATTCGTCGTTGGGGGTGCCACGAATAATTGGCATGATCCCAGGAGAGAACCCCGGTCCTTCATCCTGATTGGGATTGACAAAGAACGCCATGACAACACGTTAAGGCGATTATTCAGGGGAACGACAGGGTTGTGCCGCATAGCAGCCCCGAATTAAGTGCCTTTGTTGGGTATCCATAATTACGAGCCAACTTCGGCTAGTGAAATTTTCCACACTTTTTGGATAATCGGGTCAAGCGGCATGCATCTGCTCATCTCCGCGCGCAGCTCCGCGGCCAGGATCCGTCCAACAGGAAAAAATAACTTTGGGTTAGTCACATTGCCATGTTGCATTGAGTATCTCTGTCTCTCTCTGCTCTGGCCGTTGCGGAAGTCGGCCACCAAAGCCACGGGTGCGAAGCAGAGCGCGCACCTTCACAAACATGAACTCCAGACATTGTTCGAGGCGCGAAGTAGATGGAGGGAGTCCAGTAGCAACACTTCAACATTAGTTATAGTCTATAAACCTTTAATCTTTATCATGCTCATGCCGGAGCGACGCCAGACATCCCATCCATTTTTTTTATATGGTATAACCCTCTATATCCCATCCCAATGCGCATCGCCGGTGATCGCTACATGGTACTTTTTCTCGTTCGTAGCAGTGCGGTGTTGGTATCATATCGGTCAGAAATCACTCTTAAAAGAAACAAGATTGCCGTAGTAAGGGAGGCGAGGCAATCCGCTTAGAAGAGCATGTAGGCGGCAACGGCAACGGAGCCGAAGATGGCGAAGGTGGACTTGATGGCAGAAGCGCTGCTGGGGGTGGTGGTAGAGGTGCCAGAGGCGGCGGCGCCAGTAGCAGTGCCGGAGGCGGAACCGGAGGCGGATCCTGAAGCCGAGGCGTTAGAGGCAGCAGTTCCGGAGGCAGAGGCAGTGGCGGTGCCAGTGGTCACGGTGGTCAGGCCAGAGGCAGTCTTGGTGACAGAGGCGGTGGCAGAGGCACCGGTGGCAGTGCCGGAGGTAGACGCACCAGTGGCAGAAGCAGTGGCGCTGGCAGAGGCAGAGGCAGAGGTGGACTTGTCATCGGAGTCTAGAGATAACTCGTTAGAACATGATATTGCTTTCCGGCTTTCAAGACAAATCACTTACCATCAGCAGTCAGGGAGAACTGCTCAGACTGGGCCAGGATACCAGTGTTCTGGGGGTCGGTGGAGAGGAAGTTGATGCGGTAGCCAGAGCCAGCGGTGGCCTTGATGCCCTTCAGCTCGTACTTGCCATCGGAGGTGTTGACCTTGGCGACCTTCTCGGTGGTCTCGCTGCCTCCAGACTGCTTGACGATGACGATCTCGAAGGAAGAGGGGTCAGTGTTGACGGAGTCCCAAGTGATGGTGTTGGTCTCGGAGACGTCCCACTCGTCACCCTTGGCAGGCTGGGTAACCTTGATAGCCTCGGCGGCGGCGAGGAGAGCGGTGATGGCGATGGCGGTCTTGGAGAACATTTTGTCGGTGGGTTGTTGGAAAATTAAGTTAGAAAAAGGGTAAATTTTTTTGGAGTTTTGTGGCGTTTTTTGGTATTAGAATAAGTATTGAGTCTTGAGCGAGTGACTAGAACGAACGGTTCAAATTTGGTGAATCGGTAAAGAGTTGATTGAACGAACAGGACCATCATCCAAGATTGAGCATTACCCATCAAGCTTTATAAACTGGCCACCCGCTGGTTGACCCCGGTCGATTCCTTTACGAGTCAGGCCTGTTGTCCGCACCCCCCCTAGCGACCCCCACCGCCCCATCTCGTATGGAAAACCGAACTTCAGAAATTTTAGATTACTGTTAAGCATGCACCGCCAGCCCGTCGTTTTCTTTGGTTACCAGTGACGTCTGTCGTTCCCTGTTACAGGGCGCGCGAAGGAGCACCTCTAACCTCCACCAAAACCTCGTAACCACGGATGTGCCCACCGGTGTTCCCGAAGCGGCCACTCCCAGTGCTACCAATAAGGTTCGGTGTTGAATGAAAATAAAAACGGGATTTGGTTGGGGAAACTTTGCCCACATACGAAGCTTCGTCAATCCTTCAGTATCAAAGAGGGCCGGGTTTCCTCCACGCGTGAGCTTGAGTCACCAATCACAAACGCGCCATTGCTATCATCCCATTCACCAACATACGACGACATGGAGCACTCAAGGGTCACCATTGTTGAACAGTTATTGACAGGCTAAAATAAGCAACTACCTAGTACGGATGTGGTTGCAGTGGTACCTTACATGACGAGCCGTCTCCGCTCGGCGCTGATTTCCACTCCAGGAGATCTAGTGTGGTAATAGCAACGGGGTCGCCTCGCCAGGCTCTCCAGACTTTTGGCTGGGATACAGGCCGCCGAAGCCTTCACGCGGGTTGTAAAAATTCCCCGCCCATGCTTCGGTGGGCTTTCTCGCAGTGGGCTCTTCATCGCCTTCTCCGTCATTGGACGCCTTGCTCACCTCCAGGGGGAGGGGAAAATATTGAAGTCGCCAGAAGAATTGGCGGGTTGGAGTTACCACTCCGTATTTCCTCCTTATCTTGAACCAATAACCCCTATCATCGGCGTTCATATCCTGGTATCGACACTTTCGGCCGAGCATTTCAGCCCAATAACAAAGGGGCTTGCTTACCTTACGGAAAGCCTGTCAGGTCGCGTAGTACACATGATTTTTCCTTCCCCTTTGACGGCGATCAGTGGCAACGGCCCCTGGTCATTTCGTGAACGGACCGCGAGCTTGTCAACAGAATTGACGCCTAACAGCAGCTTTGCCTTTCTAGTGGACACCGCCAAAAGCTGGCTCAAAAGTTCCGACAGCGGAACTCCTGACAGTTTGATTTCCAGAAGTCGCCTCAACGGCTCTTGGCATGTCAGATCATCTGTCTAGTAATCGTACAAAGTGATTGATACAGACATTAGATGATATCTTTGTGTGCTGAGTTAAGCATACACACAACTTGCCCTGCGCCGTCCAGCCCGGGGCTTGCGGATCGAAGTCCTCTGACGGAGCAGTGAAAACCAAGGGGGGAAATAACCTGTATCGTCACTCATATAGCTGATGACAAACCAGTAATTGCTTAGCCTAGCATAGCATAAAAATGGGGGAATTATCGACAACACAGTCGGCTCCCTCATCAGCCCTCCCCAGCCCTTGCTTCTTTGGGTGGAGACAGTGGCCAAAGCGACCCAGCGAATTTCCAGTTCCGCGGTACTCGGAAGCAAGCGGATGGGGCCGATGATGCAAGTCTTACATTCATGGTGAACAATAACGCAGGTGAAGGTCACACCCGCACATAACGAAGAAAACAGCCATGGCCCTAAATTGACGTTACTTTACCCTGCAGTATTACAGGGCACTGCTTGCCAAGTGCGGTGATTATTAACGGCCGTTTTTTATCGAACTCTGTAATGTGAGGATTACCTACAGGTCTAACATCACTTTTTGACTCATGCTGATGTGAGTATTGCACAGAAGCCAATGTCGCAATGGCACCTACTCTTATTCAACAGCACCGTGGCGTCAATTTGTATTTTAATACGGATACCATTAACAGAATCAAATCAAAATGTGCTTATAGTATGCCAACTGTATAAAGTCTCCAGACAGCTTTCATACATGACCTTGAACACGGGCACAAGGTAACCGTACTCATGCCATATAAGTAGGTACAAAAAGTGAAACCTCTCATAATTCCGGCCTCGCGGATTATACCATTCTAGATCTAATCATGAATACTTCACTTCCAACAAATCCACGAGACCTGTCATCACTTTATTCGGCTCCCGTTCATGTTGACAGACTATGACTTTTATCCTAGTCCTTTAACCAGTCTAGTTCCAATCATCGCGGCCATGATTGATCTGTGTGGCATGCCAGGGGCAGAACTCTTGGCCGTAAGGAAAGGTGGTGCCTTTCAAGCCCTCAAACAAAGAAACCCACATTGAGCCTTGATCTGCTCCAATCATTTTCAGTTAAGAATCTTTGCTTTGCCCACAGCATGAAGGGGTCTTCCTCATTGCAGCACGGAAAATAACGTTCATCTTTCTTGATGGTTCAAACTTGGCGTCCACGTCAGCACCAGCTAAAGAATAAGTGACGATGCCTCTGGATCGTGAGCACCGGCTGAAGATGCATAAAAAAGCATAGCAAGATATTTGTTTGGCTCTGATCCTATCACGAACGAAGTCTCTCGGATGGTTTTTTTCTCAACGGGATTCAGCGTCTCCGACTGGTCGACCAAAGCAGCGGGCTTCACCTAATTCAAAAGGAGACGCTTTCAAACATGACCACAATTGTAAGAACTGCCTACTAATGTAATTTCGGATCATTCAAGCTGAAGACCAGGGCTCATAACGGATGAGAAGCTCGCACTGGGGCGGATCTCTGGTCGGAAGACAGGTGTATCGAAATGGGGCTGAAACTGTGTGCAATTTCAAAAAGCTACGACTACTTGATGGCTGCAATTTTATCAAAGTTCATCCTTTGCAAGCCTGTATGATCGCAATGCTTCACCGGTCTTGAAAGATTGCTTAAACTTGACTAATGCAAAGCTGCTTCTCAACACTTACCTGACATCTTGAATACCTCTGAGTCCATGTTGATTCAGACTTTAGTGGCCTCGCCCATCGACCTCAAGGTTTGGCTTGGTGCGTGTTCCTTGAGGGTCTCAAGCAACTCACGGTTCATGGCCTCCAATCCTTTGTTAAGCTCCTCGGCCCTCTTCCTTGATTTTAGCCAAAGATGGCCAAAGATTAATTAGGGAGTAGTCAGGCTAACTCACCTTTTTGATCAAGGCAGCTGCCTCGCCGCAAATCCTCCCGTCCCAGTCCTCGATCTCTTCGACTCTTTTTTTCAGCACGTCATCTGCCGCATCGATCATCTGGAATTTTGTGGCCCATCGCACACTCGGCATGATGAAAAGATCAGAGACCTCATTGTAGAGAGAGGTGGCCTTGTGCGCAAAGACGAATCTGTTCTTCATCAAGAGGGCATTCCTTATAAGTTTCTGTAAGTGATGTCAGCTGGCAAATGACTAATACCAGAGGTTGGCATTCGTACGTCTTTCAGCCTTTTGTCGCGCAGGAGCTTTCGTCGATTTTCAGGTGACAAGTGGCCCAACACCACGTTGTCCTTGCCGAAGTTGACATCCTCCATGAACAGCTGTATATTCGCCAAGTATTCCATGAAATTAAGGACCTCTGTCTGGAGGCAATTGAGATCTTTTAGGGCCATTTCCATTATCGTAGCGATTTCGTCCTGCAGACGATTCCCTTCAAGTCAGCACCATCAACTGTTAAAGCCGGAGCGACTAGACTCACAATAGATTTCGCCTGTCCAGAAAGCTGTTCGAGTGTTTCATTCAGAGAAGTTGTCTTCCGTTCCAAATCTCGAATGTGGGATGTTTTACTCCATCGATTACCGTAAAGAAAAACCAGATTGGTCAGCCCAAACGACATTACCAACACCATCAACTCCGGACTAAGGCCTGCTGCAGTTGCAGCTGCTACAATCCTGGCATTGACGCCTAAAATGGAATCTGCTCGATTTCTTGGTAAGTAGGCCACCTGCCAAGGGGCGAATCGTTTGCTTGCTTACTGGGGAATTCGTTCACAAGGCTCTCATAAACGAAGAACGCTCGATTAAAGCGACTTTTGAGATCATCCAAGTCTTTCTTGGTCTTCTCAATCTCATCTTCCAAGCCTTTCTTCTCGGTTTCCGTATGTTCAATGTCAGACTTTGTCTGTGTCTGTTGCATCTTGTTGATTGCTGGCGTGTGTCAATCGATATAATATCTCCCCGTCCGGAAATTGTTGCTTACATGCTTTATCTCGGAGGGCATCAAGCAAAGCCTCTGTAACCTGCTTCCAACCCTCAAAGTCTTGTCGGACCTCCGCGAGGATTTTCAGGGATTGGTCAACAACTTCCGTTCCCATCTTTAGATAATGATGAAGTTGCTCGTCTCGCAGGGGCGATTGGTCTGGTTCAGCGTATTCTAGTATTGAATCGATCTGGAGGTTTCTTCATCAGTCTCTGAATGGCACGGATAAAGGGAGGTTCATTCACGATTCCGTCCGGTCTTGACATCTCATAAGTCAAATTGCCCACACGAGCCATTTTTACCGCTGTTGATCGAAGAGTGTTCTCTCCAATAGTAGTACAATGGCCAATGTTCCCGTATAATGTCCTGCGCCTTCAGAAATGTTAGCTATTCAGATCGTATATAACCAAAGCTTGAAATCACAAGTCTGTTGTGCAAGGTAAAATGAAAACTGACTCGAAGACATACGGAAGATTATTGTCGGCTAGTTCGAGCGTCATTGCTGAAGGCTTGGAAGCTAGTAGCTTGCACTGTGACATTATTATGACACTTTTCAACGCTCCTAGAATCTGATAATCCCACGATGGAGTGTCCAATGTGCATATTGTGTCCCGGTGGGGTTGCTGAATCTGTCGATCTGCCATTTTTCATCTAGCCCTGCGATGAAGCAGAAAGTACCAGTGTCAAATTATTGTAGTTTTTCGGAGGTTTTATGAACACCTTATAAGTGAGTTCGGACTCATATCCAGATCGAGATCAGTTTGTTATCCCGAAAGGAGAGTTCTTGGCAGGAAAGGCTAGCCTCAGTGCCAAGTAAGGACAAGGTAACACAAACCTGCACGAGAGCTGATCCTTTCCGAATATTACATTCCGATCATGCTAGGAACTTTAATTCATCCAATAATAGGAAAGCCCGAGTATCTGGCATCATTCCATTGGGATTTGGTTCAGCGGTGAGGCGGGCTTCAAGACCCGGCAGACTGCAGGGCATTTTAGAGATAATCCTGGACGACTTAAATCCTGTCTCTGTGATATACTTTTGTCAAACTTAGTACTACCACTTGTTCAGTTTAAACCACTCTTCGAAATTCTCTGGAGAGAGCTTGCAATATAGTGGCAATCACGAAAGCCTAAGACTACTTACAAGTTGTCAATTTATCGGAAGATGACAACTCCGCAAATGCCGCTAACAAACGCGAGTAAGAATCTAGTTTGCAAAAGTGTTGTGGAAGGGCCTGAATCTGCCACATGGCAGGAGATGGAGACTCATATCCACCGCATCTACATCTCTGAGGGGCACAATTTGAAGACACTGATTCAGCGGATGGAGATTGAACATGGGTTCAAAGCAACGTGAATCACCCCTCCCTTTACCTATTTCACATCAAGAGACTAATTCCTCGAAGAAGAAAGATGTATAATGTATTTTTTAAAAAGCGACGGCCAGCCTTTAGCAAGAACAGGACGAAGCAGGGAAGGCCAACAGCCGAACACATTGCCAGAATGCCCAGATCCCGACCTCGGAGGTTACATGGTATATCCAAAGCGTCTTTGAAGCATCAGGCCACCTGTTTGATCTACCCCAATACTTCTTTTGATCGTCAGTTATCAGATGGATACGATAAATACCGTTCCGTCTTACAATACATAGACACATACGTTTACGGGCTTTTCGATTCTTGCAATCTCTCTTCAAACATGTTCGACATTATTGTGCCTCATGGGCTACCTGACAACACTCCAGTCTGGCAGCAAATAGCGGATGAAGGTTTTGGTGCTTCAGTTCTCATACTGAAGGGAGATATTGAGGAAGGCTTTCGAACTTACAATATAATGTGTCAAAGACTGGGGCGCGTCATTGGCAAAAACGACTATTCAATGGCCATCAAGCTTTGGAGAATACTTCGCCGGCTCTTTCTTTTGGCAACACAACTGGAAGATTTTACCATACTGCATTCTTTTATGCGATACATCTGGCATATGTCGGCCATACGCTTCCCGACAAACCATCCAATCCCGAACCTATTGAAAAGTCTGTGTCACACCCCAGCTCACGAATTGCGGGATGTTTTGGAATCTGGTTATCTGCGAACCATCAATTGCCTTCAAGACCGTCTGGGCCCTCACAATGCCGTTGTGCCATCGACATGGTCTAATTACGCAAAGTCATGCAGTCGTCACGCTATACCCGCGGATAAACTTCTCTAAGATTATAAACGTGTTTTCGAGGAGGCCGAGAAGGCCTTTACTCCCTTGAGAATGAGGACAATCGAGATTCTACACGGGTACACGTACGCGGCTTAGTACAACGCTGGCGATCACTCATTGACACGTGAGCTCGCATCAGAGCTAGTTAATCGCGCGCAGCAGGTGTTGTCTACATGGCATCGGCCCAAATGGTGTCTTGTCGTTCAAGGATATGCTCTAGGCGTGAAGCTTCTGTATGTAACTTCAAAGTCAACAAGTGAGAAAGAGATGAGCACTGCGGTTCTTGAGTTGGCTATATCTATTCTAAAGTATGGGGATCGCGAATGTCAGACACGAGCGGTGCTGCTTGAAAATATGCTTGTACCTAAGCTTGACTCTTGGTTGAGACCTGAGGGGCGTTAGCCATTTGTCGAGTGCACATGGTATTACATGTGTTTAGAGACATATCCGTCGCAAACACAACTTACGCATCTTGGTCTAATATCTCAATTACTAGGCTCAAACATCAGTGATTGAAACGCCGTAATATGATACCGACAAATATTCCTGAAGACTTTCCCGTTTTTTTAGAGGATTAATGAAAGGCAGGTCTCTGTTTAACTTGGAAGTGTAAGTAATAATTGAGCCATGACAATTACGACGAAAAACTATCTGACGTGAAAGGGTTCCATTGTTGAGATTGCTTGAAACAGAATTTCTGATATGGTCTTACTGGAATATTTGAAAGTGCTGGTGTTAACTTGCAATATGCAGACCAAAATAAGCGACTACTCACTATCACCGAGATTCATAAGTTCAAGTGTCTCATTTGCACTGATACTGTGACAGTAAAATCAATCTTGTGTGATGAGGTACGATAGAAGGTACGACTTTCATGTTAGTGATGTTTTCGTTAACAGAACACAAGCAAAGGCGAGTTATAAAGCAATCACCCAGTATCGAGGGTTTCTTCACTAACGTCCCACACCCACTTCTGGGCACCCCCCACATTTGGGCACCCCATTTACACCAAAAACGCCGTTTTTCGAAATTCTATATTAAACTAAATACTTTACTTATTAAAGAGAATAAATATATATTAAATAGATTAAGACTTAATTATAATACTTAAGTAGCTATATACTAGTATTATTGATAATAAGTATTATAAATTCAAGGTTTAACATTTATAATACTAATTTACCTAGCCTATATCTTAATATATAAAATAGGTAGAGATATTTAACTAATATGATTAGAATTTTTAAGTAAGATATAGTAGATTTATATATTCTTATACTTAGTAAAAAATTCTTTAAGCTTAGAATAATATTTTAAAATTTCCCTTAAGAAAAGTTTCTATTATAGAATTTTAACCCTTAATTATACTATATTTACTAAAGTAATACTTTTAAATCTCTTTTAGATATAATTATATACTTTTAATAAGTATAAATATTAATTTCCTAGATTTTTTAAATAAGTATATATAAGCGAAAATATATTTTTCTAATGTTAAGGAATACTAGTAAGTTACTAGTATCTACTAACATTTTAAAGCTTTTAGTTTTAAACTTCTATATTATAACTATTATTATATTTAAACCTTTATAAAAAATTAGATGGCTATAATTATACTTAACATAGTTTATATATATTTTCTTTTCTTAGTAAGTATAGTAGTTAGTTTAATATAGAATTTCGAAAAACGGCGTTTTTGGTGTAAATGGGGTGCCCAAATGTGGGGGGTGCCCAGAAGTGGGTGTGGGACGTTATGGCGCACTGTATGCCGCCGGCAGTCATTGCTTCACTCCTCCGTTGGTTCCTTGCGCCGGGGTTCCCCCCTGCTTTCGTCTTAGCGCAACGGCAAGGGAACTGCAAGGGGTTGTCCCCTCAAATCGACTGATGATCCAAAGTTTGCAAGCCTTGCGTCGTCATCAACTGGTTTGGTCGACTAGTAGGCGTGAGCGACTTAAATAGTACTTTCAAAGTTGCCGATGTTTTGGCGCAAGCTGCGGCTAATCTCATATACTTTCCACGAGAATGTAAGTGGAGCGTTGCATGAGGGCCACAACTCCATTGCAGCTTGAGCAACAACGGAGATGGCGACATGAACCCACGCAGCGTTACTGCAAGCTTTCTTGAGTTTGTACAACTAAGCAGCTGCTTTGCATGACCAATTTCAAGTCCATGGCGAACTGCATGCAGCCAGCTTCACTGGTAGCCGACAAGGGTCAAATAGCCTGCCCATAGCATTGAAGATTACAGATATCCGCATTATGCCAGTTCATCCTCAAGTAATTTTAACTTGGACGTTGGTGGATTTTATGTAAATGTGTTCTTCTCCCGTGGAGCTCTGGTCTAAGTTTTTCTGGTGTCCTTGTTCTTGATTATCCTCCGACATAGCCACCCATCCCTTCTCACCGCAACTCAACGCTCGGACCTGGGCAGAACGATTAATTGTGAACAAGATCGGCTTACATCATGGGGGACCCCATTGCTATTGTAGGCTTAAGTGCAAGGCTTCCTGGAGACGGAGATACCCCTGAGCGATTCTTTGAGTCCTTGCTAGCTGGCAGATCTGCCCGGACAGAAGTTCCGCCAGAGAGATACAACGCAGATGCATTCTGGCACCCTGATGCCGAAAGGAGTGGAGCGGTAAGTAGTCTATTCTGGCTACTGCTTGTCCGATTTCAACCCAGAAACTGACACTTAGTACCCAGACAAGGGTTCGCCATGGTCATTTCCTGAAGGGCAGCATCAAGGCTTTTGATGCTCCTTTTTTCTCCATCACACCAACTGAAGCAAGGAGTATCGACCCGCAACAGCGTGGCATGCTAGAATGTGTCTACAAGGCGCTCGAAAATGGTAAGAAAATGAGACATTTGCCACAAGACGTCGTTGAGGTTGGTGCTGATCAACTCGCCATTTAGCTGGAACCCCCCTCGACCAAGTTGCTGGATCACAAACCGGCGTGTACGTCGGCTGCTTCACGGCTGATTACAATGATCACATCGCAAAGGACTTGGATATTCCAAATAAGTACTCGGCACTGGGAACAGTGGCGAGCATGCTGAGCAATAGAGTCTCGTGGTTTTTTGACTTCAGGGGCCCAAGTATAACAGTCGACACTGCTTGCTCTAGTAGTCTAGTAGCCGTGCATGAAGCATGTATGAGCTTAAAGCTCCGAGAAGTGTCCATGGTAAGCTTAATCTGTGGGGGAGGATGGATATTCAAAATTCCAGTACTCTTCTGACCGACCATCTTAGGCCGTTGTCGGCGGATGCAACCTTATCTTAACACCCGAAATGACACTTAAACTCGATGCGGCGGGTGTCCTGGGTCCAGATGGCAAGTCATACAGCTTTGACCACCGCGCGAACGGATACGCACGCGGTGAAGGCTTCGGTGCCCTGGTCTTAAAGCGGGTATCCGACGCTATACGAGACGGGGATGCGATCCGTGCTATTATTCGGAACTCATCGACGAACCAGGACGGCAGATCACCCGGCATCACGCAACCGACGAAGGCCGGCCAGGTCGCGTTAATCAAACATGTTTACACCAGGGCTGGGCTGGACCCGTCGCTAACACGCTTCGCTGAGGCTCATGGTACGGGCACACCTGTAGGAGACCCCATCGAGGCGAGTGCCCTTGCTGAGGTCTTCGCCCCCCATCGATCTCTAGACGACCCTCTCTATGTCGGCGCCCTGAAAAGCAATGTCGGTCACTTGGAGGGCGCTGCTGGTGTGGCTGCTGTCATCAAGGGAATTCTGACTCTGGAAAGTGGCATAATTCCTGGAAACATCTGGCACGAGAAGAAAAATCCCAAGATCTTGGACTCTTGGAATTTGAAATTTCCAACTGAGCCCACAGTATGGCCGCAACAGGGGTTGCGTCGCATGTCCATCAACTCATTCGGTGTTGGTGGAAGCAACGCACATGTGGTAATGGATGATGCGTTGAACTTCTTGAAGGCACACCGGCTCGTTGGCAATCACCGGACTCATGCTACTCCTCAGATACCCACCCAGTTCATGCCTCCAACAGGCAATGGAGCTAATGGAATTAATGGTCATGATGGTACCAACGGAGTGAACGGAACACGTAAGTTGCCTCAATCAAGAATTCATTACCAAGCCTGGCTAACTTTTGAATGACTAGGCCAGGTCAACGGCTTTCATCGTCCAAGGGACAGTGGCGTGAATTTAAATGAATATGGAACGGAGTTGAGCGAGACTCCTCCACGTCTTTTTGTTCTGTCGGCAAATGATCCAACTGCCCTATCGCGTCTTCAGGATTCATACAAGGAACATCTCGCTTCCAAAACAGCAAGCGAGGCGGAGGAAGCTAGCGATTTGCAATACTTAAGAGACCTGAGCTACACACTCGCCTCTCGGCGCACCCTGCATGCCTGGAGGACATTCGGTATTGCCAACTCACCAAAAGCGCTGCAGAAAGCTCTTGAATATGTTCCCAAGCCAGCGAGAGCAAAGTCAAGTCCTCGCTTAGCCTTTGTCTTCACTGGCCAGGGGGCACAGTGGGCGACAATGGGCATGGATTTGATGGTGTATCGAGCTTTCCAAGAAAGCCTTCTGGCAGCCGATAGGTATCTGAATGACCTTGGTTGCAGCTGGTCCTTGACATGTAAGTTTTCTCGATCTACGCAGCAAAAATGTCACACTAACAGGTAGATTAGTTGAGCTCTCCAAGCCTAAAACATCATCAAGAATCGACGACCCTGAGTTCTGTCAACCAATTTGCACGGCTCTGCAAGTCGCTCTGGTGGATCTCCTCTCTACCTGGAACATCTATCCTCACGCCATCACTGGCCATTCATCAGGCGAAGTTGCCGCAGCATACGCTGCTGGTGCCATTTCCCGGGAAGCGGCATGGAAGGTTGCTTACTACCGCGGAAAACTGAGTGCCAAGCTGTCCCGCGCGGAATCTCGACCTAAGACAAGTATGGCTGCCATCGGTCTTGATACTGCAAGCACAGAGGCTGCAATTGACCGTGTCAATCAGCTCGGAGGCGACGGTACTCTCCAAATTGCCTGCATGAACAGCGCAAACAGCCACACCGTCAGCGGTGATGCCAGGAAGATTGAGACGCTTGTTGCCATGCTTGGCGAAGGAAGGGTTTTCGCCAGGAAGTTGAACGTTGAGATTGCTTACCATTCCCAGTACATGGAGCCAATGGCCGACGAGTACCTCGAGGTGATGGGACAACTTGAGCCGGGCACTCTCAAGGCACCATTTGAGCCTCAGTTCTATTCTTCGACAATTGGTGCGCCAATATCGCTATCACAACTGCGCCAACCCGAATATTGGGTCAAGAACTTGGTGTCTCCCGTTAGGTTCACCGAATCGGTCACGGAGATGCTTAAGGGCACTTCCGGGCCAAACGTTAATGGCCATATCAACGGCATCAAGAAAGTGAACGGTGTCAACGGTGTTGATGCTGGTAACAAACCTATCGTTGGCCAACCTCATGTCGAGCCCATCACCGATATTCTGGAGATCGGGCCTCATGGTGCACTGAAAGGACCACTTCTCAGCACTACCAAACAAGTCCGAAGCAGCGAATCAGTGGACTATCATTCTGTGTTAAAACGCAAGATTTCAGGTGTCCAAACGGCATTGCAAGCAGTTGGATCTCTGTTCTGTCAGGGATATAAAATAGACTTTGCACAAGTCAACGATGCAGACGAACCATACGGGCCTAAGCCGCTGATGTTGACAAACCTTCCGGCCTACCCTTTTGATCATTCCAAAGAGTACTGGGTTGAGAGTACTCTAAGTGACGACTTTAGGTTGAGGAAAGTAGGACGCCATGAGCTCTTGGGCGCTCCAGTGCCTGGCTTAAACAAGAACAATGCGGCGTGGCGAAACTACATCCGCCTCAGCGAAAACCCATGGATAGAGGATCACAAGGTCCTTGGTGAAGTTCTCTACCCCGCCGCTGGCATGCTAGTCATGGCCATTGAGGCTAGCCGGCAGGTGGCTGATAAGAGCAAAACACTGAAGGGCTTCAGATTCAAGGACGTATCTTTCAAGTTGGCGCTACAAATTCCGGACGATGCCCACGGAGTTGAGTCGCAATTTTTCCTACGCCAACACCGAGAGACCAGTCTATCGACTATTTCGGCATGGCAAGAGTTTCAGCTCTGGACATTGCAAGATGATGAATGGAGAGAGCACTGTCATGGTTTTGTACAAACAGAGTATGAAACGGAAGCAGCATTCAACGAAGGCCTCATCGATTCAAGTGATTATGGACAAAGTCAGGAAAGCGGTGGCATCAGCACAACAAAGATATCCGCCGAGAAACTCTACCATAACTTTCAAGAAGCGGGATTAGATTTCGGTCCTACATTCAAAACTCTGAGCAGCGTGCGACTTGGGCAGGACCTGAATATTTCTGCCACTGTCGACTACCCTAGGGGTAAGGTAGAGCAAATAATGCCAAAGCAATACGTTCAGCCTCACTTGGTACACCCAACGACATTGGACGCCATCGTGCATGCCAACCTGGCTCCTCTAGTCTTGAGCCCCAGGCACTCCAAGGTTACTAGGGTGCCGACGTATTTGGCAGATGGTTGGATCTCAGCACAGTCCGACCTGCCCCATGACATCTACCAGGTGTCTGCCGAGTCTCGACTTCGTGGAAGAAGCGAGGTAGTTGGTGACGCCTCTGCCATAAATCCCAAACAGGGTCGAACAATGGTATCCCTGACTGGTTTGGTCTACAGGACAATCAGTGGTGAAGAGTCATTGACGGCTTCAGAGGCAGCAATGCATCCAGCTTATAACCTTATTTGGAAGCCAGACCCTGCGTTCCTGAACAAGCAACAAGCTTTGGAAGTCTTCGGATTGCCTCTGGAGAAGAAGGATGACCCATCTTCCTGGATGCAGGATTGTGAAGCGCTTTGCCTGGCTTACATCCGCCGCTTCGTAGACAATGTTCCAAAGGATAGCATAGCTCAGATGGCATGGCATCATCAACGATACGTCAAATGGTTCCAGCACGTTGTCAGTCAAAAATCAGAGCAGCCAATCGAGAGCATTCCGGAGCTCGAAAGAAGAGTGGTTGCCAGCGGAGCTAGTGAAGGAAAGTTGATAATTGCAGTTGGTAACGCCTTGTCTGAGATGCTCCATGGAAAGCGCGACCCTCTCGACGTCATCTTCAAGGACAAGCTCGCAGAAGACGTCTACCGTAACGGCCTCGGATCGAAGAGATGCTACACGCAGCTTTGTAATTACTTGGATGCTCTGGCTCACAAGAACCCAGCCATGGAAATACTTGAAATTGGTGCCGGAACAGGAGGAGCAACGCGCCCTGTCATAGCGAAACTTACTGAGAAAGGACCGCGATTTAAGCATTACGATTTCACAGACATTTCGCCTTCCTTCTTCGAACAAGCCAAGGAAAACTTCAATCAGGCTGGAAGGATGAGTTTTAGCGTCTTGAATGTCGAGAATGACCCGGTGGAGCAGGGCTTCACAGCTGGCAAGTATGACTTGGTCGTCGCGGCCAATGTCCTGCACGCCACCAAGAAGATTGACGATACACTCCGCAATGTCCGCAAGTTACTCAAACCCGGCGGCAAGCTTCTCCTTTTCGAAATCACCAACACGGCCGTTTTGCTGGGAAGTTTTTGCTTTGGTGTCCTCCCTGGATGGTGGCTGTCAGAAGACAAGGACCGGATCTGGGGTCCGCTGATGTCTGCGCCCTCGTGGGACAACCATTTGATCAACTCTGGATTCGGTGGCCTCGATATTGTTCTAGAAGACTTTTCAGGATCGCCTCATCAGATGAGTTCAATCCTTGTTTCCACCGCTTCCAGTCTAGATGACACGACAGGATGCCTTGCTCCAAACTACATCATCACCAGCAGAGAAGCCACAGAGCTCAATGTTTCGGATGGAATAGCAAAGAAAATATGCCAACAAGGTGGATCATGCGAAATCACCACCTTGCCATCAACAGCAGTCAAGGAGCTGGCTGGTGCTACATGCGTAGTCCTTTCCGAGTTCGACACCCCTACTCTAATGGACATGACAAAAGAAGTCTTTGAGGCTCTCAAGCGCGTTATAACCCAGTGCAAGGTCATTCTATGGGTCACTCGTGGTGTGTCAGACCCGAATGCGGAGCTTGTCACAGGACTTGCCAGAGTGATAAGGTCTGAGAGGTCGAATGTCAGATTCTTGACTCTTGCTTTTGATCAAACCGCGGCGGAAGACCTTGTGGTAGAGAAGTGTCTGTCATTACTTCGTATGGTCCGAAATGAAACTGAGAACTCTTTTAGAGTCATTAACAATGTGGTCAATGTGTCTCGGCTGGTCCAGGCGGATTACCTCACGAACCACATTCAGGCTCAAACAGGAGCGTTGAATGTCGTTGACAAGCTCTTAGGAGACGAGGCTTCTCGTTCTCTTAGCCTCAAGGTCGGTAATGCTGGGAAAATTGACTCCCTCCGATACGAAGATGACCCCATATTTGGCACTTCGCTGGGAGACCATGAGGTTGAATTCAAGACCATGGCCTGCGGGCTCACAGTCAGCTGGATGGCCTCAGCTCTCGAAAAGTCAGAGGAATCATCATTGCTCGGCGAAGCAGCTGGCATAGTCACTAAGACGGGGTCCGCATCCAAGTTCCAGGTTGGCGATCGAGTTTTCGGTCTATCCAGCTCAGGTGCTCTCAAGACTCGCGTTCGGTCGACGGATGGTCTTTTGGTCAAACTTCCGGACACAGCGACGTGGTCCCATGGCGCATCCATCCCAATAGATTATGCCACAGCCTACGCGACCTTGTGCGACATGGGCACTGTTCGCAAAGGAGACATAGTCTTGATTCATACCGGCTCGTCTCATCTTGGCAAGGCTTTTATTCATCTTGCTCAGCTTCTGGGGGCTGAGGTCTTTGCCACCGTTCAGAATCAAAAGGAGCGCGACTCCTTGGAGACGGTTTGCGGTGTGTCAGGAGATCATATTTTCGGTAGTCGTGACCGATCCATCCGGAAGAAACTCCAGAGCATGACTAATGGCCGAGGCGTTAACATTCTAATCAACACTACCAACAATGACTTCTACGAAGATATGGTGGAGTGCGTCGCGCCATTCGGACGCGTTGTCAATGTCGGCCAACAAGACATCGAGTCCGGCCCACGTCTGCCGAGAGGCCGCAACATCCGTCTTGAATCCTTCGACCTTGCTTTATATGCAGCTTACGATTTGGCTCGCCTAGAAGACATATTCCAGCGCATGGCCGACTTGGTGTTGACCAACTGGGAATCTATCAGTTCATTTTTGTCGCCTGTTGCATACTCGTTCGGCCAAGCCCAAGAAGCCATTAACCATTTCCGGTCGCAAGGACAAAGCACCAAGATAGTAATGGAGCCTCACGACAATGACCTGGTGCCTATCTTGTCAACCCGCCAACCCATGAGCTACTTTGACCCCAATGCATCCTATGTCATCGCCGGTGGCCTTGGCGGCCTCGGAAGGTCTGTAGCGCGGTGGATGGCCTCGAGAGGTGCCAAGAATCTTATTTTGCTCTCAAGGCGTGGTCCAGTCGAGGATTCCGCTAAGCAACTGGTCAAAGAGCTTCAATTAGTATGTGACAACGTGATTACACCCTCTTGCGATATCACAAACGCCGATGCCCTGGGAAACGTCATCTCCCAAGCCTCGAGCTCCCTTCCTCCTATCAAGGGCTGCATACAGGGCTCGATGGTTCTTCAGGTTAGTCAGATACCCCTCACATACATGATTTGAATGTTAACTCCTGGCTAGGACAATTTGTTTGAGAACATGTCCCTCCATCAATGGCAGGCAGCGATAGTTCCCAAAGTCCACGCGTCATGGAACTTGTACAACGTCCTCGGCAACAAGATGGACTTTTTCGTCTTGCTCTCATCGACCATCGGGATAACAGGTGGTCCAGAACAAGCCAACTATGCCGCTGGTGGCACCTTCCAAGACGCCTTCGCTCGCCATCTAGCCTCCCAGGGCGTCAATGCCGTCTCCATCGATCTCCCCATCATCCAAGGTGTAGGCTATGTTGCCGAGAAACCCGAGTTATTCGAATACCTGCGTTCCAGCGGCTGGACTTACATCTCGGAAGCTGAGCTCCAAGCTGTCTTGGATTATCACTGTCGTCCCGCAAGCGCGCCGACAGATATTTCCCGAGCTCAAGTCATCCCTCGCCTCTGGCTGCCACAAGAGACCGCAGCAGAGGGCTATCAGACGCAGCTTTGGGGCGCGGATCCCCTCTTCAACCACCTAGAATTTGGGCAAAAAGACACCGAAGCGACGTCAGCGACTGAGACAACAACCGTCGTCAACCACAAGGCGCTTCTTGCAGGGGCATCTTCTTCGCAAGAGGCTGAGAAGGTTGTTCTGGATGCCCTGCTTCTCAAACTTGCCCGGATGCTTAGTATCGAGGTGTCGAATCTTGACACTGCCAAGCCGCTGCACACATATGGCATCGACTCCCTCACGGCAGTTGAGCTCCGCTCTTGGCTTATCAAGGAGCTTGGGGCCGAAGTCTCGTTGTTTGACATAACGAACAACTCGAGTATCTCTCGCCTGGCTGGCACAGCAGCCCAAAAGAGCAGTCTGAGGCCTGTAGTGGCGAAGCCGTGAGGCATTTCAAATTACGACTAGCTATCTTGGTTTCTCATCAGTTTTGATTCTTTTGTTAGTATCTTTTATCTGTATCTCTTTACACCCCTTCTGATATCTGACTTGGCGTTGAGGAGACTGTTTGTAGATTGATAAATTGCAGCACTTTGCACTTTTTAAACATTACAGAAACGCAGAGAAAGGACAACGATACCTTCAATTTTGCCTAGATCCAGGTTCTCTCATACGTTCTATTCAGCTTTTCATTTGATCATTGTTTTCTTCATTTGTCGGTTCAGTTAGTGTGTAAACCACTTTGCAAGTTAAGAAGTAGTAACGAAACAAAACAAAACATACTCTCGATTTCCATACCGTCGCTATTACGAGTGTTGCACAGCGCATACTTTGCTTTCAAGATGCAGAAAACAATGGACCTTGAGATACAACATTGAAATTGATCCTGGTGTTCTGAACCTTTCGAACATGCAAACAAATTTACCACACCACACCACACCACAGCACTATACTACATAACGCAACACATCCAAAGTGAATTTCTGGCCACAGTTACACGAACACCTCCTTCATATCGTTGTCAAATGAAGCTGGGAATCAAACAATTAGCCATAACTTTAATAACAATCTCGGGCACGCCAAGACTTCGCATCGTTAAGTTAAGCAGTGTAATATCAGCTCATTCTCACAATTCGACACAAGAATATCTACACCACACTTTTCATCACGATTCACTGAACTTCAACAGGCAAGAGCAAGTATTCAAGCACAAGAAACCAAAATCAGCGAACGACCCTTGATTCACGCCCAATTCTCAAACCTTTCGAGTCCTCATACCAAAGCACACCACAACCACCAACAACCACCTCTCACTCACTCCAAACTTTTCTCAGGCGTAAAACCGTCTCCACTAAACATTCACCTGAGGCTATCACGACCCAACAACACACATTCACTCTCAACCCAACTCCCTTCAAGCTCGTATCTTTCTCAACAACAGAAAGAGCCGAAACTTCCACCACTTTCCCCAACAACTATACCAAACCCGCAAAGAGACGTCACAAGTCACAAGTCGCAAGCAATGAAAAGTTTTTCACACTAAATCAATCGAGAACATATAGACCAAAATTGCCAGCTCATCCAACTCGCCACAGTCTCACCATGTGCACAATCCACATCGTCAGATGCCCACACTGCGACGCCCTGGCCTCTGCCCACCGCGAACCATGTCCCGGCACGTCCTACAATCGCCTCTGCCACCGTGGCCTCACAAATTCCATCACGACGCGCCTCTTCCCTGGCCGTTGCGAAGCCTGCCTCACGAAAACAGGGCCGTATCACACCCTTGCCCCTGGCCCTACACTAGCCGGAAGGAGCAGTTTCGAGAGTCTGAGCAGCACTCGGGGGGCAAGATGCGCCGTTCGTTTTCGGATGTTGTGGAAACGGCTGCTTTCGAGGACGAGAAGGTCCCGCTTGAGCGTACAAGACGATGGATCACGAGCTTGTGAAAATCGGTGTCGTATTGGGCAGTGGGTACTTGCAATCAGTTTTACTAAATTCAAACGTGGCTTACAGTGACGAAGTGCCGCCACCGGTTTCGTAAAGTGGCTTGCAAGGTCGTGATACTGATCTTTGGTGTTGACATGTCGTTGGCCTTAATAGTTTGCCGCTGACTGGGATTCACGTTGCCCCTGCGGAACTTCTTCGAGTCATCTCATCTCGGTTGGTAGACGAGTAGACGATACAAAGGATGAGTTGGCAACGTACTAAACTAGATCTGTAAACCGAAGTTTATGGCAATTCAACAAGATACCCGTTCATGCAGGGAGTTTACTGGTTGACTCATCGGCAGGCACGATGTGACCATTCAGCTGTTTTGAGACATGGATATAACAACCCATGCGATACCGACGGCTGCAGGTGGGAAGGCAAAGTAGAGCTGGTACATGTACAACAAAATACAACACTGAAAGCCAATGACAGCTCGCAATGCCCCCCTATGCTGGCCTCGGATTTGGAAATGACAAGCAAGGCCTTGCAGCAAGCATCCACTACCATTGTCAGTCGTCAAAACAAACTCAATGCCCCTCTCTTGCGGCACACAACCACTGACGACGTTGGCGGCTTTGTTAGCGAGTTGTAGATGTCGTTAGCCCCCCGCCTTGTATGACGCAAACTATGCGCCCCACTTGACCTCCTCCAAAGTGCTCGAATCTTCGCGAAACACCAAGCCGCAAGGCATCTGCACTCGCACCACGTGATGCATGTGCAATTGATCTACGGAACCAACCGGCTGCAGTTTGCGCGTGCCTGAACTTAGAACCAAGACTTGAAGGAGCGCGATGTGGCAATTTTACCAAAAGTAGCCTGCAAAGTCCTAAAAATGTTTGTGGCGGAAGGCAAAAGGTGCCCGCCTGAGGATAGTGCGAATGCCCTCAAACCATGTATGCGTCGGACGCAAGGGCGTGCAGCTGCGGCAAGCTCGAGAGAGAAAAGTAACTGGAAAGGGGGTCTTCAAAATTTTTTTAATGCACTACATGCGAATGGCACGGCATCGCCGAATTGCTATTTTGCCTCAGGAGGGAAAAGATCGCCGAGCATGGTTTTGTCTGGACAAGCAGCGAAGCCACGTTGATTCACCGATCACTGCCGCTGCGGAATAACAGTCGGCGCCCTAAGAGGGTATTGATTTTCGTGGTACCTTTGTTCGGTGCGGAGCTGGGTCCGAAACACGGCTTTTCACAATACGGTTGACGGGAAGACGGCGTATGCAATGCCGAGACTTAGTTCCACGTCGTCGTTATTGCGGACAAGGCAGGTTTCGTTTGAGAAGACGGCGGCGGAAGTAAATGCCCGGATATCGTAACATTAGTAAGTTAACAGTGGACTCGATGTACTCGGTCGAATGGTTGCGGCCCGACGTGCGAGATGGGAAACGGCGCCGCAAGATACTGCAGAGATGAGCGACCGCAGCCCCCTTTTTGTTGTATAGGCGGGGTCCGCTATGGGGTCACCGCCAGTTGCCAGCCGTCAAAACACCACGCACGGTCAAAGATTACATGCAGAAAGGGAAGGGGATTTCCTACAAAGGGTTCAGCACGACTCGGAAGTGATACCCACAAGCGTGTTCGGCGGGGGGGTGTCGTAGTCAAGACACCGGGTGACCTGGCAGAATGAAAACTCAATCTTGTTGGGCGTCGACAGCGCGTGTTCAAGCCGTCACAGTGAGATTCGTGCGCCCACTTTGATGACGTGAGTCGGGACATGGAGCTGAAGGGCGGAGGACTTTCTCCAGAGAGATGGAGCTAGGTTCGAGGGTCGAGCTGGCGGGGGTGTCATGCTGGGGGTATTTTGGCCAGTTTCGTCAAGCCGTCACAGCACGCAACAAGATGCAGAACTGCGGTACCCTGCCGGTTCTACCTGTCGCTCCGCTCAAGCAGTCGCATTGTGTCCAACAGCGACATCTCGAACCCGAAACGCTATCCGTTCTTCTGGGACCACCGGAGGTCCTCCGGCTTTTTAGTGTATTAGCATGGTTGCGTTATCCACTGACAACCGCTAGATCATATCACAACATGATGCGCTGGGCCCTTGTTGGACCCCTGTATGGAGTGACCAAGAACGGCTGAATCTAGTCGGAAGGGTCCGTTATCCGCCACACTGAATGTTTCTGTGGTGTCTACTTCGACCCCGTTGGTGTCTGCGGCCGAAGTGCCTTACTTTAAAGAGGGCTGACGGTAGAGCGGAAATGCACAATTGCGATTGCGATGGCAATGGTGGGCCGAGGTTTGCTTACCGATAAAATTTCCCAGGCTCGACCCAAATGCGACAGATGAGTACTTCAATGCCGAGCTGCTGACCGCCAGAGGGAATGTATTCGAGGCCGCGCGCAAACAAGTTTCGCATGGCGTGCGTACGACTTTCCTACTATCACATGGGCCAAGACCGTGAAATCGATACACGTACCTTCACCATTGAGTCGCATCACGGATGAAATGCAACGAGCGAGAATGTTCTTCTACCCGAAGCAGCGCGATCCTTGTTTTAGGGTCCTGATGAGGAGATCACGGCTTTGACAAGGTCGTTACCTCCGACCGCCAACTGGCCGCCTTGTTTAGGACAGCACACATGCGCCGCTGGGATCTCTGTGCGACAGCTGCCACATGCGCGCGGCCGTAGTGAGGAAATGAGCCTCAAGTTGGTGGGGGCCAAAAGAAAGATGAGCCATGAGCGGTGTTCTAGTGTCTTGCTGGCGGGAAAGGCCAAGGAGGCATTGTCGTCAGGGTCCTAAGGTCGGCCCAACGCACTGATTTAAGATTCTCGAATCCTCCGGAAATTTCGCATAGCATAGGACCCCCTGGCCACCGCCTCTTTCGATGTCCGTGAGTTTTCGTGTCTCCCCCATCGAGGGGCAGGCACTGCGGGGACCCTCAGGCAATCTGACTGCCATGTGCCTCCAACCCCTCTAGGGGTTAGCCTGGCCAAGGGAGCCGACCGAAGATAGATTGGTATCAGTCGACGTCGTCATATGCCAATTGGGGATCACAGCGGTCCGGGCTGGAGTGCTATGAAGATTCTAGAACATCGAAGTGTTGTCCACGTCGGAGAATTTGGACATCATTTCGAGCCGTCAACCGGCCAAGGGTGACTAGCACTCGCTTTCAAAGTGCCTTTTCGTCGTAGCTGTCTATGACGTGATACTTTCCCTTCTTGAAAGAGCGCGACATGGTAGGGAGGGGCCCTCAGTGGAAGGGGTAAAAAAAAATAAAAAAAATAAAATAAAAAAAAAGCCATGCGGGCGGGCCGGATGGGATTTGTCGGCTTTCTTTGCAACATCCAAAGAGCCGTCCGTCATGTGTGTGTCTGCCGCCACCTGGCTTGTCCTTGCGGTCCGGAGCTAATCGTCCAGCGGCTGGAAATCATTCGACGCGAATGTTGGAGCTCCTAGGATATTCAGCCCCATGGGCTCGGAGAGCCAGCAACACGCACGACTCGTCCTCGATGGATCCGAGCGAGCAGCTGAGAGAGAAGAGAGAGAGCAAGCGAGAATAGGCAAAGGTGCAGGTATCGACCCCGCCATTGTTGGTTGACGGAAAAGAGACAAGAAAAAAAAACAAAAAAAAGAGCTTTTTACAGCAACGTGATGGGGCACAGAAGTGCGGCCCAGCCCTTAAGGCAAGGCAAACAAACCACGGTTGACGAGGGGATGTAGGGGAAGAGATGAGGTAAGGCATGGTCATGTCTGTCTGGTATGGGATGAGATGGGGATCTTTGAATGTGGGTTGGTGTACGGGTAATGGATACGTACTCTAGGCACGAGGGGACTAGGGAATGGAGGAGTAGGCGATATGTACCTGCTACTTCCCGCTTTATCCTTGTTGGACCCTTCGAAACTTCGGTTTCCCTTCTTGCCTACTTTGCCATCTCCATCCATAGGCTCTTTGCTTCCGGACGCCGTCGCAACTGCCTTGTGGGCAGGCAAGAAGAAGCGACTACCTACTGCCATACTAGGAAGGGGGGCGGCGGGTTCGAAGAAAGGGCGACGGGCGTGGTCAGAACAGCCACAGCGTAGCGGGCAAGAACACTGCAAAAAAGGGTGGCTCTGTGGTGCCTGTGGACTCAGTTCGAGAGCGAAAGAGTGGGTCCCGTTCGGTAGTACCACGCAGTGCTCCATGCGGCCCCGTAAGCGCTGTCTTGCTTCAGAGGCCTATCACAGGGGTATGGGAGCATTTGCTCCGGTAGGGCACTAAATGGGGGACTGCCTCGAACAAGTGCTGCGGTTGCAGAGATGCCCCATCAAAGCCCATCGAACTTTTTGCCCGCTCACCCGTCCCTCCATCCTTCGTTTCTTGTTGTTGGGACCCGTAAGGGTCACCACCGACTGTGGCTTTGCAGCCTGTACCTTACATAGTACCTTTACTCTCCTCTACTGCCCGCCCCTCCCCTCCCCCCTTCTCCCTCAGGGGGGTCTGGCCCAGGCCTCTAATAGTACTTGCCCAGCACTGGCACTGACCCTGAGCCTGGGGATTGCAGATGGGGAAGGGGAAATCTTGCTCTGGTTCCGTCGCAGTACTCTGTAGTGCTGAACACACCTGCCACTGTTGTACCCTACCTCTGGGGGCCATGCCGTACTAAAAACTGCCCAAAGGTACTCTGTACATGCTGTCCGTCCCTCTTACCTGATCTGCTGGCCCGTCCGGTCCTGAAGGGAGGGGACTAGGATTATCGTAAAAAAGAATGGGATATGGGACGTACCAAAATATATACCCAACCAGACAAATCAAAATTGTCCAGTCTGATTAGACTCTGCTTCGCTTTTGTCGCTTTTGCTCCGCGTTGCGATTGCGTTGTCCTTTCGTTGCCCTGCCCTTCCCGTCAGTTCAAGTTGTTTCGAGTCCAGTTCCATTTTACCTTTCTCCCCCCCCCTTCCACCTTCTTTTCCCTTCGCTCCCCTCGTCGTCACCCTTTCTCTACTCTGCCTACCCGGGCCCCCCTAATCCTCTCGGCCGCCGCTCACCTCCGCCTAGTCCAGCCTCAGTGGCACTCGCCCACCAGAGTCCCTCACACCCAACTTCAGCGGTCCCCCCCGTCCCCATCTGTCAACCCAAGAAATTAAGAGACATCCTCCAATAACCCCTCGTCATAACGTTTGTCGTTAAAAACGCTCCGGCCCTGGCAGGGGTCCTTGTGGAACCGACTGTGTGGCGATTCTTCCCCAAATCCCGCTGTGTCATTGGATGATCGGCATACAGACCGGGGGGCAGCAGCCACATCTGCTGTTTATATCAGCCACATCTGGGCCGCCAGTTTGGCACGCTGGTCAGCACCAGGCCTGGTCGTTCCTCCGCCTATTATCCGCTTTCCTGTCCTTGTCTTGACGAGGAACTGTAACACTTCCATGTTGCCCTCTTCCGAGCACACAAGTCTACTCTCATCAACTTCAGAATCCTTCACAACAAAAAGACGCTGTCCAAGAGGCGCGAATTCGTCTTCATTCGGCTTTCATGTGCGTTGAGCACAAGACTGTTTGTCCAGTCTGTCGGAGACTCTACCTTGTCTATGTCGCTTTCTGCCAGGAATATCATCCTCCGCTTCTGGAGTGTCCTAAGGGTCTTGTAGTTCGCCCAATGCAGATGCTCGACGGCCGATGTCCGAGTCCTGTCTGTCCAAACAGCCGTGTTGGAGGCTGTTTGGTTATATAGACAACAACTCCTGGACACAAGAAACTAATAGTAAGTCCTCCGGATTTGATCGGCAGCCAAGAAACATGAACGTAGAAAATCATTTACTAAATTTGGTTTACAGCTTCTGACCCTTGTTGTCCACTTCCACCACCTGGTCGATGCCTTCGTACTGCGGAAGGTCCAGGTTGTATTTTTCAGCAATACCTGGCGAAATAAATCTGCTCCCAAGGTCAGCCAAACAAAAAAAAAATTACTCCTTAGTTTAAAGGGGCTTCAGATCTCAGCACATACCTTCCACCGACGAAGTGTCGTCCTTTGAAATGTTTCACTAGAGGCTTTGGTGCCGTCAAGCTGACGAGAACTGTAGGGTGGAAAGAGCTGCCGAGGCCAGACGATGGCGGGCCATCCTCGATATTCCACGATGATGGAGCGTCAACCGATGTTACAGGCAATTTCGTCTCCTCGAGCGCCTTGATCACCGCCGGGAAGGGTTCCCGGACCTCGCCAGAGAAGCTGAATCCTAAGATCACGACGTTAGGCGCGCAGACCGACAGTCAAAGAAAAAGTGATTATGAACGAACCGAAAATCGCGTCCACGATGTGGTCCGTCGACTTCAGGGCCGTTGGAAAGTCGTCAACGAACGGAATGTTCAAGTCCACCAACTGCTGCGCCAGTCGCTGAGAAAAACGATTAGTCCAATTCAACTCACGGCAGGCCCCGAGAAGCCTTGGGGAATGCAAATGTAAGGCAGCATGATATACACGCAAACTTTGCCGCCGTTTTCTTTCTCAAGGGGGGAAGCACAGCAGAAGGTTTGTGCATTGCATAGCGAAGCTTGGGTGGCAGATAAAATGAGTCAATATGTGACGTCGAAGCCTCGACGACGAGGAGTCGCTGACAGAGGGTTGGTATTTTGTTCAAAAAGCACTTGCCCATGTATTATGCGTCCACGAATCGAACGACGAGATAGACAAAAGTTTAATATATCACCACTCACTTGGTAGAGCTCGTTCTTGCTCCGCTTTGGATAATATATGCTGGGTTTGTATCCGTAGTGACGAAGGTGACGGGCAGCGACGAGACCATCACCACCTAATGTTGCGTGAGTGTCAAGCCATGGGGGGAGCGAGCTGGACATCGTCTCTCACCGTTATTACCGGGTCCGCAAGCCACAAGAATGTTCAAACCCTTACTGAGGGGGTGGACACGGTAGACTGGCTTGGCGTCAGCCATTTGCACTAAACTGAATGGGCTGCGTTCAAAGACTGACCTGCCTGGGAGACAGAGAGGCCAGCGAGCTCCATTAACTGGTCGAGTGAAAACGCGCCGGTGCTCATCAAATCCTTATCCAAGGCTGCCGCGGCCTTGGCCCCGAGTGTCTGCCAGCATTTATGAGCTTCTACACCGCTGAATTGACCGGCGATACCAACCTTCAAAGCCATGATTTTGATATTGTCGCGATATCTTTTCTTAACTGAGATGAAAGATGACGTTGGGTTGATGAGCTGAGGTCGCTCAAGCCAAAAAAAAAAAGTGTGGATGAGGACGGAAGGGGACGTGCAATTGACATCACTCCGCATCGGTATTGCCACAGAATCCCTTCCCGGTCAGCGACGAATCATACGGAAGTACAACCCGGGCAGCCACCGCGGGAGCCGGTTGTAGCGTCACCGACGGACCCATATAGTGCTAATTACTATAACGTGAGATATTGAAACTGTGTACCCATCAAGGTGCCTTCCCAGTACATTAGTGATTGTGTCTCAGACGCTGGAATGGGTGCGAGAGATATTTGACATGTTTGATCAGAAGAGAGTTATCAAAATTCCTTATACAACAATAGAGTACTTTCACTTTGTCCAGTCTCAAACTACTGGCCTGAGCTGGAATGTCTTGCTAGAGTGACCCCATAGCACCTGCGTCATCTACGCTTCTAGTTGGTCCACTTATTATGACCTTATTTTGTGTTCATCGACGACGTTACAGGCAATCTTCAACTCACAAAAGCCGCAACTTCTGCAGCCAAACCACAATGATTATACGTAAATTGAGGGGGGAAAAAAAAAAGAATAGCTTTCATCCCATTTTTTTGAATAATAAAGTTAAGAATTATTTCTCGGACACGTGATGCACTGTCTCATTACATCACTGTGAAAATGAACTCAGAATTAGGAACCAAAACGTCCAACCATGAGTTCCCGATCAACTTTTGAATTATACACAAACAAATATGAAATATATTTTGTTGGTTAACCTGTAGACCAGACGCCTGGGGTCAAGCTAATTGCGGCTGAAGCACATTTCGCAGCAACTGCAAGCCACATTTCAGGAAACGACATGACATATTCCAGGCAAAGGGTCAACCTCTCATCCTGCTGCATTGTAAAATACACTAGCCGATTCATAATCAGTGAAAAAGATTATGTTTTGTTTTTCCTGGCACCTTCCAACTTTAAAATTTAAGCTCCAGTTAGTCCCTTTACCGGTTTGCGCAGCATGCCAAGCAGGAAGGAGCTACTCATGAAAGGAACTTCCACACAGCTGAAACATATATGCCTGATCAAAGATATGTTTAGTAATCTTTATCTTATCATGGTATATCGAGTGATTCATCGACCACAATATTCAAACGCGTAAACAGCACCTTTTCACAGGTAAATTATACCGGACATTGATATTGTAAGGAACACACTTCTGCATGACAAGTGCGCTGGCTTGGCGGCCAGCACCCTGGCATGCCTTTGTGCTAACTGCACCTGAGTGGTAAATTTCTCGATGACAGTGGAAACCAACTGCTCATGGTCCCATATTTCTTCCCATACTTCCACGATCGATTGTCCGCCAACACCAGTTCCATCGCATCAATGTTGTTTGCCACACTTGCATCTCCTGAAGCCAGTAGATGAAGACAACTCGTTTTTCAGGAAACAGTGGAAAGCCTCATGAGCTTTTCCACCTGACTTTTTAAGGCGGATAGGAGTTGGCGCCGCCGCAAATAAAGTAAACATAAGAGCGTTTCCGTCTACAAGAGGAGTGTCATGCGCAATCAAGCTTGATTTGTCCGGTTGTGCAACATCGTTATTGCCTCTTTTATCCGAACTGCATTCCGACGGAATTATAGTAAACAACCGATAACTAGGTACAATGACTTTTGGGTAGATGTGAGGTCAGATTATAGCCGGGTTGAACGCTGGTTCCAACCTAGAATTAAAGAGGGTCGGGCTAGAACGTACCTCCGGTCCAAGCTCGGACCCAAAGTATCCCGTCGGTACCGCTTGAGAGCTTAAAGTCCGGACTAGTCATAACCTCCGGACCCACTCGGATGTATACGCTTCGGAACGGGACTTACACGAAACATCAGTGGAAATGAACAATGGGCATTTCCTGATCCTTCACTCTTTTTCCGTTATATAAGTTGTATGATTTGTATATAAGATGCGAATAGAAGCCAATACTATCAGAAAAGTAACACCCACAACACAACAAAATACTTAACCCATTGTTAAACAGCTAAACCAGACCCGTCATTCAAACCTCTGCACATTATTCTCAGCATGTCTTTCGATCTCAGAAAGCCAAATCGCAGGATCCATGCCGGAGTCATTTTGACCAAGGGGTATGCATATCAGTCCTACTTTTGTCTCTCCACTAATTAGCATCCCAGCATCACGGAGATGCTTGACGTAGCCCCTTTCGAGTTTTTTGCATGGACAGACAAAGAATCTCTCAGTTTCATGCAAGTCTCCGACAAGATGAAAGAGGATGCACTCGACATAGAGCTGCACTGGGTTACGGAAGATGGGCAACCGGCTAAGATGAAGAGCAGAGCTCAGATCATACCCACTGTGAGTCCATACCTGTTGTCTTCCTCAAACAATAAGGAAAACAGCTAATACCTCCAAGGATTCCTTCGAGACTTGTCCACCCCTGGACATCGCCCTCATGGGCGCGCACGACGCTACCTACAAGACCAGCCCCGCTGAGGTCGAATTCATTCGAAAGACCTTTGATCACTGCAGCGCGTTCATTACCATCTGCGGCGGCGCCATGCCTCTCCTAGAGGCAGGTGTACTTGCTGGAAAGACTGCCACCTGTCCGCGCCCGATCTTTGAGCTGATGAAGAAGAACGTGCCGGTCGTGAACTGGCTCGACAAGCGTTGGGTGCGAGATGGAAAGTTGTGGACGTCCAACTCCTTGCTCAATGGAACAGATCTAATTCGAGCTTTTGCCACGGAGACTTGGGGCGGGCGGAACGGGATGGTCGAGGCGGTGCTCGACGGCGGTCACTTTCCTGACAGAGATGTCGACTTCAAGGATTTCAAGGGGGTTCAGCATTCTATTGATAGTCTCCCAGCCTAAGCCGGGCTTTTATGGATGGTGAAAGGGGTTTGTTCGTTTCGGTTAGAGTTTCGAGCAGTTCCTCGGAACCCTTTTAGACATGCCGGTTCAGGATGTAGGTAGGCAAATCACTCCACTTCATCAAATTAAAATGAATATCATTAACACAAAAGGTTCTAGACTACTTCCAACGAGCACGTGCAAGTGGAGGTCTTAGTTAATCTCAGTCGCCATGAAGCATGGAGGAAAATACTAGATTATTCTCATTTCATTTAACTGTCGTATGGTGGGCCACTCTCTTGTTCAGGTGCAATTGCCTCACTCAGCCGCTCACCTTTGAGTTACCACTTTTAAGCGTAAGATCATGACTGAGGTGGTGGTTTTTTGGTTGAGCAGCGTGGTTGGTGAATATAACTATTAACAAAAATGCACAATGCAAAGTTCCATGATGTGAAAAGAAACGCAGCTCACCTTAGGCACCAACTCATTCCGAGCATACGACCTTAACGCAGCGGGTAATCTAGCCGCATCACCTAAGTAAATGCTCGCTCCATTATTCAAACACGATCGCCTCATTTAGCTAGTTATCTCATATTAGTTACTCTCATATTACTAAAGTGATACTTAAGGTATTTAGGAGTGAGCAGGATGGAGTAGGGGTGAGCTAGGCAATTACCAAAACACTATATAGTGTCAGTACCAAACCTAGGTGAATAATAATTTACTAAGCCATATAATTAGTTCTAATATGCAGATAAATTTTATGCGTTCGGCTATGCAATACGGAATAATTGGGAAGGCTTCCGCGGAACGGGCCAGATCTTATAGCAACTATAAATCTTGAGATCGGTGCTAACAGTAGATCAGCATACTGACCCTACTACTAGAGGAAAATACCTAGGAGGGAAAAAGGGGATTACAAAGCTCACTATTCATATGGGATATTTCAAGCATGTGAGGAGACACAAGCTTGGGGCCCCATCCCCATCAGCCCGATGACCCCGGATGACAGACAATACCAAATCTTAGAAATTATAGTAAACTACTGTCTCTCCAATTCCAGATAGTGGGGTCTAGCCATGGAGAGAGGGAAACGTTTAAGAAAAAGAAAGAAAGAAAAAAACTCCGAATTCCTATAGTAATTAAATTCAGTTATCCCCTTTTTGTTCTCCAAGTTCTCATACGTGTGTTATCGTATTACGAAGTAATTTTATACTTATCCAGTCTTATTTGCCACCGCAACTTAAGCAGGTATCGATGTTCCAGGAAACCAACGAAGAATACACTACTTGCTTCGACATTGGTTACACCAACTACTGGACCCGACACGATACGAGTCGCAGCACCTACTATTAGTAATAATGCTTTTACAAAAAGAAATCTCAAACTCGAGAATTTCTGCTACATTTACTATCAAAGTTAGAGACTTTTTTGAGTCATATCAAAGAGGCTGGGTTTGGATGCAATTAAGACTATTAACTCTTACGTCAAGAATACTTACCCGAAGAGGTAACCTAAAGTGCATTTAAAGTCTACTTAGACTTGCAACTTTGAATACACTTGAATTCCACGCCTGTATACAATAATGTTATTGAATGGTTCTCGGTGTGAAGCGTCAAAGTCTTTCACTCTACAAACTCTGATCATGTTTCAATCAGTTTTCGGGGAACATGGGATTTTAGAAGAAAATACGGTGTGGTATGTGGTTGGCCGGAAGCTGCTCATGAACATACCCAAAATAACCTCCAAATCATCTAGGCACCTCTTACCCTATCTAGCTTCGAATCTTATGGGCATGTATTTGAGCTGCTAGACTTGTTGTCCGAGGTAATCCATTCATGGTCTTTGAAGCAAATGCGAATAGAAACAGAATGGAGTCAGTACAAAAATTAAACGCTAATACACCTCGAGGGAATGGTACTTGTATAGCTGCAGGAGAGTGATTTTGAAGTGCAAATTTAATAGATGAAGTTAAAGTTCATTGTTATTGGTCTAAATCTCAGTCGAGAAGGGAACCACTGGGGTCCTTTTAAGTCCTGTGTGCATCATTAGCCATGCCAAAATGCGATATCTGGTACATCCCATGAACTAGAAGGCCCCTAATAGTATTTAAGCGCAGCTTGTCTGTACCAGAGATAAACTCACAGTATATGGGAGAAGTATTGTTTCCCAAGCCGTCACCTGCGAAAGAAGGTTGCCGGTCCCCACGTAACAGACGCCTAGCCGGGTGACCGGCCAGGCGACCACACAAGCCAGTATTATGACTATTACAGCACTTGTAAGGCATGGATAGCTATATTAGAATGACACAAGGTGGTGCACTTCCTAGTCCTGAAAATCACAAACTCAAATGTCATGTTGCTTTCTGTTCAGATGCTGGGAGGTTATAACGAGTCTGACAAGATTGGCATCCATCTCATGGTCTTCCAGAGCAACAGTTTGACTTTTCGATCACATAATAAGGCATACTTGAGCATATTTAAAAAGCTCACTCTCAATTTATGTTAAGCCCTATATCAAGACCCGGATATTATAAGTTAACGAGTCGTTTCTCCCAAACGACTACTGAGGCACCAATATTTCATACACCCAACCTCACTTCATCGGTTCCTGGACAGGAATAAAAATCGCCTTCCCTGGAGCATGTTTGTAGCCACTGGCGGCGGTTCCTTCAAGTCGTCAACAGTTTCAAAGCTTGCCACCGACTGTCTCGCCTCCCAGCGCTCCAACGCCTGTTCACTGTCCCTGGCACTTGTTCTCTTCTTCTTCTTGTGTTCCGAAATTGCAATCAGAATAACGCCCAAGAGCAGCAAAACGGCCACGATGATGGCGACGGCGGTGGTTGCGGGGCCACCCATCCTCATAGGAGAATCTGAGCCTCCAGACGGAGGAGCTGGCGCGGGAGTCTATGAGGCGGTGAGTCTGGAACCCTTGAACAAGGACTTTTATGATGAGAATTGTTACTTACGGCAGAAGCTGCAGGTGCATCCTCAGCGCGTTTAACGTAGTTGGCGAACATTATGAAAGCAGTTGTGGGTATCTCGCTGAACAATCACTGAAAAATTTGAAAATGGTAATTGTAGTCAAGAAAGAGAAATCATGAGCAGTATATAGACCGCTGTTGAAATACTGCATCTTATATCTGTCCTTGCGCTTGTTTCAGTGGGCGGGCATGGGCGACATTTAAATCAGACGTCGTCCGTGGCCTCGGCAAGGTAAGCAGCCCCAAGCTGACTTGCATATTGGGGCGCGCGCGCATCCGTGCTGTGTCTCTTTCGCCATGCGGCCTTATTTTGTGAGTAACACGGCAGCCTGATTTGATGGTACAATCGATGAAATGTCTGTCATAGGCGTTGAAATGATGAAGAAATGCTCGAAATTCTTTTCACTAGTGGTTTTGGGGGCTGGATCACCAAGGGATTGCATCCTTACGATTATCTATTGACCAAAACGCCACCCCAAGGCATTGAAGCATTGGCCAGCTCAGGCTATCATCTCAACCTTCCGGAACTTTACTTGACCTCGCCCAACGAGATAGCCCGATTCGGAGAGTCGTACCAAAAGCGTCAGCAGACCTTGCGAGATCAAGGCGTTCGACTCCTGCTGAAGTAACCAAAGCAAACAACAACCCACCAATCTTGACCTTCCCAAATGGAAAAGCATTGGCATAGGCATCGATTACATTATGCGTAGTGATTGGACAACCAGGCAGGCTGCTTACATATAATTACGCTGTCAGACTGCATTGCGCTTCGGTGCCCGCAAGAGCGGTATACAGGAGCGGACATGCCGACTTACACCTTAAATGCACCAGAAAAGCTTCATCGACGGTTCCGATGCACCCGCAAACTTAGGTAAGACTCGGCAAGCGCTAATGCAACGACAAGACCTCGCAACGGTATTTCCACCTCCGTTACACTGCGAGCACCGAAAACAAGGTCATATCCGCAATAGGCTACCTTAGTTCTTTGGTTCAGGATTGACGCCGACGCAAAGTTGTTGAATGTGAATGCTGTTGCATGTAGAAGCTTGAGATGCTACCGTACTCAATGAGAACCAAAGCCCGGGCGGATTTAAGACTCATAGCTACCTAAATGCTGCCGGAACCAGTGGAATTACTTTAACCAAAGCCTCTGTGCTCTGGAGATGCCGCATCAGCACATACGTGATTTGCTAGATACCTCTCAAAGGCAGAGCGTAGTTTACACTTGCTTACATGTCGAGATTACCTTTCAAAGCTGTCAACCGGGCAGTCGCATTTGGATCAGCAATGTTTTCTTCTAGGTATTCGGACTCAGAATCTTTTAGAACATATCATGAAGTAAGTAAAAAGAAAAAAAAAATGAAGAATCGGAACATAGAATACAAGACCAGCGGCCATGAAATCACGTCTGGAAAAAAATGACAACGGCGGTCAGAAATAGCTGACGAATAACGGTCTTGTGCTTCTCGAACCCCTTCGCGGCGTTCGTTCCGGCATTCGAGAGTTTCATTATGCTTCAATTCTCTTTTTGTATCCGCCACGGCGCGTTTTCCGCTTCCTAGTATACCAGTAAAGGGGAAGCGTGAGGCGGCGTTCACTCATGACGCTTAGACACCAGAGGTATGTCAGCAGAACTCATCTAGCCACATGCTTAGATGAGTGCACTATGCATCGGTACGCGGATGATGGCTGATCCGCGCCGCATTGAAGTCCGAAAGCATGTGTCGTTACGATAAGGTTCCTAACTGAGTTCCGGACGATATTGGGAACCCACCAGTAATGTCATCTCCGCCAAGTCAGCCGGCAGTCATCCGCTTGCGTGACGAGAGGCCAGTGCATGGAAAAGGCCTATGCAAGCTCCTATGCGAACGGCAACGGCAGTGAAGATGCTGCACCTAGAACGGATTTAATGCAGGACCGTTTGTTTCATCGGGAAGACTCCCGTCGACCTTGCGAGAAAGAAGGCCTGTGTTCCATCATCAATAGTAAGCTATGTTATCACTTCAAGGGTGGTTAAGTAGTATGTAAGTATGCCCAAAAGCTTACTCGCCTTTTGCATAGTAAGGAGTGGGACTCGCAATCCACGTGCTTCTTATTAGATTTAAGGGTAGGGCAATTTCTCTTGGATACTACCGGAAATAAAATCAATCATCATTGTTGGTTTAAGGCAAATATGTCGTTAAGTCCTGGTCGCCAAATCTCCAGACATAGCCTTGTTGAGCGAGGAGATAAAAATGGGAAGACATGCCAAGGGAAGAGACAAGGTGCGTGCCTCACCAACTCAAAAGCTGCTTGAAGTCAGACGAGTACTACGCCGTCCAGAATCAGGCAGGCTTTAGATTTTACTTTAATAGAGCTCCCGAACGCATTCGCCGATTGAAGTAATTTCTAGAATCCGCCGATTCGACCAAGAGAAGAGCCCGTGTTGCCAGTAGGTTGAACATTGCTGTTTCCGACTTAGCTTCCTGGCAGAGCTGTGATGCCCGTAAGAACCATATAGATGCCGAGATGAAAAACGATAGAGAAGACACGCTTCAAAGGAAACCATTCCACCGTCTGTATCCCGAAAAATGGGGAGACTCGTTGACATGACCCGAGGTGTAAGCACTAAGCATGGAAGGATGCTACTGCGGGAGAAAAGAAGTGAAATACTGCTTTGGTATGTTAATTGCGCGATAGTACGATTGGTACATGTGGACAAGCCGACATTCCTTGACGATATCGTTCGCTTCCAAAAGTGTTATTTCAGGCTAGTTTTGGAATTTGTAAACTATCATGTAACTTTGCCCTCCTTAAATCAAGATCGGTTATCAGGGCTAATAAAACAGATTTCAATACGTCTATCTGTGCACATGAACCATATTGAACGTTGGTTTCCGTCGTGGGTGGTGGAGCGGCTGTGAATCCTCTGACTGTTGTACCTTACTCGGCTCGGCTACAGGTCGAGGAGAAAAGCGTAGAACGTTTCCTTTGGGTAGGCTCGCTTGATTTCGACTAAGTCAAAGTTGATTCTAGAGCCGTTTATTTTCTGAGAACCGGTTTTAAGTGTCTCTAGTTGATATTTCTTTTTGGTAGTGAATGGTTAGACATTTTTGATCTTGAATGGGCTGTGACAGCTTATTTTGAAGAAGCAATAATAGCCACACTGAACTGGGCAGGTATCAATTCACAAAGAATCACAATAACTTATTCCAAATAACCACAGCTGAACTACTCAGAAACCTTTCATCCATTTAAAGATCTCAGCTCCTAACGGTTGCAGCATTGCTTCTGTCAATTGACAACTCCAACGCCACTACCCCCGACAGTACTCCCCCCCCCCCCCCCCATTTATCTCTTATCTCAAAATTTGAATCGCACCTTGAATATCTAGTCATCCATAAGAAACCCCCCATTTCACTCACAGATCCAAGTCATCTGAATCAGTCCCCCAGACCAATGTCGAAGATCAGGTGAAACCTCCACGACGAACACCCACCTTCCAAACCACAGCTATCTCGCAAGATGGTCCGTGCACAGAGGGAACCCCTGTCCCTTCCACTGTAGTGGGGGGCCAGTAAACAACGTGGGAACGAGACCACCAATTCCATCGGTCCCTTCCCCACCAACAACACCTCCCAAAACAAAGGGAAACCAACCTCAACACCACACCCGTCATCACCACCCACCGCCAAAGCAACACCGGCCGCATTCCTCGCTTCACGCTAAACCGCCACAACCATCCCGCTGACGTCAAGGATACCCTCAATTATTTCCCCCATCATCTCCATACCGACACATTCCGAGTGAAGACCGGCCTGGGTAAACAAAGTAAACAAAAAAAACCCCAAGCAACGAAAGCACCCCAAAAGAAGAAGAACAAAGCCAAAAAAAGAAAAAAAAGAGAAAAAGAAAAAGAAGGGGCAACAGAACAAAATGTCAGCAGCCCAAAACGCAGCAACATATGCAGACTGCGTAGCCTCCCTCCGCTCCTCCCTCAACTTCCTCCAATCGTCCGTCGAGACCCTCGAGACAGGCGTATCCGACCTACCGCGCGTCGCGTCCGTCCTGCGTCCCACGCGACACTTCGAGCTCATCCCGCAACCCACGCTCGCAGCCGCCGAGGCCTCGCTGCGCGACGAAATCGGCCCCTACATCGCTCTTCTCCTCGACCGCGCGGACGCACAGCTCGCGCGGAGGGAGAGACGCATCGAGACCCTGAAAGCGAGATGTGAGCTTCTCCAGGGCCGTCTGGCGCAACCCACGGATGACGACGACGAGGGCTACGGGAAGAAGAAGAAGGCCGGAGACAAGAGGAAGGCTCTGGCTGGCGAGAGCGCGCTGCGGGCCAGGGCCGTGAGGCAGCGTAGGGAGGCTCTAGAGTACAGCGTCGAGAGGCTGGAACTGGAGGTCCTGACCAAGGAGAGGGAGCTGAGGAAGAGGCTGGACAAGGCCTGAGACAACGGACAGCTACCGAGAAAAGAGCACATGAAGAACAATGGGGAGTTGAAGACTTCGGACTTCCGAAAGAGGCTCTCTCGTTCTTGAGCCGAGACTGCCTGGGGGGGAGGGGCCTTCCCGGACCGGGCAAGGGCCGCTTGCGGAATGATGTAAATGATACCCGATGACGAAGGTGGGAAGACTATTACCAAGCGCCACGCGAGGAGTTGGGACGATGTGGCTTGGCGAGACCGGGTCTCGTGGACTTTGAGCCGACATCGAAAACAGATGATGCGACGTCTGGAACAGAAATTCTGAGCCGCGATCAAAATGATTGGTCGACGTCGAGGCCCTTCTCTCGCATTGCTGTTGGAACAGAGATCGCGTGATGGGAACGCCACCTGGTACAGTTCTGCTAGGGAGCATCATTGACGGGTGCAGAGGACGGGCGATGGACTTGGCTACGGCACAAAAGCAGAGAACAGAAAGCAAGACAGTGGCAGGTCGAGACCTGCCTGGGTTACGATGAAGCCTAATGGCCAGTAAACACCATCACAGCTTCAAAAAGAACTTATTGCGAAATTGATATGTGCAAATGCCATTTATACACAGCAGGGGAACACCAACATGCATGGGTATCCCAACTGCGAGCTATCATAGCTATCCGAATGACCCAAACCCGTTGCTCGTGACCCGTCCCAGTAAAAGAAAAAATAAAAACAGACAAGAAAAAGAACACCATCCCTCTGCGCGCGCATCAATGACATGCACTTAAAAAGGTACGAGGGAGGAAAGCCTGCACACAGAGGTGGGCGGATAGAAGTAAAAACGACAAGTAGAAGAAAGGTGGCCGTTTCGGCGGATATACGCATGCCGCTCAGGCCTCGAAAAACAAGGCGGCGGTTTTATCCCGGACAAGAGACCCTAATATACTCCAACAAACATCGAGTGCGAAACCATCCAGTGTCCCTTATGGTCATTTTTAGCTCCCCTCTTCTCCCAACGGCGAAATGAAATTCGTGAGCTCATCATAACAGGATCAGGTAGTTGCTGGGTGCGATACCCGTCTCGCCAGTCTCCTTGCGTGCTTGCCACCACCTTCCGCTCACATCGCTGACCTCCAGAATCTCGTGCTTGGAGAACGAAATCTCGTTTGCGTCGTCGGGGTTGGCCTCGTAGCTGTAGATGGCCTTCGCGCGGTAAGGGTATTCGGTGGGCGGCACCACCTCTTGGTCTGGTGTCTTTTGAGGCCCAGGTGTGGTGAACGTTGGCGCTACGGCGGACTCGCGGGGTCCGGCTGCAATGCCCTGCACTGGGGACGGGTTCTCGAAGCCGTTCAGCTGCGCCGAGGTGTACATCTGGGGAGGTTGCACCGAGGTCGAAGTCTCGGGTCTGCCACCGCCGTACATCATCTGTCTGCTTCCAGATTCCTTCTGGAGAGCAAAGGAGTCGAGGTAAGCACGCGGCTTCGCTGAAGGAGCAGAGCCAAAGTAGAAGATCCACACAATCTGCAAAATATTAGCAATATCCCATTGAGAGCCATGCGGCGAACGTACGGTGACCATGGCCATCAGTATGAAACCAGCTCCAGCAGCCTGGCGAGCGCCGAGGGGAGAGTAGATGAGGGAGTGGATGGTGAGTGAATTCAAGGAAAGGGCAGCGGCCAAGTATCCCGTAAGAGCGACATGGTAGGTTTGTGTCGTATCGGATGCCACGACGACGAAGACGCCGGCAATGAGGAAAAACATGTAAACGGCTGTCCACCATGCGAAGGCGGGGAATGGTCCCGTATTATTCGTTGATTGTGTTGTAGCGATAATAGAGCTAATGAATGCAATAATCCATGCAAGCTATGAATACTGTTAGTGTCTGGCTTGACAGGAGATCGGTTCGAGAATAAATTGGATTGGCTCGGACATACCATGGAGATGGAGACTGTGGCTAGAGCAAAGGGGTCACCGATGATGTTCCCCAGATTAATGCCCTTTCTCCCATACTGAACCCGTGATTGTTCCATTTTGCGCAATGATGGTGAATGAAGAGAACCGTAAGAGGGCATAAGGAAAACGGTTGGGGTTTGTTGAAGTGCGGAATTAGATGCCTGGAGGCAGGTATCGAGAGTGTTTCTCGATTGAAATGAGGATTCCAAAAAACGAGTCGGGCGACTTCAGTCTGCTGCGACCTAAACAATCGGAGCAAACAGCTCTGAATATTTGACGATCAAGACGCTGGGTGATCCAACGGGTGATACGTAATTCGAATGCCGCGAGGGGGTTGTCGTGGCTGGTGGGAATGCAATTCCTCTAAGAAAAGGAGTGACCGGTGGTTGGGCTCGTGGGGGAATAAAAAGAAACGTGCCGGGGTGTTGTTGGCAGTTCGCTGTTCAGTAGTGCGTCAGATTGAATCACAGGGGCCGAGGCGGTAGCGAAGGAAGGCTGGATGAGGCCCCGGGGAGAAAGTTAGGTTGATAGCTAAGGCGTGGATAATCGGTATCTCGAAAGCGAGTCGATCGTTTCAGAGGGTTGTCCAGCAAGGCAGCCTCTTTTTCAAGGAAGGAGAAAGAGAAGAGTGGTAGGAAGTAACGTGATTGTTATTTCGTGATTGAATGTAAGACGGCGGCAGTGAATTGCTGTCGCGAATTTGCAAGGCAGAAAGGGAGAAATCGAAGTCGAAGGAGCGAGGAATCGGAGAGTGTGAAAGGATGAAGGATGGAAGAAACAATGGAAAACTAAGTCGGGCGGACAAGTCGAACAGCGCCAGGAAACAGACGACAGTTGTAAGGGGCAGCAAAGGCTACGGGGAGGAGAATGCCGCACGGGGCGAGCGTTGTTGTCGGTCGAACGCGCGAAATGAAGGGCAACGACTAGTTGGCCCAAGAAGGAAGCGGGCGGCGTGGATTACGAGGTACAAAGTCGAACCGGCCGGCAGGCTAGACCAGCGAAAAGGCGTGGGTTGGCGTCGTTTTTTTTCGAGTCGGCGTCCGCAAGAGGAAGCCTTTCTTCAGGTACGGATGCTTCGCCGGGCGAGGTAAAGCAACCAGCCGACTAATCGAGGTCGACTATGGGGCAATGGACGAGGAACTAATGGGCGAGCTATTCGTGGTACCCGATCGCGTGTCGACATGCAATTCGGCCCCTATTATGTATTTTGTTCCTCTTCTGTGGTGGTCTTGCTGCGCCGTCTCTCGTCAGGCCCCCGGTTGTGGACTTGTGTTTGCTTGGATTGGCCTGGGCTGGTATGGTATTTGTCGGGCGCTACGCTCGTGTCGTGCGCTGCGGCGACGAGCGGTAGTGTTTGTTATTCGGTCAGCCTGGGTAGCGCAGGCGTCGTTCTCGACGGAGCGATAACCAGTGTCTTCCTCTCCCTCTCTCTTGCTCTTTTGGTCTGGGCGACTAATGAACGGCTGCCGTAAAACCGTTGTTAGGAAATGGGTTGAAAGGAGTGGAAGGTATGAGACGGGGGGGAAAGAATGGGAAATAAAAGAGGAGAGACCCCGACGAAAGACACAACCAGCTGAGGAACTGTTGGAGGAAAGCAGGGCCTTCCCACCCAGATTGGACTGTCACAAAATGGAAATGTTGCAAGGGCCGCTGCAGGTTCCTGGTGTGTGCTGAACGGGCCAGGCAGTGCAATGCAGTTGCAGTGCGTGAGTACGTATGGGATGCTGGGTGCTGCCGCCTCTTCCTGGTAGGTGCTGCTACTTTGGCCAGCGTAGCGTGCCTTAAAGTGCACAGTGGGCTTTGGGTAATTAAGAGGATGTGCCAAGCGGGAATTAAGAGCGATGCCATGGGGAAGGGGGGCCACAGGATCCCCTGGGTAGGCACGTAGGGTGGTAGGTTCACTGAGACGAGAGAGACAGCAAACGTGGTGGTGGACTGGGCCCAGGCGGGAAGGGGCACTGGAAGGGACAGTGAGAGGGGCGGGCAGGGGGAAGTGATGAGGCAGGAAGCAGTGAAAGAAGGGAAAAGTGGACTTGGCTTCCTGGGTGCGTAATCCTGTCTCCGCGCTAATACCAAATGAGGTGAATTTAAAATCGACTCGTTGTGGGCATCCGATAGAAAGCATATGTACGTACGGAGTAGCAACAACCCAGAATCAATCGCTGCCAATGAACCAGGCTCGACAAGGCAGTGCTGTGAAGGTATGGCAGCCCAACGGCCATTTCATACTACATTCTACCAACACCAATAAAACGATCACAATTGCACATAGGAAATGCGGATGGGGGGACCTGGTCTACAACGTAGTAAGAACATCGGCGGGAAGGATGGAGGTCCTGGTCAAGAGAGAAAAGTGTTCTGATGGCACATACAGTGTGCATCTTTGCAAGCATCACAGTACCGTCCCACCTCTCTCATCGGTACGTATCTTGAGCTTTTGTGTGTTCGACCCACCTCAGTCCATTTCAGCCGAGTACACTCACCTGTCTAGACCGCGCCTCTTGCTAAAACGGTACCTGCCAGGAGCACCCAACAGTGAAGATCGTCCAGCAGGAAGCCCCGGCGCCCTCTTTCACCTCCCCCAGAAACCGTTGGTCCCTGCCCAGTGCGTGCCCCCTCCTCCTTCTTTCCCCTGGTTGGAATCGAGGCTAGGGGGGTTTGAGATTTTTTCTCAGTGTTCTTCTCATGGCGGTTTGCTGCAAGGTATCCACGGGCATCCCATCCATCATCTGGATTAGACGACTGGCTGGCCAACTTTCCCATTTCCCCCCTTCTTCTTCTTTTATTGGCCAAACAGGTCATTTACCCCTGACTTTGCCCCATCTGTCGCCAAGCTACGTACCAGCGGATATCTCGCACCTTTAATCCACCTGCCCTCATTTTCAGCGTCAGCCCTGAAGCTGCACCACCTGCTTTACCTGAGCGGAGACTTGGCCAGACCTTTGGATCTTCCACGTTGTGTGTTTTCCATATCTGTCTTCGTCTCTGTCTGATTTGTTCGTTCCCACCCTATGTACTTAATTGAAATCGACCATCATGAAGGTAAACAGGCGTCATTTCTGGCAACTAATTGGGTTTGCTAGCTTCTCATCCCGTGCCTTGGCTGTAACTACAGACCATACCCAGCAAAACAAGAATCGATCGGCCTGGCATCGTCCACACATTCCACAGACTGGCGTCTTCCAGTAACCACCTAGACGCAGATGCAGGGGTTCCCTATCGCCTCCCGCCGGTCTGTCATGCCGTTTCATCGTCCTCGCTGGCACACCTTCACCGCGCGAGCGCACTTGAGATCAACATGCACTCACCCGATTCGGTAGATGGCTGCCCTGAGGCACTCTGTTCGAAGGAGACGAAGGAGACGGCCGCGCTGAAGAGTCGCACCCAGAACGGGGTTATCCGACGCCCGATACCTAGCTCTCGGACCCTCACGTGTCGTTGACTCTTTACCCTGCTCCGCCTGCACTCTGCGGCTCGTTGTTATCCGCCGATTGTCCGTGTCAGTCCGCCTATTGTCTGCCCCCCCTGTCGACTGGTTGACAAGTACAGATAGCACATCTTCTCTTCGTGCTGCAGCCGCCAGATCTCTTGAGGTTGCTCAGATCACATCCATACCCGTTAGCTTCTTAACCGTTGGGTATGTAGCAGGCCAGCAAGTATCCTGGCTTGTACTGGCTTGCGGTTGATTTTGACCAACTATCCCCTGAGACTTTTACGTCGTGGCTCTTCCACCAAAGATGGTCAGCGACCGCTGAACTGTTATTACCGGCCTACTAATTCTGCAACAGCTTGAATTGCAAGCAGTGGCTGGCCGTTGGCGGTCTTTCAACGCCTGAAACCATAGGAACCGGAGCACCAACCGCCACAAGTTGGATCTTCCGGCCTAGAACAAGGCGCTCTGCAACAAGACCGATTCCCGAAACTACCTAGACACCAAAACAATGGCTTGTCCAGGTGACACCAGTCTCTTAGCTATCTCAGAACGCCATTGCCACCGCATCACCATCATCGTCACCCACGTAGCTGTCAAATTCTTTCACAACCATTTTTTTGTGATACTACGACTGATCACCCGCTTGCAATACCATTTAAAGCTTGTCATTTCATAGCGCGAATGGATGAACGCGGCTTTAACAACACGCGCACAGCCCACCTTCAATGTCCCTGGCATCCCTTACTCGTGTTTCGTTCCTTCGTCCCAGCATTGATTCCCTCAACAAGGCAATGTTTTCTTGATGCCTGGCGCATGGAATGGTAACAGTAATCGGTCACGATCTGAACTGAAGGTTGCAAACCAGATCTCTGCTCAATTGAACCCATACCTCGATGGCTCTTTTGAAGCCTCGTCTGTCGGTTTTACTATGGAGACATAGCTGTGGGCAGTCGACCGCTAGTGGGCTAGTTTTTTCATGTGTCGGACCAAGTCCATTTTCGAAACCCCATCATCCAAGAAATTACACGCCGTCAAGCCGATTGCCGGGTCTCTCGGCGCTTGTTGTTGGGCCTTTAGTGCTCTTACCGGGCCCGAATTGAAGTGTTCTCTATCTGCTAGAACGCCATACACGTCCTGGAGTTTGACAAAACCCCTGGTCACTAGACGCCGACGGTAGATGCGTGAGCCATGCCGTGGGCATGCTGTGTTTACCCTCATATATCCAGTTTAGAGGTCGCTAGACCGCAGTGCAGATAATGCTTGTGGTGTCCATGGGCCGAAGTTCCCGAGACTCTTTCTGATTCAAAATTCCCAAGGCTTTAGCCCCATTTCCGAACTAGGATTCACGTATGCTCGGTGTTCGTATCGACGCGGCGCCAAGTCTTAATCTGAATACCATCCCAAAAGAATACGCGGGTTAAGGTCCCGCAAGCTTGAACCACAGGATCAACTCGCCCCTCTTCCTACGGCTGATGCTGGTCCATGCGGGACTTTGCTCAGTACCATTTACAGTCCCTCAGCGACTTTACATCCCAAGGTTTTTGACATTCGCAATGCGGGCAAGTGCCCAAAACTCTTTACGAGAGTCTGGATACTAGTAGTCGACTCGACAAGGTCAGCTCGTGACACACTGTGTGCCTTAACATTTTTCTGCCACAGCCCCATCCTCCAGCCCATACCCCTGGATCTGACCCCGGCAGCTCTTACGAACGAACAAGTCCGAGCGAAGCGGCGCGCCATTGGACGGTCCTCGCTTATTTCAGTCAGCTCATGAGGGGGAAGTTCCATTTATATGCATCCGACACCTCTGTGGCTTCCACATGTGGCTAAACACGCCAGCTCCAGTGGTTCGAAAATCAAGGAAACATTTGGTGATCCGACAGTCTGGACGGCGCGGGGTAGGCGACTTCATACATTTGGCTTCTTGAAAATTTGTCATATTGCAACGTCACGCCGTCAGAGGGAAAACGACCGTACAGAGTTGATTACATGTCAAGAGGACATTCACGCTGTGCTCACTTCGGAGCAGATCAGGGGCCGAACAAGACGTAGACATTGCCACATCTGTTCATTATCGAGGAGCAGCCAACCAAACCTATTTGAGGGTTGTGGTCACAGCTAGTCCGTCATCTGTGCATGATAACTCACAGACGGGCCCCCTGAAGACTGCAGTCAATAGCACTTGCGAAGCCAAGCTTTTGTGGTTTGGTAGATCAGCCTTCTTCCGCTTTCTAGCACACAATGTAACCAACCCTCTAGCGCTCGGACGAAACCCCTGTCAAGTCTGGACTCACGACAGCAATCATGCCCTTGACTACATGATGACGATAGAGCAGCGTCGCAATAATATCAAACAATGAAGCTTTTATGATATCAAGTACTTGCCTAACTTGCCATTGTCCATCACTTACTCTGGCCGGGTGGTAATGGGAGGCCCTGTCCAATCTATCCTCCTTCGGCAGTAGGCTAATGCCTGATCGACTTCGGTCACCAGTTCTACAGCTTGGGGGCAAATCCGTTCCTGAAACGCGGAGAGGCAAATCCCGTGCGGACGAGCAAGCATCCTGCCTTTCCGGACCCGGCCATCTCGTCTGCATGATTGGTGTCTCCGATCCGATCGCACAAACTCTGAATAAAATTTTCGTTTTTTTTCTTGTGTTCCTTGCCTGCGTTGAACGTTCGGGCGGACGACGTCAGAGCACTGGCTGCCACCCACGTATGATAGGGCAGTCCGAACCTGCTGCGATCCATGCACCGAGGTACTCCGTCCGTCATGTCGTGCAAGGTGGACAGAGCTTTTTCGTCTCTTTGTCGGTTTTGAGATGAAATGCGACCGATACCGACAGAGCGGGTGTTCATGGTACTGTCATTTCGACAAAAGACACAGTGTCATACTAAACCGGACCTCAACCGCGATAAAATGGCGGAGTATCGACCCAATATAGCCACTATTTGTTTCATGCATGGTCGGCAGAAGGCTGCATTGCAGTTCTGCGGATGAGCGATCCGTGACTGATGATGACCCCGAGCCGAAGGCTATATGTGCAGGAGTTAAAGATATGCGAGCCCTTGCGCATACGAGAACGTCGCCATAAGGCTCAACTCCGTGTCGGACGTCAAAATTGATGTCTGTCAGACGGGGGATCTCATATGGCTGCTGCCTCCTCTTTCTCCCGCTCGGCTCTTCGTACACGACGCTCTATCCTCTCCACCCTGCTCTCCACATCGGCAACGAAGTCGGAGGCCCCCAGGACTCCTTGCTGGTACCAGCTCTTGAGGACCTCTTCGCTTCTCGCGCGGAGTTGAGCCATTTCAGCCGCCTGCGCGATCTGAGTTGCTTCAATACCACGCATCCTTGGCACAAGGGAGGCAAGAGCGGCGCTCTGCGAGGGCTCGGGAATCGGGCAGTCGTTGACGGAGGTCAGAGACGAGGCCGTCGCGGGGAAAGAGGCAGCGGACGCCAAGACGGTTGCCTGAACTGCTTCGGGGCCGAGTTGGATGGGAGGTTCGGACGGCGGTGGGGGTTGGAAGAGGGTCGGATGTGAGTTATCTGCCAATTGGTTAGCGAACTCCCAAGTAAGAAGGTGCCATATCTCAGCGTACAAATTTTCATAATCTCACCGTAGACGCGGATGCGAGACAGAAGGTGGTTGAAACGGCGCTCAAGGTCCTCCAAAGTTTCACTGGCCGAATCGGTGTGCGAAAAAGGTGCCGCGGCGGTCGGGCCGTAGAGCAGGTGTTCGATACGGAGAAGACGCGACTCGAGCAGCGATATCGTCGAAAGGGTCGTTTTATCAAGTGAAGAATCCATAATGGTAACAATTTCGCGTGATATCGCGTGTCAATGGACGGTACGTATGGGTAAATCAAAGTAGGGGGCCGTTGTGCTGCACCAGGTGACTGGATGTCTGCAATCACAACACAATATCGCACGCGGTGTGAATAAGAACGCCTCCCTAGTGCGGCTTGGCCGATGACGGATAGATGTCGCAGTTGAAAAGGTATGCGTTCAGTGGGATAACCAAACAGAGAGGTTTCGACATTCCCAATAGATCAAGTGTCGTCTCCGGTCATGGGCCCCTAGCGTGGTAAGGCTGAGGATGTTTGATTTACTGCGTCAGGAGTGGCTGAAGCTGTTTGCTATAGCGCGAGGTACAGCTCAGTGCAACAGAGCATTCCGGTAGGGTGACCAGGTGATGTGTGGCTTGTGACTTTTCCCTGCCTGGGTGGGTGGGCGAGTGGGGGAGGTTGGGCATGTCTCTGAAGGCGCCGAGGCCAGATTGACTAAAAAAGAGAGGGTGAGTGTTCATTCCAGGGAACGCTAGGAATGGGGCCGGCGGACAGTCGGAAAGTGCGGTAGTGCCTCGTGGCCAATCTATAGTGGCCTGTCCAGTGGCTTCTTGGTGTCCACCGGGCAGTGACATTAGCGTCTGCCCAACTGCTACTACTGGTACCTATCGCTGTAGCTGTAGTGGCCACTGCGTACTACGTATGTAATGTGTCCACTGCCCCGGGGTTGGCAGGTACGTAAGACGACCACATTCCTAGTCGGGGAGCTCCGTTTTTTTACCTAAAAGTTGCCGAAACCAACGACATTTTGGACCTTTGGACCTCTGGGACCTGAATGAAATGCTACGAGGACCCTCGTCTCCTGGCGCCTACTGATACCGTGGTCATCCTTAATTAATACCTTTAAAGTTGTCGTTTATTCTGCGGGAACCCTCCCAGGGGCTGCTGTCAGACGGAACGCAATCTTTTTTTTTTTTCGCCGTCCAGTTGTTCGAAAGTCTACTTACCACGTAGTAGTAGGAGTCAGGAAAGGTATTGCCTTGCCTAACCCATAAGCTTCGTCTGTCGGCGACAGCGAAAGTCAGACTCGAGTCAGAAGTTGCGATCGCAAAAGATTAGGATACAAGAACAAGAACACCAACGACGGTGACGACGACCACTTCATCGCCGTCGTCGCCGCCGCCGCCGCCGTCGCCACCGTCTGAAAAAAAACCACAACTCTCGACTCGCTCACTACCCTGACTAGTTGAGTGCTCGACCAAACAGACAGATACCGACAGCAGCATCGACTGTCGCCAAGTTGAATTACTCAGGGTCGCTACACTACCCAAGAGACCCTGCGAGGTTTGTCCCAGTTGGGATCAGTCAACATTTCGAGAGATTTGCAGGAAAGCACGTCACAGCTGCCTGTCCTGTCCTCCTCCACCACACACCCTCACGTCACACCTATTTCTCCGCTCTCCGATTTGCGAGCGCTTGCCGCAAAGCCGCTGTGCAAGGCCGGGATCCCGAGCACGACGAACGAACATCTTCCTTTTGGTCGCTTCTTGTTTTTGTTCGTTTAATTCTTAACCTTACATCTGCCTATACGGGGGACTTTTTTTTTTTTTTTCTCTTTTCAATCGACAATCGCAAGCAGAGTAAACGACACGTTTTACCACCATTTATTTTTAGGCTTTAATTGCCCTGGAGCGGACAACCTTTTTGCTTTATCTAATCTTACCACCGGTTCCGGTTTCCTCTTCGGGCCTTTTTCTGCTTTAACTGGACACAATTCGCTTTGGCGACTTGCGACACTGTCCCGAAATCCGCCCGCGAGAGACGACGCAATCTGGCGACGTTCGACCGATTCGACGACCGACGACCGGGTGCGAAATACTATGACGAATTATTCGAGCATCTCTGATGGAAACGCAAATTCAATTGCGTCTGGAAGCTCCGGCGAAATGTCACGGTACGTCGGCATAACCCCTCCGCCTGCTACCGAAGATGAACGAAACGGCCCACACAAGAGAAGGAGTGTAGTAGACCTTTGACTGACAGATATCCTATGCGCAGACAACGCCGAAGAAATGGAAAGGAGGGCGGAGGCCAGGCCTCCATGGTGAGCAGTGTCATCAACCTGCTCAATACAAGTACGTGATGTCGCATGACCTGCCGAGAGTACAATACCCGAGCATGTGCGGGGTGAAAATGGGAAAACGGAGCTGACGGTTTTGCGATGAATAGTTGTCGGTGCGGGAACATTGGCGATGCCTTCCGTGGTGTCGCACATGGGAATAATGCTCGGATCCTTCTTGATAGTCTGGTCCGGCATCACGGCTGCATTCGGGCTCTACCTACAATCTCGCTGCGCGCGCTACCTTGACCGCGGAACCTCGTCCTTCTTTGCGATATCCAAGATTACCTACCCGAACGCTGCCATCATTTTTGATACCGCCATTGCGATAAAATGCTTTGGCGTCGGCGTCTCCTATATGATCATCATCGGCGACCTGATGCCCAAGGTCTGCCTGGGGCTGTTCAGCGGCTTGGCTGAGACGAGACCATACCTTGGCGAGAGGAACTTCTACATTACCCTCTTCATGCTGATCATCATTCCGCTGAGTTTCCTTAAGCGACTGGACTCGCTCAAGTACACCAGTGTCGTTGCGCTGGTGTCCATTGGATACCTGATTGTATTGGTCGTCTATCACTTTGCCGATAGTCCCCTCAAGGATACCAGCCAGATCAGGGTTGTGAAGCCCGAGAGCACTGTCGCAGTGCTAAGCACTCTGCCGGTGGTAGTCTTCGCGTACACTTGCCATCAGAACGTAGGTTCTCGCGCTGGGGGGAGGGTTTTGTGATATGTGCTAATTTGCTCCAGATGTTCTCCATCTTGAACGAGATCAAGGACAACTCGCCTGGCAGCATTATCGGCGTTGTTGGATCCAGCATCGGCTCTGCCGCCAGCATTTATATCCTCGTCGCTATTACTGGCTACCTCACCTTTGGCAACGCCGTTACGGGCAACATTGTCCAGATGTGTAAGTGGTCGCGTGCTCATCTCTGAGTCATTGCTAACCTCTTTTAGACTCCGCGAGTCTTGCTTCTTACATTGGCCAATTGGCCATTGTCATCCTCGTTACTTTCTCGGTCCCCTTGCAGGTTCACCCCTGCCGCGCCTCCATCGATGCTATCCTGAAATGGCGTCCCAACCGAGCCGCCAACGGAAACGGCCGGTCGACCTCTCCCGGCGGCCGTCCTCTTCTGCCGTCCTCGGCATCCATCCGATCGGACCACGGATCTACTTCTTCCATGAGCGACATTCGCTTTGCACTGCTCACCAGCATTATTCTCGTTTTGTCTTATATCACGGCCCTCTCGGTTCACAGCCTTGAGAGAGTGCTTGCCTATGTTGGCAGCACCGGCTCTACCAGTATCAGCTTCATCCTCCCGGGTCTCTTTTACTACAAGATCAGCGACCCCGACAGCGTCCACCAGCAGCGCCTTCACAAGGAAGACGACGACGCCGATATCCCCTCAGACGAGGAGGACGAGGCCACCATGATCAACAGCATCGCCAGCCTCGGCAGCGCGGCGAGCGTCGTCATTAACCCCCGCAAGTGGAATCGTAAGTGGCGCTGGGACCTTGAGCACATCGAGCAGGACTTGCTCCGCAAGCTTGCATTGGCGCTGGCCATCTACGGCCTCTGCGTCATGGTTGTCTGCCTCATTATGAACATTGTGTTCCACGTATCGCATTGAGCGAAAGCATTATTTTGACCTTTTCTCACCAACAGAGCTTTAGAGGAAGAGTAGTTTTGGATGATGCAAAGGGATGCCCTTGTACGGCCGTTTGGGATAGACATGGCGGCGGGAAAGAAAATCCCTTGAGAACTCGTCGCGCATTCACGGAGTTGGGTGGTTTTGTTTTACTTTTCTCGTTTGGTGCTTCTCATACTTTGTTTTCACCAGGAGCTTGTTCTCTCGTTGATCGCTTACCAGCGCGGTGGGCTGCATTCTGGGCGTTTTCTTGTTCCCTAGCTTTTCCTATGTCTAATTCACTTCTCTGTCAAGTCTCACGCAAGAGACGAGTTTTTAAGGATTAAAGACGGGTCCGACCGAGTAGCCACGGAGGTAAACCTGACTAGCTTATAAAATGGCTTCAAATGGAGTGACATTTTGTTGGTCTTTTGTCTTTTCTTGTTTTTATACAAGTCCCTGATAGTGTACAATTGATGTGACATGTCCGCTGATTGTGTCTGAGGCCCCGGTTTGTCCAATACTGACTGTGACGAAGAACGTCCTCACTTGTGCTCCGTCTCGGCGAAAGAATATTCTTTCTCCTGGTCCTTCGGTTCTGGGCCCCCAATCCATCCGATTCGGTGCTGATGTTCATACAGACATTTGATCTCGGCGATTCTTTCCCCTCCCCCCTCCCATTTTCAGTAATGAGCCCCTTCTCCCGCCGGAAAGCGTATCGAGGATTTTGATGCTTCCCGACTGTTTTGTGTGTTTTTTATTGTACAACGTAGCCTGACCTACGCCTGGCTGCCTTCTTCTTCTTCAAGCTCGCTCGGGTTGTATGTGGATGCTTTTATGATGACGGCGCCGCGGGAGTTTTGAGGGACTTGGCTGCCGTTGCGGTGTTGGCCTGGCCGTCTGGTCTGTACTTTGGCTCGAGAATTCCGACCTGTGAAGATGTTAACTCGTTCTCATGCCAGGCACTGGGTCGTTCTCCATCCATGTTGGAGCTTCCTGGGGGGGGGGAGGAGAGCGAAATAGGTTGGTTCGTACCATTGATAAAAGTCTCCAGACTGTATCGGTCGGCTGGGCTCCTACACCGATCCAGTATTTTGCGCGCAGCGAGTCGAGACGGATTTCCTTGTGCGGCTTCGTCGTGGCGTCGTAGGGGTCTTGTCTGGGGACCGGGTCATAGGTGCCGATTACCTCGATGGGCTTGCTGTTGCGGGCGGTTCTGCGGGTGTGATTAGCTTCCGTTGTCTTTTATCATGCTATTCCCTTGACATTGTCGTTTGTGAGCCCGTAGGGAGAGTGGGGATTTATCGAATTGGGCCCGTTTTGCTTAGAGAAGAGCTTGAGGATGAAAAGGGCGAGCGTACCTGGCCTGCGAGACAACAATGTTGTAGAAAGGCTGGTTGACGCGCCCGAAGCGGGCAAGACGTATGCGGACGACCATCTTGTTATGGGGGTTCTCGAAGCGGCAGTGAGAGGGTCCGGGAATGTGTTTTTCGGGATCGGGCTGTCGCCGGAAAGGTCGTTGTCGGTCGCGAATTGGAGCTGCAGCTGGCTTTTTGCGTGTGTGTGAGGTGATGCGATTTCGAGCCGCCCTTTCCCCAAGTCCCCGGGGCGTGGGAATTTTTGGCCGGAATTGGAGGTTCTTCCGGTTCCGGTTGGTGCTGTGCCTGGCTCTGTGCTCCTCACACCATGGGCGCGGGCGCGAGACTAGGGGGGGGGACACCCAAGAAAGGCATGGTCCCGTCGGTTCGGATAAGCGTTCACACTTGCAAGGATGGCTGTGTTGATTCGGAATATCTGACCAGTTGGGTTGCCGCGCCCCCAGGAAGAGCGAAACAGGCGGTGGGTGGCGGGGATGGTCCCTGGGAGCTGGAATGGAGTGGGACGATTTTCACCCCCTTCACTACTCTTTAATTATATGTAACGCATTCTCACGAAAGGCCCGAGGGTGGGAAGAATCGTCCCTGAGAAACCAGAAGCAGCCCCCGCCGCCGCTGACGTTGTTGTTGCTGCTGCTGCTGCTGCTGTTGCGGTGCCCCCGCGCCTCTCCAGGATCACGAGCCGCGCCTAAAGAAATCATGGCCGATCACTTCTGGAAGACCGTGAGCCAGTCCCCGCCGGAGCCGCAGTCGTGCTCCCCACCGGCTACCACAGCCACAGCCACCGACGTGGACACGGACGTGGCCAAGGAGATGGCCCGGCCGGCCACCACGATGACGCCGGCCCGTCCGGCTACTGCTACCGCACCGGAAAACGCTGCGATTGCTGCCGCAGTGGAGTACCCAGACTACTACGATGACGACGACGGCCAGACTATCCCCATCATCCGGGACGGCACGGACGCCGACTCGGCCCAGATGCGTGCTTCCATTTTGAACTACCGCCGTGAAAACGGTCGAACGTATCACAAACTGTCGGACGGCAAATACGCCTTCCCCAACGACGCCCTGGAGCAGGAGCGCCTCGACATCGTAAGCCACCTCTGGATGCTCACTTTCGACGGCGAGTTTTGCCTCAGTCCAAAGAAGGACGGCGCCAGGAGAGTCCTCGACATGGGCACGGGGACGGGCGTGTGGGCGCTGGACTACGCGGACGAGTTCCCGCAGGCGACGGTAATCGGCGTCGATCTCAGTCCCATCCAACCCATTTACGTGCCGCCTAATTGCCACTTCGAGGTCGACGACCTGGAAAAGGAGTGGACGTGGAGGGAGCCGTTCGACTTCATCTTCGCGCGCAACATGATCGGCTGCTTCTCCGACTGGAGGGAGGTCATCGCGCAGGCGTACAAGAGCCTCGAACCCGGCGGGTATTTTGAGATCCACGACTCCGAGTACCCCATCAAATGCGACGACGGGACGCTCACGGACGACATGCCGCTGAGCAGGTGGACGAGGATGATCCGCGACGCGTGCGACAAGGTCGGGCGGTCGCTGTCCATCACGCACGAGTTCCCGCAGATGATGCGCGATGCAGGGTTCGAGGACGTGAGCGTCACGAAAATCATGTTCCCCGTCAGTCCCTGGCCCGACGATCCCAAGCTAAAGGAGATGGGCCAGTGGGTGCAGGCGTCGCTGCTGCCGGGGTTGGAAGGCATGTCGCTGGCGTTGTTTACGAGGGTGCTGGAGTGGTCCAAGGCTGAGACTATTGTCTTTTGTTCTCATGTGAGGCAGGATGTGAAGAATACGAATTTGCATGGGTACTGGGATGGATACGCAATTCACGGGCGAAAGCCATTGAATTCTCCCAGGCCTGAGACTGAGGTTAGGGATAAAGGCAAGATGCCGGAAACCAGCAAGTGAGAAGAGCGACAGGCGTTGCGCGGTGTAAAATGGATTATTCCTTCTGTTTTGAAGGAGGAGGGCGGCATCGTGTTTCTAGCGTGCATATATAGATGTATTCATATCTCTGACTACAGGCTTCCAAGTGCTAGTTTAATGCACATGAGAATAAAATGTCACATGAGTTACGTCTCTGATGTGAACTGATAGCTCAGATGTCACTTCTCAATGTATGATAATTTGAGTACTGAAAGAACGCTCAAGTACGAGGCCTTTTAATATGTACAACGCGCTGGTGCTGACGGTGATTGAACACACTTGTAGACCGTAAAAAACTCGGACTCATACTCAGCAGCTTCCCAAAATGTTCACATTGATGCCCGTTCCGCTGTTGACAGTGACAGACCCGCAAAAGCTGCCAAACGTGTAGCTGACTGTGGCTCCTCCAAGACTGACGGTGCGAGAGCTGCCTTCAGGAAGGCAGAGGGTTTCGGAAGTGCCACTGGGGCCATTGAACTGGTACTGGCAAGCTGCGTCGACCTGGGTAAAGGCGGCTCCCAGGGCAGTGAGAAGAAGCAACAGACGGGCCATTTCTGAGAGGTCAGCATTGATTTTCTCGCTCGTATACCATTATGGGAATAACCTTACTGTAACTCAGGTTGGCTTCTGGAAGGACTTTAAGGCAATTTGGAAGTGGAGTAGAACTACTCTTTGTAGAGGTCGTCAACTAGGACTGCAGGCTACAGGTGAATGTTATTTATACACCTGCTGGTACACACGTTCCGTCATCCCAATTTCTCCGTGTATCTAGACGAGAGGTCTAACGACGACTTTAGGGACCCCTGTTAGGAGTTGACACTGATACTGAGCTCTTGGCATATCTTGGTACTGATTTTGAGTTCAAACCTAAAGCGTACACATGATTCGAGTAAATTGCTGGCCGTGCAATGGCCCACTAGAGAAGACTTACTAGAGACAATGCCTACTGTAAATGCAATGGCTTGTCCTGGACTTAGGCGAGCGTTAAAACCGAATCCGAGAATGCTGCTGACGGGCCGTGCTCATCCTGCGAATACGTCAGTAGATGCCACCGAATATTCAAGTTAAAGTGTATCAAATTAATGAGTCTTGGCTTTAAACTCACACCCGAGATCACAAAACTGAATCAGTGTACAACTGATTGCATTGAAGACCAGAGACAATGCAAAGTTGGTCTCCACCAAACAACATATTACACAGCCTCGATAGGCTTTAACATCAGACACCAATGGTGTTGGCCGGCCACCAATTTGGGGTGCCCGAGCAAGTAAAAGCATTGAACTCTAGCAGAGAACTTTTCTACCAACATATAAGTCAATCAGCCCCCGCCCACTTAACGCTACCCACTTAGGTGCTGTTTCTCTAAATGTCTAACATGACGTCTGCATGAAACCTGATTAAACAATCCTCGAATTCAGACGTTCAATCGGCTACGAGCGGAGTGCTGTAGCTGAATTTCGTAGAAGAAACGATCCGATGTGACTTGCATGTCTTCTAACGTTATCACACCCTGTCGTTCTCAGGATGTCTACTGGGAGACAGGTGTGTGGTGTTGAAAAGGATAAGGGATGTTTGTCTTCCATGAATGAATGCCAGTGTGAAACTAATAATCAAGGTTTATGGCTAGTTGCATGACCGCACCCCCTAGTATCTTTTTCCTTGCTCCCTAAGTAATCACATTTCGAACCCTTCCATTTAAAATATTTATAGTATGTGCCTGTACACGTTCCGCCATTCTTTGTTTCCTTGGTGCATTTTACTTCTTCATACGGCTTCTTTTTCATTGGGCATTTGCATCCAGAAGTTTTGCAAGTCCCCATATTGTCTCCAGTTTGCTATTGAGCGTCTTTAATTCGAGCCTTGTTGCTTAAACAGTATTGATAGGAAAGAGTCCTGGTTGACAAGCGTTGTTAGGTCACGGTAAATATTCTTGATTAAAATTTTTGTTTAGACGTCTGATACATACCCAGGGCTAATGATTGAGTAAATACAAATAACTGAGTCAAGTTTAAACGTGCAATAAGCGCCGAATTGCCGTAAAGCAGATGTTTGACGGGTATAGACTTGCCAAAAAAATAAAATAAAAGAATCGTGAGAGATGTAGAAAAGACAAGGCTTTTATAATATGTAGAGAACCTGTAGCCTTACATGCTACCCGACCGCAAACCCAAGTTTCGCCAAGAAGCCGTGGCGTCTCGTATGACCTGATAATATGCGAGAAGATAGCAGCTATTGTAAATAATTGGGTGCTGGTGCATAAATGTGATGAATGCATGTGACCAATGTACTGTATGCTGCCTACAAGGCAACGACGAGGCGATATTGAGGGCGCGAACTAAAACCCGCACAATCCTTTTGCTCTTAATGTTGCCGCATGTCTTTTCGCTTTCATCCATATGCTACCTATAGTACAAGCTGGCTACTCAAATTTGAGCAACCCACGCAAAACTGTGTCGAACACAAGAAAGCGATTATCAAGTGAAAAAGAGCTGTTCCAACGCCAAGTCACAGAATGCCGAAGCAACTTGTTGCGAAGGAACACATATTGTCAGGTGACCTCAAAGGCTATGACGACCAAGGTGACTGCGCCCAAACTACATTTGACGGAGTGGGTGTCCAAATATCCGGAGCAGGAAATTTCCATGCTGGTAGAGATGTGTTCATAGGTAAGGTTAGCCGTGAATTGAGCCGGGTAGGTCATTCATTAAGCAAGTTAGGTGCACCGAATAAATCAAGATGTCTTGTCGACTTGAGGTTGACCGACCCTGCAATCGACAAATTACGTATTGAAGCATCGAAAGGAGGTCTTATAAAGGATTTGTGTTACTGGATTCTAGAGAATCCTGATTTCGCAGCCTGGAGAGATGATCCTATGAGCCGTCTTCTCTGGGTCAGAGGTGACCCTGGCAAAGGCAAGACCATGTTGCTCTGCGGGATTATTAACGAGTTACAACAGGATTCCCATTACAACATATTGGGTTTCTTCTTTTGCCAAGCCACTGACCGCCGTCTCAACACTTCTACGGCCGTCTTACGTGGGCTCCTTTACCATCTCCTCTCCCAGCATAATCATCTTGTATCGCATTTGCAGCAGAAGTATGATCAAGGAGGGAAGGAGCTTTTTGAAGACGTAAATGCGTGGTTTTCACTATCAGAGATCCTAACAAACGTCCTGCAGGATTCAAGTCTTCAGGAAGTCTTCCTAATAGTCGACGCGCTGGACGAATGCGAGGGTGATCGAGATGACCTCCTCGATTTTATTTCAAAGACCTGTGGTTCAGGCCGAGTCAAGTGGATTGTGTCCAGCCGCAACCTCCCGGAAATTGAAGAAAAGTTCCGAAGCGTCCCGCATAAAGTTGAAATTTCTCTCGAACAGAGCCACGTGTCTGTTGCGGCCGCTGTTCACAGTTATATCCAGTATAAAATGGAACATTTGGCCCAGTCAAAAAGATACACTCCGGAGATACGTAATGCTATCGAGCAGTATTTGCTATCAAACGCAGACAACACGTTCCTTTGGGTAGCTTTGGTCTGCCAGGAGCTCATGCATGTACGAGCGTGGAGTGCACGGGAGAGAGTAAAGTCCTTCCCCCGAGGTCTTAACTCTCTTTATAACCGCATGATAGCGCATGTACGCGAGTCGGACGACGCGAACTTTTGCATGCAGATCCTCGCGGTTGCAACTGTTGCGTATCGACCAATATCGCTGGTTGAAATGTATCACATTGTTGATTTTCCCGAAGACTTTCCTCAAGATCAGGAGCTTTTAGAGGAACTTATTCAGTTTTGCGGCAGCTTTCTTACCCTTCGAGAAAGTGTCGTTTACTTTGTACACCACTCGGCGAAAGAGTTTTTACAAAAGGAAGCAGCTAGCGATGTCTATCCCGCTGGTATTACTGACATACACAATTCCATTTTTTTGAAGTCCATTCAGGTTATCTCTAGCATCCTCAAGCGAAACATATACCGCATAGAAGATCCAGGATTAAGGGTGGACCAAATTCGACGACCAGACCCCGACCCTCTAGCTTCTTTGAGATATTCGTGCATCCATTGCATTGATCACCTCTACGATGCAATTCCGAAGAATCATATGATCAGATACTTCCAGGAAAGAAATGAGATCGGTCATTTCTTTACCGCCAGATACTTACTCTGGCTAGAGGCTATTAGCCTCCTTGGAAGCGTGTCGGAGGTTGTTCTTTCATTATCCAAGTTATCAGCCCGTTTACAGGTAAATGTAGCCTTTTTGTGGTCTTTCCTTCGTCTGGCTAACGTTCTCAGACAATTAGTAACAGAATTGAACTCATTGGCCTCATCCAAGATGCAGTTCGATTCATTCGATATCATAAGACCTGCATCGAGACATATCCTTTGCAGATATATGATTCCGCACTGCTACTGAGCCCGGCTCAAAGCCTTATTAGAAAGGTGTACTCGGGCGATGAGCCCGAATGGATAAATGTCAAACCTGTCATGGAAGATGATTGGAGCCCTTGTTTGCAGACACTTGAGGGCCATGCCTTGGACATTACCCGTGTCGTATACTCCTACAGCGGTGATCTTCTAGCCTCTGGTTGCATGGATGGTACCATCAGGATCTGGGAGACTAGTGCAGGCGCGGTCACCCAGATTATTAATACCAACAAGCGGTACGAAACAGGTCCAATCTCTTTCTCAGCAGATGGTCGACTTCTAGCAGTTGGAATCTCCAGGCATTGCGAAATCTGGGACACGGTCACAGGCCACTTTATCCGTACGCTGGAGAGCCACCATGCTTTAGTCTTATCCCTCGCCATCTCAGTTGATGGCAATACGTTTGCGTCAGCATCTCAAGATTCAACAGTCAACGTCTCAAATATTGCTACAGGTGACTTAGTCAAGACATTCAAGCTTTCCGAATGTGATCATACCCGACTTGACGCAGTCGCCTTCTCACCCGACACTCGAATTATGGCAGCAGCGTTCCATGAACATGGTATCAAGATATACTGCACGATTGCAGGCACCTGCACACGAACCATCGGGAGCCACGAAGAGTTTGTTCGTTCAATAGCCTTCTCACCTGACGATCGCATGATTGCGACGGGGTTGCATGACAGTTCTGTAAAGATCAGGGACATGAGCACAGGCGTCTTAACCCATACTTTCGAAGGACATCTTGACTGGGTCAATTCAGTTGCTTTTTCGCATGATGGCCGTATGATCGCTTCCGGTTCCGACGATTTTACCATCAAGGTTTGGGATTTGGCTACGGCGGTCTGTAAACAGACGCTGAAAGATCACTGTGGGCCAATATCTTCCGTCGCCTTCTCACCCGATAGTCGTATACTAGCATCAGGATGCGCAGATCACAGCATCAAGATGTGGGATACGAGCATGTCTACCAGTAGCCACACGTATAAGGACCATAGCAGTACGATCAACCTCATCATTTTCTCACCAGATAGCCGAAAATTTGCATCTGGGTCTGATGACTTTTCAATTAAAGTCTGGGATGCGGCAACAGGTTGTTGCTTGTATACACTCAGCGGACATGAGGGCTCGATCAAGTCAATTACTTTTTCACCTGACGGTGGCCGCATCCTTGTGTCGGGGTCATACGACAATACGATCCGAATCTGGGATACAGCCACAGGTGCCTGTATTCGCACGCTTCCGGGACACAGTGACACAATTAACTCGCTTGTCTTTTCAGACCTCTCAACGTTTATATCAGCATCAGATGATTGCACAATTAAAATCTGGGACATGGACACCGGAATCTGTCACCAAACCCTTGAAAGTCCAGATGGTCCTGTGGATTCGATTGCCTTTTCACACGATAAGTCTATATTGGCATGGGCGTCTGATTGCTCTATCAAACTGCAAGACGAAACTGAAAATGCAGATAGCCAGCTTCGAATTCTGAGAGGGCATACTGATATAATCAAATCAATTGCCTTCTCCCATAAAGGCTTACGGCAAATGATTGCATCAGCGTCGTATGACGAGACTATCAAAATCTGGGATACGGCGACAGGGTCCTGTGTTCAAAACCTGGCCATGGGCAAACCAATTGACAAGATTGAGTTTGAATCTGAACAACTGCTCCGAACTGATCTTGGTACTGTGGTCCTGTCTTATAGCGACCTAGACTCGCAATCGGATTCCTCCTATTACCCATTAGAATCAGCAATGTCAGATATCCTTACAAGGCCTACGCCACCCTTAGTAAGAAGTTTCGGAATTTCGGGCGGAACTTGGATTGCATGGAATAACAAGAAGGTTTTGTGGTTACCGTCCGAGTACTGGCCACGGCGGTCAGCAATTTCAGGTACAACTGTTGTAATCGGCTGTCGAACAGGTCGCATTTTAGTATTTGGTTTGAGCATTAAAACCGGGTTTGGGGCACTCAGTATTCAGGCCGCTGGTGGTTGAATAGCAAACATAGCTATGCCCATAGCTTACATTAAGGCCTTATAATTACATATTTCCCTCTAGTTAGAATGAGCAGAAGTCCCCGGGTATACTAAGGATTTATGGTTTCTAGCCTGACTTATGCAATGCCCTGCCGATTATACCTCACAGTTTCTCCTTACGCCCATTGCCAAGCATTATTTTCTCACTTTGAAGGCTCTCACTTATCATTGATTACTGTATCCCTAGTTTTTGGATAGTAAATTCAATATCCCCAATCGCCGTGCTTATTTCTCCAGAATAGAACAGGCGATGCTTGTTGAATAAGCCCTAAGGCATCGTGCAGTCAACTACCTTGGTTCTTGTCAACACATTGAGTATGGAGAGCCAGCGTCCGCGAACTGTTTGTATAAATCGATCGCATAGATAACTGACAGCAAGGAACTAATGATTCCATGAAACAAGGTGCAAACCAAGATCGTTGGCATAAGAGATTATTTTTTTCCATCTATGTATATAATCTATCAACTCGTGAATTCTATTGGTAGCGGTGTGACTTTCTGCCAGAAACAGCTGTTCAGAGCCAAGAAATTCTTTAGTGTTATTGTTTCCGTCGCAGGGAACTTCATACGCTGTTCAACTTGGTGCTGTTGCTTTTCTAATTGAGCAAACACAACCTCTGAATAATGACCATTCCCCTAAACTTTTCGCTCCAAATGCTGATGATTTATACATTTGCCAGTGCCGTTGTAAAAAAGATGGCTGTAGATTGGGTCTACATATGCTCTTTAGAACCGCGAAACGACGTGTTCAAAGATCACATCCTGGACCGACTGCATTAGTCCGTAGGACAAGTGGTCGCTAGCGAGCTGGCACGTGCATTGGGGATCGAAGGCACAGACAATATCATTCTGCAACGAAACGAAAATGTCAGTTTGGTTATTAACGATTGGTGGAGAAAGGAGATGAATACCTCCAAGCAGATATCAGCGACTTTACCACTACGGTCCAAAGCATCGCTGAACACCGGAGCAGTGGCATTCGATTGCTGCGCTTGAACTGCAAAAAGACCGAGTGCGGTGCGGTTGTCGGGACGTCCTATGCTGTCGACATTGGAGAGTTTTCCTGGCAGGCGGTATGGATTGCCAACCACCACCACGGAGGCCACAGCGGCTGCAGATGGTTCGTCGAGTTGGCTGAGGGCTTCTAGGATAACAGTCGCGCCCTGCGAATAACCAAACAAGAAGTACTTTTGTCCGGGACATTCTTGAACACCGTATTGAATAACATTCAGAATATTCTTGACACCAGCTGTGACATTCTGGTCATAACCTGCGGGATATATGACCGAATGGCTCAATGCCGCAGTACTATTGGCCAAGGCTCGTTGGATAGATGTTTGGAACATCATAGAAACCCCTTGCGGCTCCCCGGTACCACGGGCATCGATCAACTCTGTGTTCACGTCAGACTAAACAGACGTTCTGCCGATGAGATAGGGAAACAAACTGTAGGCCGCACAGGGCATGACTTGCTCCGTAGTAAGATTTACACGCGGGAACGTGAGGAAATCAGAGGAGCCACAACGGCAGCCAGAGCCTGCTGATGCTGAGGTCACCAGCATTCCGAGGGTGGAAAGTAAAACAGATCTGAGTGAAACCATGATGCTGATAGTTGAAGGCAAGATGTAGAATTTCGGAATACTGTGAGCGAAACCATTATTTCTGGGAGCAAATATGATATATTTATATGTGTGTAAGTCTTTGATGGTCGTCGCTACTTGACTAACAAGCACGGGCCTAGCATTCAGTCAAGACATGCCAACACCCAAGATTTCGGGAACCCGCCCCACTATCTTGCCGTACTTCCGTCTATCCGCGTACCCCATTTCCCCACTCTGACGAACTTGGGAATATCATCGAGTAGGATATCTTTTAAGGTGTTGAACCCTTCGGCCCGTTTCGTACAAAAATGACACTGTGTGTGGCTTTCGACGCAACTCTCAGCCCCTATCCACGTACTCGCAATTATTACTCATTCCGTAATCTTTGGCAAGGTAAATCTGCGAATGGTGCGGATCGTCTTGGTTCAGCCTCACAATGGAGCACAGTGTCCTGGGTTCAATCGACACAAGAGATGCTCTACGTAGACTTCCTAAGCTGGTTACTGTGTAGAGAAGCGTTAGAGGCCCGTTACCGTCAGCTAAGCCATCTCACATACGCAGTCAGATTAAGTAAATCAGGGACCATGTATGCAAGATTAACGCAGAACCCTGCAAACTGATGGGCCATGTCTCGAACATGGCTATGCCTGATGGGATTGAGCTTTCCAGCTAGCAATGAATCCACCCAGGGGTAACACGAAGAGTATGGAATTGATCCTTCGTATACGCTACGGGGGTCAAGACTTGAATAATGGGCACGGCAACTCCGAGAGTGGTTATCTTTAGATGATGATATGCAATATGGTCTATTTACTGTAAATGGTATTGGGTGACTCGGCAAGGTACGCGTGCTAAAAGGTCTGGCACAACTCCAAATTCGACAGTTCAGTCAGTCTCATTGCAGAGGGCCACGGAAGTGGAGATCGTCAAGGTATGCTGTGATTTTACATAGATTTGGTGCTGTAGTCTTGACGTATAGTGAAGTAAAGAATTCAAGAGGTTTTTATGTCAGGGGACGCTGCAAGCATTGAGGCTCAGTGAGGATGATGCGATTCCATAAGTCTTCTTCAAAAATCAAGTTCTTTGAAGCCTTCTTGATCTATTTCTGAAGTGTTAAAGCTCACTCCTTAGTCGGTGGACAGAGAACGAGTAAGGCCGATCATTCATAGTTGGCGATGACGATAATTTGTAGTAGCACCCTAATCAACATTATTATTGGTAATAAAAGGAATTTTTATAGATCTACGAGTGTTTATGAGACTTTTAAGTGGTGGAAGTTGCAGGGATCGACTGCTTACCGACGTAGACTGTAAAACCTTGCCTGGCTTACGAATGCTTAATTGGAGAACGGCACGCAAGACGCTTGGATCTGTAGGGGATAGTATTTCTAGTGCTCTCAACATAACCAAGCTGATAAATACTGGATTTATCAACACCTTGGTGATTGCTTTTAGGATATTGAGAGAACCGTGAAGCACAGATGCAGAGTATTTGAAACCTCACAATTCAATTGGGGGGCGCCAGGACCAAGTAACAGACAATAGGTTAGACAGACCCCTTCTTCCGTCAATACCCACTTTTTTAGCAAAAGGAGAATGGAGAAAAAAAATGGAACGAGCAAAGAGTCTTCGGTTACATTTGCCAACTACCTTAGCCAACACATTGCTCCTAGGGTTAAAGACATAACTCCTCATTGCATACGCCCTCCTTATTGATCTGCGCCGCTAGATACAGGTCGCTTATCGCTCTAATTTTTCATTTGTTCCTGAAACCCTACGGATATGGCTCCCCAGAAGAGAAACCACTCTCTGCAGCCAGACCCAGTGACGTCAAACTACGTCGGCCGCATCGGAAATCTCGCAATGGATGCTTGGAGTGTAAGAAGCGGCATGTAAAGTGCGACGAGACGCGCCCAACATGTGTCCATTGTGCAACAACGGCGCGTTGCTGCCACTATGCTGATCCTCCTCCTTTGGCCGCGGCCAGACCACCGGTTTCAGCCTCGCAAATCCTCACGGCCTGCAACACCCCAACAAGCTCTAACAACAGCGACGAAGTCGTAAACGCCGTCGCTGGTACCCAAGACAGTATCACAGATCTGGTTGATCAATTCACCACACGTAATGACTGCAGCCGCATAGGTTCTCGTACTCCCAGTAACCACTTCTTTACTATGGAGCACATGCGGCTCCTCCATCACCTTGAAACAAGCATGGACGCCATACTGGCTGTCGATGAACTTGTCAGGCCCATGACCGACCAGACTCTGGAGGCTGCCTTGCAAAACCCTTACCTCTTGGATGTACTATTGGGACTCTCGGCACAACATCTAGCTGTACTATACCCCTCTCAAGCTGATTATTACCACCATCAAGCTACGCAGTTACAAACACGCGGGCTCAGCCGTTTCAACCAAGCCAGGGACGATATCTCGGGAGAGAAAAGTATCCCCATGTTTCTCTTCGCGTCTACCCTCGGCCACCAGCTGCTGTGCGACAGTCTCCGTAGTTGTCGTGACGACTTCGATTCCTACCTTGGCCAATTTGCATGGTATCTTGAGATTCATCGCGGCGTCAGTACAGTCACCAACTGCTCATGGAAAACCATCCGCGAAAGCGGTGTTAAAACATTCGTCCAATTTCTCGAGGCAGCAAAACCTACGACAGAGGCTCCCGAGATCGACACCCTCCACTGCATGCTCGATCAGTCTAATCTAAGCCCAGTCTCGCTGCAGGCTTGCCGCCAGGCCACTGAGACCTTACGGAACTCATTCCACATCTACCGTAGCATTCTTAAGCGAAGTATTCATACGTCCGCTTCTGTTACCTCATTTGGTGCCTGCGTCACAACCGACTTTATTGACGTACTCAAGCAACGTCGTCCAGAGGCACTTGTTATCCTGGCCTTTTACGCCGTTCTTCTCCATTGGTGTCGGAATTTCTGGATCTTTTCTGATGCGGGCCAGTTCATGATTCGTTCCATCGCGGCCCGTCTCGGCGATCATGGGTCGAAATGGCTCGCGTTTCCTCTATCAGTGCTCGAGATGGAGCAGACTGGCTGAGCGGCAATGATTCGAGATGGGTAATTACCGCGAAATAAGAAAAGATTTTAAGGCAAGCGCAGGAAGGTCCATACAAAGCTTTTTTTGTAGCGATGGCTGTGTAAACAGCCTGAAGAAGACCCACCTGGCTTCGAGTCTCCTTGAAAAGGATGAGTAGACACACGAGCATGCCATCTTAAAGCTATGAAAAGGCGTTGTGGACAGTAGCCAGACAGCAACTGTTTGTGCCCCGAGCATGCTTTCAAATAGATTTGCATGCTGCTAGGATTGACGCAAGTGGTTGAGCTCGTTCACAAGCACAGACGGGAGTAATGAGACTAGTTTGTCTCAATTGAGTACAGTGGTGATCGATCGGTTCCCAGTCGCTAGTTACAATTATTGAGATTGCTAGCATTCCTAAATTGGGCAAAAGTTGGCCCATATGGTTTGCTGCTGGTTTGCTGATGCTCCGGACCGTCTCTGGAGATGATGTATGCTCACCCGATCACGGCCACGCTTGGCTAGTCGGAACGCCACATGTTACAAAGGTTACACGGAGTTGTGGTTATATGCTATACGTCAGCCTCGTGAGAGCATCAGTCTCTCCGTAATTTTGGACAACCAGGCAGACTGAAGAGGGGCAGAACAATGTACGTAACTGTAGTCACTCTGCCAGCACTCAGTGCGAAATCTTCTCTTGGCCCATGACATCAGTTTGTAAGCAAAGAGAATAGTAGTGCAAACTGCTGCAGCACTGTAGATCCACATTGTAACAGTAACTAGATAACCATTAATCTAACCCTATCCGTTCAGATATTTGTTACGAATATACTACAAAGTAGAGCTTCAAGGCTGATAACCTTGGCCAGGGCATAGCTGTAAATAATGAACCCAAACCGGGCTACTTTTCTTTTCTGTCGTGCAAACTGGGCCGCATGCTGACATTCTACAAGGCTCGGGGGCAGACGCTCGACAAGATACTGTTGCGCTTGTTTAGTAGAGCTATTAGCAACTCGAACAAAGCCGAACAAAGTCGAACAAGACGTAGGACACAGTAAACTTTTGAGTATAGTCATTACGCGGGGTGCTTTAAGGATGTAGTCCTCTTCCATCATCTAGTATGTCACACTTCTTGGAAGCGCACATGCCAGAGTAACTGCTGAGGGGGTGGCATGCTTGGACTTGCACCCTGGCCGACGGGTTGGGGCTCAGCGGAGAGTGTAAGGAGTTATGCGCACCATGGTTCTGCCATGGGCTTGTCAGAATCTCTCCGACCCACGTATTTCTAACCTCGCTGTGGAGGTTGTGACATAATACAAGTGACAGGGCAGCAGCCTGATTTATCATGCATGCCGAAACTCCGGGAAAGAGACGCAGTGAGTATGAACCAAGTAGGTAGCAGTACTGCATGTCTCTTCACCTACACTTCACCGGGCTTTGTACCGCTAATGATTGGCCTGAGCATATCCAAATGCCTACGATCCCTCTCTTAACGTGGCCTAACAGCGCCGTGATAGCGTCCCTGGATGTGCTTCAGCTGCAGGTATGGCTTGTGTTAAGCTGCCACTCAGTCGCAGGAACTGGTCGATCCAAGGCATCAACGCATATGCAGGTCAGACAGAAATCGGATTTTGACAAATTGGGAGGATGAGCGCCCAACCGGATAGCAGGGCTAGTAGGTGCTTGGCATCCAGTGCGTCGTCCCCCGCATCGGACGAGTGTGATTGGGTGAGTGAGGGCTCCTACTCGTCAGCCACAGACGTGAAGGGCACTGATACTACAAAGAGGGCGCTAACCCCTCAACATGGACATGATCCAAATGAGTGTTGTCACTATTTGCCTGTATCACTTCACCACTTATCACTGTGTTCCCTCATGAAGGAACAGCATTCATGTCGACCACTCGTACTCCGACTTTCAGGGTGCAAGGTATTCCCTGTGAATATCAGACGAGAAGTGATGTCCGCGTGCTTATAAAAAATGTCCTTTCCCTTGGACCCAGCGCGAGCGTCGTCGTACATTCAATCCCAATTTGCCCCGTGGAACGGAATAGTCGTACCGCAACTGTCAGTTTCGGCGCTTTACCAGAATGTCTCTCCGATTACTCCAAAAATCAATGGGTATTCCGCCCTGGAGCCGAAGATGATCTTAGTATCAAGAAATCACTCGTTTTCGATACTCACTTTTCAGGATTCACACCTCTCCAAGAAACTTTCGACAAACATTATGAAATAGAGTGAGTTGGCAAGGAATCAAAACAGTTGATACAGCATTGACATACCCTGCTTAGTGTAATTGCGGTGTCTGGTCTTGGGGGCCACGCGTTTGGCTCGTTCAAGGAGAGACAAGGGTCCTTTATGTGGCTTCGGGATGCGCTTCCGTTGGATGTTCCGAATGCGAGAATTTTGATCTGGGGATACAATACACATCTCGCCGAAAGCAGTTCTTTTCAGAATCTGTCAGACTTGGGAATTCTTCTCAAGACCGACTTAAAAGGCATTCGAGTGCGTAGCAAAGGCTGCCGTTTAGAGTCATTTCGACTGATCAATTTGGAAGGATTCAAGCCAGCCTCGTTCTATAATCTTCATTGGACACAGCCTCGGGGGGATCGTGATTAAAGAGGTGAATACAAAGCAGGCAATCGATGAGGCCAGTTCTGAACATGATGCTGACCAAATGAGGTACAGGCCATAATCAGACTGAAAGGCGAAACAGGTGAAGCGTGTTCGCAAATACTGGATTCCATTACTGGATTCGTGTTCTTTGGTGTTCCACATCAAGGCTTGGCTATCGAGTCACTTGTTCCTCTGGTTAAAAATCAGCCAAATCGGAGTCTGCTTGAGTCACTTACCAAAAACTCGGCGCTTCTCCAGCGGTTAGACAAGGAATTTCACTCTGCAATTGCCGCAAAATCCCCTACGATTGTGGCTTATTACGAAACCGAGACATCCCCAACGGCGGTAGAAGTATGCTCTCCGGATCTAATTTCTGACTCAACTGAACTTTTGACTTACGTTTTATCTAGGTAACGACAGGCAAATGGGAATTAGTCGGACCAAAACAAGTGCTGGTTGATGTTTCATCGGCAAAGACCGGTAGTCAGCAACATTACCCAATCAACCGCAGCCACTCTGAGATGGTCAAATACAGCAGTGAATACGATGAAATCTACAAGCGCGTTCGTACCATCCTACAGGAACTGCTCGAGAAGCCGCAGGGTACATCTACGGCCAGAGACCCAGAAGCGGGGCCTAAATGTATGTAGTAAGCTTCCACAACCTAGATAGACAACAGACTGACACCTTTAGTATCTCTGCAGCTTTCAGACGACAGCAAGGGTACGTAGCTTAAAGGAAGGCCATAAGAGGATACTGACTTCAATCAGATTGTCTCAGGTCACTCTCCTTTCGGGAGCAGGAACACAGGTACGACGATATATATTCCGCCAAGGACACTTGCAATTGGATTCTCGAGGATCACCAATATCAGGCCTGGACAAACGGAACGCGAGGCCTTTTCTGGATCAAAGGGAATCCTGGGGCTGGAAAGTCAGTGCTTATGAAATTCGCCGCCACAAGGATGCGTCAAAAAACGTCCTCAGAACTTGTTGTTTCATTCTGCATTCACGGCCGCGGATCCCCTTTGCAGAAAACTCCACTTGGTGTATTTCGTGCATTACTGAACTCCATGCTTCAATCTTTCCCGCAATATCTTGCTCAACTCACTGAAACATTCCGCGATCGGGAGTTGCGATATGGATCTTGGCAAGAAAAACGATGGGAATGGACCGAAAAAGAACTTGAAAATTTCATGTCCGAGGTTTTGACTAAAGGAACCAAGAACCAACCAGTAGTGATCTTTGTCGATGCGCTTGACGAGATGGGAGAACACCATGCCAAAGTCTTGCTAGCATACTTCAAAACCCTCTTAGGCGAATTCGAACGAGAAAAGGCGCAAGTGAAGATTTGCTTCTCTTCGAGACATTATCCGATCATTGGCGATGTAACAGTGCCAGTCATCTATGTCGAGGAGAGAAACGACAAGGACATTAGACTAGTAGTTCGAGAACGGCTCAAGGAAATTCGAGCAGTAACAAAGCGTCAACAACTCGAGAATGAAATCTTGATGAAGGCTCACGGAGGATTCCAATGGGTAACCTTAATCGTTACTGACATACTTGCTGGGAACGCAAGTGGGAAGAAAACCGAGACTCTGCTGAAAAAGCTTAGAGCTACACCAGAAGCCCTCGACGAATTATACGCCGACATATTATGTAGTGTCGATGGGTCCATGCGGTACCAAATGACGAAACTCTTCCGATGGGTCTTGTTCGCCCAGCGACCGTTGTCTACACATGAGCTCCGAGAGGCTCTTGCGGTTGACAAGGACACGGACTGCACAACTATTACGCAACTAAGATGCCACGACAGCTGGATAGACACTTCGGCTGACTTTGAAAAACATGTTATCGACCTTTCAGGAGGCTTAGTAGAATTCCGAACTCGTGAGTTATGGGAGCAATACGAAGCAAGCGGAGAGGACTGGGACCGAGAAGCCCAGTTTGTCCACCAGTCAGCTGCGGACTACGTGCTCGAGAAATTCATCAAGTCTGTCGGTTGCGGGCCTGAAAGTCCGATCGGAGCGGGTCACTTCGAAGTTTCCAGGTCGTGTCTCAGATACTTGACTTTGAGTGAGATTCTCCAAAGCACGGATCTATCCCAGAGAAAACTATCAGCAACTTTCCCACTGTTACCATATACAGTAAGGTCTCTGTTCTATCATGCCAAGGAAGTTGAGAGGGCAGGAATCCCTCAGCTTGACCTCTGTACCCTAATCCAATGGGGCGGACAGTCTGAAGTCTTGAACGAAATTGCAAAATTATGGAGAATAATGGATCCTGACAATGCCCACGCCCCTCGGGGGTGGCCATTTATCGGAGCAACACCGCTCCATGTCTCGATAGGATTCGGCTTGCTGAGCTCCTTCATTCCTCTTTTGCGTGATGGTATAGATTTTGACGTTAAAGATACGGAAGGAAACACACCGTTGCTGCTCGCTCTCAGAGAAAGTCACGAAGACATGGCCCTACTGTTGCTAGATCGATCGATCGAGTTGCAGGGCCAAGACGCGGCAGATGATCTCGATATCATCCGAACTGAAGGCCACGGACAGCGTAGGGATTATCTTGCGCATATCAATGCAAAAAATGTTGATGACGAGACACCATTAAATGTTGCGTTGACGGTGAAAGCCGGAAAGGCAATTTTCAAATTGATAGGGTTGGGTGCTGACCTTGATCTATTTGGACGTCAGATTGAGCTCGTTTTCTACGCTATTCATCACAGAGACAGAAAGGTCCTTAAAATGCTCATACAAAAACATGTGAAGCTTGATGGAGCTGTCTTTTTTGCAGTGAAGGAAGTAGCTCAGAATGAAGATCACGATGGTCTAGAGATTGTTGCGGAACTTCTTGAAGCTGGTTGCAATACGAGCAAATGCCTAGACTTCCATCAAGAACGCCAGGATGAAGACGGCGACGATAATGAAGCAATGGCTGTGGCGTCACGCAAAGGTGGTGTTGCGGTAGTCAGCCTTCTTCTATCACATAGCGTTCCAGCGGATTCACGAGACGAGCTTGGAAGAACCCCGTTGCTGATTGCCGTGGAGAATGGCCACAATGAAACAGTCAAGCTACTTCTAAGTACAGGGAAAGTGAACGCAGATGTGGAAGATGACGATGGTCGAAAGCCACTATTATTAGCCGTTCAGCACGGTTACGAGGCCGTTGTTCAGCAGCTCCTCGAGACAGAAAGAGTAGATGTCAATTCTAAGGACTACTATGGTCAAACGCCACTCTTATTAGCCGTTCAGCACGGTTACAAGGCCGTTGTTCAGCAGCTTCTCGAGACAGAAAGAGTAGATGTCAATTCTAAGGACTACTATAGTCAAACGCCACTCTTATTAGCCGCTCAGAATGGTTACGAGGCAGTTATTCGGCTACTCCTCAAGACAGAAAGAGTAGATATCAATTCTGCAGACCAGGATGGTCGGACGCCACTCTTATTAGCCGCTCAGAATGGTTACGAGGCAGTTGTTCGGCTGCTTCTCGAGACAGAAAGAATAGATGTCAATTCTGCAGACCAGGATGGTCGAACGCCACTCTTATTAGCCGCTCAGAATGGTTACGAGGCAGTTGTTCGGCTGCTTCTCGAGACAGAAAGAGTAGATATCAATTCTACAGACCAGGATGGTCGAACGCCACTCTTATTAGCCGCTCAGAATGGTTACGAGGCAGTTGTTCGGCTACTCCTCAAGACAGAAAGAGTAGATACCAATTCTAAGGATCACTATGGTCGAACGCCACTCTTATTAGCCGTTCAGCACGGTTACAAGGCCGTTGTTCAGCAGCTTCTCGAGACAGAAAGAGTAGATGTCAATTCTAAGGACTACTATGGTCAAACGCCACTCTTATTAGCCGCTCAGAATGGTTACGAGGCAGTTGTTCGGCTACTCCTCAAGACAGAAAGAGTAGATACCAATTCTAAGGATCACTATGGTCGAACGCTACTCTTATTAGCCGTTCAGCAAGGTTACGAGGCAGTTGTTCAGCAGCTCCTCGAGACAGAAAGAGTAGATGTCAACTCTGCAGACCAGGATGGTCGGACGCCACTGTTATTAGCCATTCAGCATGGTCACGAGGTAGTTGTCCAGCTGCTCCTCAATGTAGGCAAAGTAAACGCCGACTCAGAAGATCATGATAGACGAACGGTACTATCATGGGCTATTCAGTACGGCTATGAGGCAGTTGTTAGGCTGCTTCTTAATACAGACAACGTCAATTCAGAAGATAATAATGGGCGAACACTACTCTCATGGGCTGCTCAGTACGGCCGCGAGGCGATAGTTAAGCTACTGCTCGATATAGATAAACTAGATATTGATTTAAAGGATCAATATGGTCGAGCGCCACTCTTATGGGCTGCTCAGTATGGTCATGAGTCAGTTGTTAAGCTACTTCTCAACACAGATAACGCCGACTCAGAAGATAATAATGGGCGAACACTACTCTCATGGGCTGTTCAGTACAGCCGTGAGGCAGTTATTAAGCTTCTCCTTAATACAGGCAAAGTAGACGTTAATTCGGAAGATAAAGATGGACGAACGCCACTATCCTGGGCCGTTCAATACGGCGATGAGGTAACAGTTAGGCTACTTCTCGATACAGACAAAGTAGATATTGATTTAAAGGATCAATATGGTCGAGCACCACTCTTATGGGCTGCTCAGCACGGCAGTGAGGCAGTTATGAAGCTACTTCTCAACACAGATAACGCCGATTCAGAAGATAATAATGGGCGAACACTACTCTCATGGGCTGCTCAGTACGGCCGTGCGGCAATCATCGAGTTACTTCTCAACACAGATAACGCCGACTCAGAAGATAATAATGGGCGAACACTACTTTCATGGGCTGCTCAGCACGGCCATAAGGCAGTTATTAGGCTGCTTCTTAATACAGGCAAAGTAGACGTCAATTCAAAAGATAAAAACAAACAAACGCCACTATCATGGGCTGCTCAGCACGGCCGTGAGGCAGTTATTATGCTGCTTCTTGACACAGGCAAAGTAGACGTCAATTCAGAAGATTATACTGGCCGAACGCCACTATCATGGGCTGCTCAGAGCGGCTGTGAGGTAGTTATTAAGCTGCTTCTTGACACAGGCAAAGTAGACGTCAATTCAGAAGATTATACTGGCCGAACGCCACTATCATGGGCTGTTCAGAGCGGCCGTGAGGCAGTTATTAAGCTGCTTCTTGACACAGGCAAAGTAGACGTCAATTCAAAAGATCAATTTGGTCTAAATCCACTTGCATGGGCTTCATTTAAAGGCCACAAAGCAGCGGTAAATCTTCTTCTTAACGCAGAGAATATTGATGTAGATGCAAAGGATCAATATGGGCTAACACCACTCGCCTGGGCCGCTCATCAGGGGCATTATTTTATTGTCAAGCTGCTCCTCGACACTGAAAAAGTTAATATCAACGGAAAAGATCATTATGGTCGAACGCCACTCTCACGGGCATCTCATCAGGGCCATAAAGCGGTAGTCGAGCAACTCTGTAATACTGCTCAAGTTGATATCGATGCACAAGACCAATATGGTTTGACGCCGCTCGCACGTGCCGCTTATCGGGGACATGTTGCCATTGTCAAGCAACTCCTCGACACAGGCACAGTCAAGATTGAAAGTAAGGATCAATTTGGTCGAACACCACTTTTTTGGGCCATTCAAGAAGGCCATACGAAGGTGGTTGAGCTGCTTCTCCACGGAGGCATATCACTAGATGTGGTCATTGAGTAACAGCCGCACTCATGTTCTACCCTTTACGCATGAGGAGCTTAATTATTTGCTTTCTGTGACGATGAAAATTCTGTGGGCTAGGTTACATGAGTCACGATGAGATAGTTTCATACTGCCTGTACTGGAGAGATCTCTGTCAGCCGGCTGGATATATATAGTGTGCTTCTAGAGCTGCAGATTCTGGCAGAATCAACGCACTTTACGGGCTAGCAACTTCGTTCCTAGCATTTTCGTCATACTTTTGAATTCGGTTGATCTTGAATTCTTAATCTTTTAGAAACTTGCACACTGAGAACCAATTTCGTAAGTAGTAAAACAGCATTCACGAGCGCAGAAGGCGCAAAGTTCGTCACGCACACTTTGTCACCCCAGAACGATCCTCCGCCTTAAACTTCCGCGGCTTTGATAATATAAGTTGATTACGGTAATTGTTTTTACCACCATCTTTGGCTAGTACATAGATATATCTACCAGAAGTGCTGTTTCCTGGAATCTCACAGCCAGCACTAACGACTAGAACATTCGGTTAGAAAACAACCGTCTGAGGTGGACTGAAAGTCATCAAAAAAGTGATATGGTCTTGGAAAAACCTGCTCAGGCTCTTTCAGACCCAGTGAAGCCATCTTAATGAGTGGTTTCAAATGCAGTCTTCCTTAGGATTGGGACTAACCCGTCCCCAACTCATATATTTCAATGAACACATTTCAAAGATCCAAATGTATTATTGGCCTCTCGACAAAGGTTTGATGCAGCCTTCTCTTAGGAGGAAGACCCGTTTACTTGATACTAAAGTCCAGCGGCACGGGCGTTAGCAAATCCAACGAAAACGACTAAACTCTGATTAAAACCATACTTAAGTGATTTGGGATGGATTTGAAATAAGTTTGGACGCAGTCTACACAAAAACCATACCAAGAAGCGTCAGTTCTAAACTCAACAGAATCGCCCTTGTGGCGACGACGGGTAACTTGTTGGATATCGTCCGGTACGGAGTGAAGAGGTCAGGTATGTGTCCCAATGTGACTGTATTCATCTCTAGCGTGGTTGGGCAGCGGTGCCTGGACTATTACCCCTTTCCCAACATTTTATCCCTTATAGCTCCGTTGTAAGGTAGACCTCCCCTGTGAGAACCTGCGGGCCATTTCTGCCCCGTGACATAGCTGCACTGAAGCAGGCTGGGGCTCAGTCACAAGTGGTGCAACGCAACGTCCCCATTAAATCACGTGACAAATAAGAGAATTTAAAGCTAGGGGTATGAGAAGAAGACAGTAGATCCAATTGAAACTCATACCGCCTTCTAGATCGTGTCATATTTGTGATGGTATTCTTATGAGCTCACCTAGCACCCTATAGAACATTTTCAAGCTGCAAAGATCCAACACTGCGTCGCACTAAAATTGAAGTTCGAACTACTCCGGCCCTCGCCACAAGAAGAAGGCCTCGTATCACGTTTATATATTGGGTTTGAACATTGAATGCTGAGCCCAGAAAACAGATGACTGTGTGGTTTGACCCTTGAAGAGACTGCATGAGATGCGGTGTGAGCCGGGTTGGCGAGCTGAAAATTCTCAAGAATTAAAACGGACCGTGTTTGAGGCAGTGGCGGCGGCATCACATTCTGGATAAACCTCAATGGAGACAATTCCATTTTCTGTTCATATGGTTCCCGCTCCTGGACGCACGCAATGTGATGAGCCTCACGCATATGCTGTCCTTGGCAATTATCGGTCACAACACACACTGTCGAACGGTTAATACATTCTCAAAGTAGATGTTTGGGTATAGCGTTCCGTAAACACATGTACCGGGGGCTTTATCTCTTTAAACGATACAAACGCGTAACTGCCCACGCCAGATATCGTTACAATACTACCTGTTCAGTTCCTCCTGAAAGATGTCTGATGCTTCAATTTGATAGTCCTTTGGCGAGGCTGGAAAGTGTAGCAGGTGTTGGCAAGTTCTCATTAATTACGAGCATTTGGTCGTTGTTATTGATTGTATGCTCGCCCGAAATTCATGTGGAGGCCGTGTCCCTTCCTGAAAGGTAGCTGTTATTGTTTGGGATATACAACGAGTTTGCGATGCCAGTAACTTAATGGCTGAATGATGATAGCATCTCTGACATTCAGACAACATATGAAGCTCTCATTCTGCCACTCAATAGGCGCATCCTGAAAACGACAGGTCCGCCCATTTCTTGATGTTGTGTCCCCCGGCGATGTATTGACCAACACTGGCTGAGACGGCAAGAGAGTGCCAAAATCAATATCATATGGATGGCCAAGGAGAGCATTTGGATGTGACCGGGTCAGGTCGATATTGGACAAGATTGCAGAACGTTGCAACAACGATAAGCTGCTATGGATACCTCCACCTGTTGAGCAGCTGGAGTTGCAACATCAACAAACAACGAAGGTGATTAGCCTATAATTTCAACAGGTTTTAGAGTTGCCGATAGGGCCACGGAATGCCTTTCGAAAACACGGTGGCTGATGTGATAGTATATACACATGGCACATCAAGTGCCAGGTTGCAACATCTATGTTGCCTGCAGAGTAAGTGTCAATCTGATCCTAACGTTGAGATTTTCTGTCGAATGATGAGTTATTAGGCATGGAGTTAGTATGCGGAGAAACATCGAATTTGAAATGGGGCTTTTTGGTACCTGTTGCTTTCGGGCACTTAATGCCGCAGCCCTTAGTTAAATCAAACCCCCTATCGAACTGCTCGCATTGTGAAGGCGGTAGCCGCCGAGCGGCTTGAGCATGCGGGGAGATTTGAAATTTCTGATCACATTGTTCATCTTGACAATGACCAGATTGCGATCAATGTCTTACAGTAGGCCAATATTACACGGTATGCTGCTTTTGAGAATCTACCTTCTTGCAGTATTGAATAGTCGAAACAAGATGGAATCCAAAGAGAGCCAACCACACAGCTAGGGCAGCTCCGACTGCCGTTAAAACAAATCCCAACGCCACCAAAGCCACCCCGCTGGAGAAGCCTTGGAAGCGAGAATCACGTCCGAACCTCTCTGTGGCCAGTGAAACTTGCAATGCGGAGAGGACAACTGTGACATAGACAAACACAGCCAATATCCAGCCGAAATTACGCTGGAAGAAGGTGGTGTACCTTTGCGAGCCTGACATATAGCCGTACACAAGGTTTCGTAATGAGAAGCCAGCGATACCGAGACGGTAGAGCGAGTTGAGTCGAGATAGACGCAACTCACCATACTCATACCGACTGTCGACGTCGAAGCAGTTGACGATATCCCGAATAAATACTGCCCAAGAATCCCATTTGACCTCAGGGGGAATCAGGCCTATTTCGCAAGCAATATTGAAGTCAATCCTGGAGCTAACGAGCCAGGCGTAGGACAGTAACAGTCCGCAAGCGCTTCGGTGCAGTTCTTCACTTTGGCAAATCTTATCTTTCCAGATTTCATAGCTGAGAAGATATTCGGGTAATGGCTTTATGAATACCGATGTTTCGTGCCATAATAGGTGTTCGTCGGGGATTTCGGTGATGTATATGACACGTCCCAGCAGTCTTTGCCGGTGAAGCGAACGCGCTGGCCGCGGCAGTCCAGCCAGCCAGAGATACCGGTGGATCTTATTCAACTTCGGCGTTCGCAAATCGCTATGGAGGAACGTCTGAACATCTCTCCTTGGATCGCATAGTCGATCATCGTGTCGAAAGATGGGTGGGAGAAGAGAATCAAAGGAAATCGACGAGTAGGGAAGATGGATGGTGTTATCTTTCGAGAACGGCGGGTCTAAGTGATGAGCTTGGCGCAGGCTGCCCTTTGTCCCGCCTGTTGATCTCTCACCTCCTGAGCAGTTCATCATGTCGATTTTCTGTCAAGTCAAACTCGCGTCAAATAACTGTGTAGTCAGGCTTGGGCTTTATTCTATGCTGCGTGAGGCTGCGATGCGGAGTAGATACCTTACATAAGCCAAAGCTGTACCATCTCATTTCTGCCAAGGCTGGACATACAGTTTACAGTCCGTTCCATCAGCAGGTGTCCAAACATTGGTTTTTGCGGCTTCGAAAGAGATTGGTAAGAGGGTGAAAGTCTTAAAACTACCTTACCTCAAACTTTGAACCTAAATAGCTAAATGCGTAGGGTTTGTGTTGTGCGATACTTTAAGAAAGTAAAACCCCTTTAGCTAGCTCTTGATTAGACGATTCTAAAGGTATTATTTTTATTTTTCCATATACATAACGCACTGAGTAACCTAAGTGTAAAGATTTAAGTTGTTTGTGGTCCTTTTCATTTCGATTTTGAAAAGAAAGTACGGTGCGAAGCCCGAGTTATTCGCACTCACGCTACTGTATTGGGAAAAAAAGGGAATAACCAAGATGTTGGGATCACAGCGGTACCCTAAAAGTGGGATATCCTCAAGTAGTGGAAAAGCTTCTCTTGTAAGTGTCTCTCTTTGTGTCTGAATCTAGGAGATTTTCTTATAGAAACGCGGGTTGAAGTGGTTGAGAAGATGTATCCCCTCTGGTCTGGCCGTCGGGCGACCGGCTGCAGAGCCCCTTCAACCCGGGATTGGGGCTATAGCAATATAAACCGCAAGTTCTTGATCTTTCCTACAGGAACAGGGCAGGGATAAAGTTGTTAAACCCTCATTTCTTTTCTTTGGTCGCCTTTTTTTGCTTACTTAAGGAGGCTGTAACGGCGATGAGGGGCATGCATTAGAGCGGATTAAAGCTCTAGCAGGCCTGATCAGGCGAAGGTGAGATACAGGCACACGGCCATTACAAGACAAGACGAAAAGGGACGCCTAAAACCTCCTGTCTGGTTCCACTATTTTTGTATCCAACTGGGTGAGGTGATATTTAGTTGAACTCATTTTGGACAGGAATAGGTAATTCCACTTTGGTAGCCGACTTTCCTCCGCACTTCTGGGGATACCTACGGTACGTATATAGTACACTAGTTGTCTCTGTACTTCTCACTATCATGGTGTTGCATTCTACATTGTTTGTTTCTGATGCAGCATCTACAGATACTAGACGTCTAAATACCAGCATATTATTTAATTGTGTTAATGAACTTAAGAGCCCTTGATGGCTTTCCTACGCCTTTTGTAAAATTGTGAACAAGCAGCACTTCATGGAATATCTTACGGGTTATTCTTTCAGTTCCTGGACGTGCAGGCCAGCGCATGCCGTGTAAACGAGCCAACCAGCATCGGTGTGCTCCTGGCTTGCATAACCACAGCCTCGTCAACCCCTCATCGCAAGGCGTTTTTGGTTTTGCTGACGTCCCGTCTCCTTCTTCAACCGCGATAATACTGCGCACGCCATGGGGCTCTCAAAAATCTTCAAACGCTCCAAGGGCTCTCCACGTCGTGAGGGTCAATCTGCCCAAGTACCGGAGCGGCTCAGTCATGTGAGCTCCCCGGCAGCTGGTGCACCGTCACCTTCCGCGGCGTCTCATCCAACTCCGACTCAAACAGAAGGACCAAAACCGCCAATTTCCTCATCAACAAATGTAGAATCAGAAGTCGAGCTGTCGTTGTGGAGTCGTGCCTACGAAGCTCTTCGTCACGAGGATGCGGAGCTGGTGGGCAGATATGAGAAGCTACTCTCAAAAGAACTGCCTGAGCATGGTACGCTCTTTGGTTCTTGGTTCACTGCCAACTAACGCTGCTACCAGGCGAGAGCACGGCTGCTCCACAAGATATCCCTAACCCTGTCGAGAGCCTAGATTTGACTGTGAACAAGATCGCCAGCGACCCCGAGACCCGCAAGTTACAGCTGGAGCGTATCGTCGAACAGGGCCTGCAGCGTATGGACGAAAAGCGGATCAGATACACCATTCTCGGTAATGAATATGTGCTCAAGGATCAGGTCGTGCAAACTGCGGAATTCGTCTCAGCCATGAAGGTTCTTATTAACGAGGCTGTCAAAGCATCTCCCGAAGCATCTCTCGCCTGGGCGGGCGTCTGCGTTCTGCTTCCGGTGCTGACGAACTTAAGTGCGGCAGAGCAGGCCAATAATGACGGCTTGTCGTATGTTACCTCTCGCATACACTTTTATATCGAGCTTGAGTATCTCCTGTGGCCGAAAAACATCTGCAGCCCAGGCCTAAAGGCGAAATGCGATAGTAATATCGTCGAGCTCTACCGGTATATACTTGAGTTTCAAATAAAGACCGCTCTACGGGTTTACCGGAGTTGGCTTGCAAACCTGGGTCGGGATGCAGTCCGTCACGATGATTGGGAGGCAATGCTTAAGAAGATCAAGGAGCTAGAGCATACCGTATGGGAAGATTCAAGCACTTTAAACACCATTGCTTCGCGGGAAGCCCTGGAACACGTTAATAAGACGGCAAACCAGCAATATCATGATATGCAATCACTGCTCTCAGTTGCAAAAGACCATCTACAAGTCTCGACAAACCATCGAGACATTTCAGCTGAGCAACTTACAGAACTTAAGCTTCAAAGGTTTGTCAGACTTCGCGCAGTCGTAGACCTCTGCTGATAATTATTAGCCGAATGCTCGAATATCGCCCTATAGACCTTCCAGTCGTTCCTGAAGCGTGCTACGATAGTGCCGACGTTCAAAACAGCCCGAAGTGCGAGAGCGGCACTCGAATTCGCATTCGAGAAATGATCACTGAGTGGGCAAACGAAGGCCCTGCCGAGCCCCTTTTCTGGCTTGTAGGCCCCGCTGGTACCGGCAAGTCTACTATTGCGCGCACTGTCGCCGATTCTCTCGCTATCAAGAAGCGATTGGTTGCTGGTTACTTCTTCAAAAGAGGATACCAGGGCCGTAACGATACCAATCGACTATTTCCTACGCTCGCTATGCAGTTAGCCGATGCCATCCCGCCTTTCCGAGGCTGCCTTCGGAAATCACTTGGAGGTCTTGATCAAGACTCGATTGCAAAAAAGAGCCTCGAATCACAGTTCGAAAAGCTCCTCTGGCTCCCGTTAGCGGACCTCTCCCCAATTGACACCAGCCAACCGGCTAGAGTGATAATCATCGATGCCGTAGATGAGTGTGAACACCTTGAACATCTTTCCCGGGTCTTTGGTCTACTTTCCAAGCTTTCGAGTCTCACTACGGTCCGCATACGCGTTTTGCTTACAAGTCGCTCCGATCCTAGGATCCTTGACGCTTTTGAGCCTCTTATAACGAATAATTTTGTTCGCAGGCTAGAGCTTCACCGAGCATTCTCTGATGACACCAAGAGCGATATTCAAGTGTTCTTGAAAACAAAATTTGCAGACATTAAAGCGAAAGGCAGAATCAGGCAAGATCCTTGGCCTGATGTTGAAGAATTGGATCATCTGGTTCAGCTTGCCACAACTCCCGAGCCCCTCTTTATCTATGCAGCCACTCTTTGCCGATTTGTCTACGATGAACAGTTTCCTAGAAACCCAAAGACGCAGCTGAGGCTGTGGCTAATGGAGGGTGAGGCTAACAGGTCTCAACTTCATCAGACATATGAGCCTATTCTAAGCCAGGCATTCCGTGGTATTGAGGAAGGAGACCTTTATTCTAATTCGCACCTACAATTCCTAAGTGCTGTCGTTCTCCTCGCAACACCAATTTCAGCTGAATCTCTCTCCAATCTTCTTTGCATAGATATGGATGACATCAACTGGTGGCTTCCTGAATTACATGCGGTGTTGGATATCCCTGCCGAAGCTAAAAGTCCCATACGGTTACTGCACAAGTCTTTTAGCGACTATCTTCTTCGTCCCAAAGACTCTGCAGTGAGCAAATACCGAGTTGACGCCGCAGATGCACATGCTATGCTCGCAGCGAAATGCATTCAGCATATGAGAGCGGGACTTAAGCGGGATATCTGCAACGTTCAAAAACTGGGAATAACCAGAAAAGACATCGACAAGCAGATTATCGATACACACATCCCTAGCGACCTACAGTATGCCTGCCTCTACTGGGTTCATCACTTGCGGAGCAGCGGACGATCTTTGGATACTGATATTAGCGTATTTCTTTATGCACATTTCCTCCATTGGATAGAAGCCCTCGCTGTTCTGGGGAAAGTGTCGGAGGCGGCACTCGCGGTAATGCAGCTACAGGTTGGTCAAGCTGCATCCTCTTATTTTTATCCTCAATCTAACCTCTATTAAAGCATTTGACCAATACACCTACAGATTTGAGTCAATTTTTGAAGGATGCTGGCAGGGCTATCTCGAGTTTTGGGTCTATTATCGAACAGAGGCCTCTTCAGGTGTATGTGGCTTTGATTTTGTTCTCCCCGGCTGCGAGCAAAGTACGCCAGAGGTTTTGGGATCAACGCCTACCACGTCTTATCAGCGCTCAAGGTGTGAAACTTGATTGGGATGCACAGCGTCAGACCCTCGAGGGCCACAGCGATTGGGTTACAACGGTGGCCTTTTCGCCAGACGGCCAGGTTATCGCATCAGCCTCGTCATATGAGACAGTTCGGCTCTGGGATGTGGCCACTGGTGCTCACCGTCAGACCCTCAAAGGCCACGGTGATAAGATTAGGGACATAGCATTCTCACCAAACGGACAGATAATTGTATCAGCCTCAGACGATTCCACAGTACGGCTCTGGAATGTAGCTTCCGGCGCACACCATCAGACTCTTCAGGGCCATACTGAAACAGTTTGGGCAGTAGCCTTCTCACCAGACGGCCAGGTTATTGCAACAGCCTCGTACGACCAGACGGTACGCCTCTGGGACGCAGTTACAGGCGCTCACCTTTACACTCTCAGGGGCCATAGTAGTGGGGTTCAAGGAGTAGTCTTCTCCCCAGATAGCTGTATTGTTGCGTCAGCCTCAAGCGATGATACAGTACGGCTCTGGAATGTAGGTACAGGCGTATGTCGTCAGACCCTAAATGGACATAGCCATAATGTTTGGAAGGTAGTCTTCTCGCCAGACGGCCAAGTTGTTGCATCAGCCTCGATGGATCATACAGTAAAGCTCTGGGACGCAGCTACAGGTGCTCACCGTCACACCCTTAAGGGCCACAACGAGGTAGTTTGTCGCGTAGCCTTCTCGCCAGACAGCCAAACAATTGCAACTGCCTCATTTGATGCGACAGTGCGGCTCTGGAACATAGCTACAGGCGCACACCATCAGACTCTTAGGGGCCACATTGATAAAGTCTGGGCAGTAGCCTTCTCACCAGACGGCCAGGTAATCGCATCAGGCTCAGAGGATCAAACGATAAGGCTTTGGGATGCGCCTTCAGGTACACATCGTCAGACCTTTAAGGGCCATAGAGGCTCAGTAAAAGAAATAGCTTTCTCGGCAGACAGCCAGGTTATTGCATCAGCGTCAAATGATAGGACAGTACGGCTCTGGGACATAGCTATAAGCACTCAGGACCAGACCCTTAGTAGTCATAGCGACACGGTTCATGGCTTAGTTCTCTCTCCAAATGGCCATGTTATTGCGTCAGCCTCACACGATTCTACAGTTCAGCTATGGGATGTAGCTACAAGTGCTCACCGTCACACCCTTAAGGGCCATAACGACATAATTTGTCATGTAGCCTTCTCGCCAGATAACCAGATAATCGCATCAGCCTCGAGCGATACGACAATACGGCTTTGGAACGTAGCTACAGGCACACACTTCCGGACTCTAAAGGGCCATAAGAATGCAGTTTCAGTAATAATCTTCTCGCCAGATAGCCAGGTAATTGCATCAGCCTCCAGCGGTAAGACAATACGGCTTTGGAATGTAGCTACAGGGGTACACCACCAAACCCTTAAGGGCAATAGAGATCGGAATAAAACCATGGCCTTCTCGCCAGACGGCCAGACTATCGCATCAGCCTCAGACCGGGATACAGTTGTGCTCTGGAATGTAGCTACAGACACGTACTACCAGACACTTCATGGCCACTTTTCCGCAGTTTGGGCAGTAGCCTTCTCGCCAGACTGTCAAGTTATTGCATCAGCCTCACGCGATAAAACAGTGAGACTTTGGGATGCAGTGACAGGCGCTCACCGCCAAACCCTTAAGGGCCATAGAAATGCAGTTACAGCAGTAGCGTTCTCGCACGACGGCCAGGTCATCGCATCGGCCTCGTATGATAATACTGTACGACTTTCGGATCCAGTAACAGGCGCGCACCTCCAGACTCTCGAAATGTATTCTTATCGCCTCAAGTTCGATCCATCGTCTAGCGCGCGACTGTACACTGACTCTGGAACTGTCAGCCTGCTCCCAGAATCCCCAGCTGGTGGGTTACTCCGTGCTAAAGAAGAGATGACACATCCAGCTGTCTGCGGGTTTGGTCTTAGCCAAGACGGAAATTGGATTTTGGAGGATAACGAGAAGATCATCTGGCTCCCTGAAGAGTACAGGCCGAGGACACTAGCTGTGAGAGATTATGTTATGTTCATTGTTTGTCGCTCGGGCCGTTTAATACGGCTTAAATATTTGGAGGAGGAGTCCTAGAACTGCAGGAGAATTCATCAAGCTTATCACAACAAGGATTCATTTAGGATCTTGATAAGCTCTCTTATGGTGTGCCACAGGGCGGGTCTAGGAGGGGAAGTTACTCTCCTAGATTCTCCTGCTTTCTGTTGATATCAAACTAGATTAAGGTTGTTGCCTAAATGTACGTGACGTTCTAGCTGGATCTGAGCTGCTTAAGGGTTGGGAGAAGTGTATGACCTAGTAGCCATGGAGAACAAATTACTAACGAGACTATGTTATAAAAGACTCTAAGCAAGGGAGCGAGTGTAGGGAGTGCCAGAATCAGTCTTGTAACACACTTTGTTGTCAATTTGCGGGTTGTGATCTCGGATAGGAGGCGAAGCTCGGTAGAAACAACTGATGACTTTATTGATCATAGCAACAGCCAACATCCTAAGTCGTCTCAGCTACTTGCTCCCAAGAGTAAACCAGAACGGCCTTCTCCAAGTTTCGGTCTAACGACTCTCGGACTGGTTGCGGTGCCACGCCAATGTAGGCAACTCAAGATCCCGGGGTACAATCTCCAATGGATCTTCTAGAATAATGTTTATCTCCGCTGTTCGTGTTTAATTTATAAAATGCAGACACTTTGGGACCAAAGGGCGGTTCGTCATTACCATATTGTGCCAAAAAGGAGTTCGGCAATAACCACTTCTGTAAAAGCTAATCGGTCGGTCTTCAAAGTTTATTGTTTCAAAAACTTTGACATACTTTTCGCAAATTCATGCTTACCATGTAACCTTTGTACATAGTCATTATGTCGGCCGACTCTAAAGCGAACATCGAGGATGCCTACGCAAGCGCTTTCACCTGACAATCACCACTACACGCCACCAGGCGCATACTCCTTCAAAGCCTTCACCATGGGCGCAAAATCAGCTGCTTCAAGAACCTTCTCAGACGCCTTCCATCCCAGAGCCCACGGCAACCGCTCCTCCACAAAACTAGCGTTTACCCAATCTCTCCTCGCCTTGCCATCCTCCACGCTCCCGCCAAACGCGGCCAGAACACCGCTCATCTGCTCATACGTGGCCTGGATACCTGCAGCAGTGAGCACAAACTCGGGGTTCTCCCTCCTAGCGTCCTCCAGCCTCGCTGCCCCGGCCTCCGCAGCCTGTTTCCAGGTTACGTGCTCATCCGGTAACCTCGCCAGGAACGAGTCCCAGATGGTCCTGTTGAAGTGCAAGTTGTCGCCCAGAGCCAGGTCTCCACGGCTGAGGTTACCGTCGTGATCCAGCGGCTTCAGTGCGAGATCGTCGAGATGGAACGTTCCGTTTACACCTGTAGTAGCGTACTTGACAGCGGCAGGGACAGGGCCGGCCGCGACTGGACGTGAAAAGTTGAACACTTTCATCTGGGCTACCGTGGCGCTCTCGGCTGTGATGAAGGAGCCGTCGCGGTTGATGTAGCCGTGGTTTGCGAGGATGTTGAGACCCGGGCAGGGGGAGCGGCGGTCAGAGGGTCCTGGGGCGATGTACGGGTGTTCGGGGTCTTCGAATTGTGCGTTTGTGGCGGCGGATAGGAGGGCCACGCAGATCGACGTGATTGGTTTGGTTTGCATGGTGGCGAACGGTGAGACTGTCTTGCGATGACAGTGCTTCTACAATATCAAGGGGAGATTTGAGGGTAGACCTCAGTATGTGTATACAACTAACGAGTGTTACGGCAAGTGGTTTGATGGTCGACAAACAATATGGGCTAACATTCGATGAGACGGCAACCAGGAAGCAGTCGCACACATTTAAACCCAATGAAGAGACTCTTAATTCTAAGCATATCAACAAGCCAAGCCGACACTCCCTGCTGGGGGTCAATTACCAATGATAACATTGGCTACTGCTCTTGGTCCGTGGTGAGAGTCCCTGACCTATGTCGAATTAGAGTTTCGTTAAAGCGCAGGAGCTCTGCTGAGGGCATTTGGTTGGCCCGGCACAGTCATCTACTCTAAATGAGTTTCCAAATGGAGCCGAATGTCACTGTAAAGAATGACGAGCCCCTTTATGCTCTCGCCTGCGCCGAAGAGACCTAAGAAGAGAGGAGTTCAGCGACGTTAGTCGGCAAGTCCGGCAACTCATATGAACCGACTTTATTACGTATGTATCCGGGGAACATATGTGCTATTAGACCAGCGGTTCAGAGCAAAAGTATGACACTTCCAGTGAGTTCTTCCGGCAATTTTTTATCAAGTTGTTCTCGGGGCATCGATGGAAACAATCTCGTAGCGAAACTACAGTCATACCGTCCTTCATGCCAAACAATTGAAAACCACATACACAATGGTAATAGATGAGATTTAAGTGGAACTTAGATATACACACAATCTATTGTCAACGAACTATTGCGACAACGCATAATCATCCGTCGTTGTCAACTCCACACCACATCGAACACGTCCGCCACGCAAAAACTTTACGCCTTGGCCGCGCTTCACACACACACACACACACACACACACACACACACACACACACACAAAGCCCCCATTAAACAAACAAACGGACGTCAACTTCACATGCACCACGATCACTCAGCCAAAGTGGACCCGTACTCCGAGCAAACAGCCATGAGTGCAGCCGCTTACTGACCACATCCAAACCGTCATTCACCCTCACAACATCCCAGAAACCACGAATCTCACTCTCTACCCATAAAGTCAAGCCCTCTAAAATACTCCGTCACCGCCAAATGTTTTTTTTTTTTTTTTTCCATATTGCCAGTGGACCACCACCGATAAATGACGGCCGGGTACATCATCCCCTGCCAGCCGGCCACCTTCAACAAATTTTTTTTTTTCCAGTACGTAGCGGGCCGTAAGTTCTTTCGGCTAGAGCGGCCAAGACGGGAGGATCAGAGGACGTACTCAGTTGCCGGATCGAGTAGTGCGACCAGGGGACCGGGGGTGGTCATCATCAGAGGCCCCCCGTGAGACGAACTGTTTACCGGGGGGGGGGGGGGGGGGGGTATGAAAAAAAAAATTTGGGACATGAATAATGGGATACATCGTGACCCCGATTGCCTCGGTCCGCGTTCGCCCGAGACCTTTTCGGGTTCAATTTTTCCTTCTATGTTTTTTCTTCTCTTTTTCTTCTTTTTTTTTCTTTACGGTCTAAGTGGTCACGGAAATAAGCCGAGCAGGATAGTTTGATTTCAATAATTTTTTTGAATTACTAGTTTCTAAAGCAAGTAGGTAGCTTTGTAAAAAAAAGACTGGGGGGATATCACATAACTCGTGTGACTATAGCGATCCTCGTTTGACTCCTCCGCGCGCCATGCAAACATTCCACATTAAAATGAGTGACGCCCTATAAAAAAAGGTATTTGGTTGGGCTCAACTTCACAAAAGTGCCTCCCTCTCTCCCGAGGAATACGGACACGGGTATTCCCAGATAGTATACTGTATAGACAATGATGGACAAGAGAGAAGTTTTAGACGTTGGAGCTGCGGCGCTCGACGTCCTCGGCGGCAGCCTTGTCAAGGACACCGTCCTTGGCAACGGCGGAAGCGAAGGTCTCGTGGGGCCTCCACTTGGCGGAGGTACGGGGGGTGGTCTCCTCCATCATCTTGTCGACCTGCTCGAGAGACAGACCCTTGGTCTCGGGAACCAGGAAGTAGGTGTAGACCAGGGCGCAAGTGCAGAGACCGCCCCAGACGAAGAAGACGGACGACTTGAGGTTGCCACGCTTCTCACCGACCATGTAAGGGGTGATGACGGCAATGATGGTGTTCCACAGCCAGTTGGAGGCGGTGGAGAGGGCGACACCGCGGGAGCGGATGGGGAGGGGGAAGACCTCGCCGATGAGAATCCAGGCACCGGGGCCCCAGGTGGAGGCGAACCAGAAGATGAAGATGGCGATGAAGGCGATCTGGGCGTTGACGGCGGGAATGTTGTTGGCGATGGTCTTGGTGGAGTCGGCGGGGTCGACGTGGGTGTGGTTGAAACCGACAGTGACACCGATGATGGCGACGAGGAACTGGCAGATCAACATGCCGGCGGCACCCCAGAGGAGGATGGTGCGGCGACCGAAGCGCTCGACGGTCCAGAAGGACAGAGGAGTGGAGCAGACGTTGACGAGGGTGAAGATCAGGGACATGAGGAAGGTGTTCTCGATGGCGCCGGTAGACTTGAGGAAGGGGGTGGAGTAGTAGAAGATGAAGTTGACACCGGTCCACTGCTGCATCATCTGCAGGGAAGTACCGAGAATGGTCTTGCGCAGGTTGGAGTTGGATCTGGTGAGGCCGCCGCGGAAGCAGTTGGCCCAGGAGCCGAACCAGGTGGTGGAGGGGATGAGCTGGCGCTCGTACTCCTCGTTGGCGACGATCTCAGCAAGCTCGACCTGGACGTACTCGGAGTCCTTGGGCTGGCCACGGAGACGGCAGAGAGCGTCGGTAGCATCTGCGAGTCTGCCCTTCTTGACGAAGTATCTGGGAGAGTCGGGGAGGAGCATCAGACCACCGCCGAGGATGATGGCCCAGGGGAACTGGATGGCGATGGGGATGCGGTAGGCGCCGGTATCCTCGCGCTCCTGGGTAGCGTAGACGACGCAAGCAGCAAGCAGCAGACCAATGGTGATGCAGAATTGGTAGCCGGCGACGAGGGCGCCACGAACCTTCTTGGGGCACTAGAAATGGTTGTTAGTTGTTGTCCAAAAAAGTCCACTTATAAACAGACTAAAAGCGACTGAAAAGCGCCAGGTGTATCGACTTACAATCTCAGACATGTAAAGAATGACAACGGCAGACTCGAAACCGACACCAAGACCGGCAATGAGACGACCAGCGACGATAGCACCGAGGGGAGAACCAATGCCAGTAAGCATCTGAATAACAACACCAATCATGTAGATGAGGCAGCCGAAAATGACGGTCCACTTGCGGCCGATCCAGTCAGAGACGTCACCGGCAATGAGAGCGCCGAAGAAGGTACCGCAGGACAGAATGGAGACGATGAGGGAGGTGTCGGATTCGCCGATGGCAGTGGCTCCGGGGCCTTCGACCTTCTCGATGAAGGCCTTGGCACCCAGGACACCGTTGATGTAACCGGAGTCATAACCGAAGAAGATACCTCCGAAGGAGGCGAAGGCGCAGAAGGCATAGGCCTTCCATGTGACGGGGGCCTCGATGCGTTCGACATCTTCGGTGACGGCCAGGCCGACCGGTTCGCGGGTGACGCCGCCGGTTTCCTTCTCCATGATGGCTGGAGGAATGTGTTGTGTGTGTGTGTGTTGGAGATACCACTGGAGCTTGGGGGCGGTATTCGAAGCGGACTTTAATTACAAAGGACGAGAGGAAGCTTGTCGGAGGTGGATGAGGAGGTAAGCTCGTGAGGAGGAAAGGGAAACAAGAATGCTGCAGGAAGGGCGAGAAGATGACCTTTTATCAGCCGTGTGTTACCTTTGAGATTTCGTCGGTACGGCTTGGTTTCCACCCCCCTTCCCACGTCCAGTTCCAGGTCCAGGTCTAGGTCCAGGTTCGCGTCCGTGTCAGTTCGTCAGGCGTCTGGTACCCGTCGAGGTGGCACCGAAGAATGGAACGTCAGGCAAGGCAAGGCCAGGCCGAAGAGACCGGCGTGGACACGAACGGGGTGGGAGTATGAGTTTCTGTCGAGTGTGGTGCTTCATCTCCCCATCCGAGGGTCTACAGGTTGCAGTTCACGAGGTCGAGCTCCCATTGGGTTAGACCCAGATGGTTAGCCGTCCCCATATTGGAGCTCATGCTTAATAGGGCCGATAACTCTTGGGGGCTTCCCGACGAGTTGGGAAGGGGGCCGCGGGGCGGGCAGGCCACGGGGAAGGGAAAAGGTGGGAGGAAAGGAATGCGTCAGGACTAGGGGGGGGGGGGGTAGAAGAGTGTAGAGAGGGGGTAGAAGTTAGGTACAAGCTAATCAAGGTACCATCAAAGGTACCTTTCATACCCCGTAGTCTGTCTCGCTGTCGTTGGTCAAAGTTTCATAGCCTATAGCTCTGCCGGATGCCTATAGTGAGTGTTGAGTATGTTATGGCAGATCTGCAGCATACTTACTACCTATTCAGTAGTTCGTTCCATCAGCGTAAAAAGAGAGACAGTTGCAACACAGTAACTGTATCGAGCATTATTCAAATTTCCCCTCATTGCTGTAATTCACCCAAAAGACATTACAGTAGTAGGCATAGGCATGGATGGACAATTCAGCACAGCGGAGAGAAAAACGAAGGAAAAGAAAAAAAAAACAATACAGGTACATAACCCTTCTGTCTTCGTCACGGCTATCGGTGCCGTCGTAGTCAATAGTCAAGAGTGATGGACAGATCATCGACAGCAAGCATCAAGTCAGGCCAGATCCCACTCCCCCAAACAAGTCAGATCAGGCCTGAATACGGAGCACACAATGAGCCGATGGGGGGGGGGGGGAGGAAAGAGAAGGTCACCGCCTGGCGCAAGTTTTAGCGGCTGCAAGTCAGTAGAACGACTCGTCAGCGGCGTGCGGCGGGCGGCGTCTGCCATCCAAGAGCGCTAAAACATTTGTATCGACAGGTGATAAAAGAAATAAAGACAAAAAAAAAGGAACCCCATTTGGTAGTGTTTAGTGGTTTCCGGGGCTCCATAGGCTTAGAGTCTTTTGCCCCCCGGGGACCCCTTTCCCCCAGTGGCTGGCACCCCCCTAGCTTCTTTTTAGGGGCGTAAGGGGGGGCTCTGGGGGGGTGCCAGAAAAAAAAAAAAAAAAAAAAAAGTCTCCTGCTTTGGTTTGGCGAGCGCCGGCTGCTCAAGTCACGAGGCCCTCTCCCCCCCCAGCCACAACAGGTGGACGGAGGCCTACCACTACCAACTCAACTCCGTACTAACCCGTAGTACTTACTCACTTAGTGCACCAGTAGCAAAACACGTACAAAAAAAAGCTGGGGAAATTCGCCGTTGTCTCGCCGTCGCGTGGCGTTTTGCGGGGCGGGGCTACCTGGTCTTGTCGTTGCTGATGAATCGGCGCTAGACTCGATCCAGACCCTTGACCGCTCTCGGCGGTGGCATTTTGCTGTACTGGGATTGAGCATGGAAAATGGGATGAGCACGGGGACAGAAAAGCTTCCCGACGAAAAATTGCATGTCCACTCTGACCAACAGGTTTTCTGGGTCAATCCCGTGTTTGTGTTTTTTTTTTTTTGTTCCTGGGTTTCAATGTTTGCCTTGTGTTGACGCTGATCTCACGGCCTCGGCTCTCAATTTCTTCTAGGGATGATCCGTTGAGTCAGAAATGAGAGTGAGTGAGTGAGAGAACAGTGAGTGAATGAAAGAGATTGGCAGATTTCATTGGGATCTGTAATCCCTCTGCTAGTCTTTTCAGCTCATTCCTTTCCACTGCCTACCAAGAACTGTCAAGGTTGATGACACAATGTTTCAGTCTCAAATTGCTTTTTTTCTAAATTATTTTTACATTTCCTCTACCCACGGTAGGTAGTCTGTAAGGTACTCTCAGCCTACCGTGGACATGTATACTCCAAAGACGGTCTCAAGAACCGAAAACGTTCGATGGGCACCCCCCTCCACGGCGTGGTTAGAAACATATTGCAGCAAGCTCCCCCTGCAACTCAACTCTAAACGCGGAATTGGCATTGGCGAAATAGATCATTTGATCATTCGTGATTCGGACACATCCTTCACACTTTCACTGCAAGCGCTCAGGCGTAGACAAAGGGCCGGGTCGTCAAAAACCTGGGGGTGGCCAATTGATCCCCCTCCCCAGCCCATCCAACGTCGACACCATCGTCAACGCACAAAATGCGACGGGGGAGGGGGACCAGTTGTCCGCCAAGACTGAAGGTGCCGAGCTTGGCTCCGAGCTCGTGCAGAAACGCTGCATACCAACGCCAGTGAGTGATTACATAGTACCGCCCATGGGTGGGTGTATGTGTGTGTATGAGTGCTGCAGGGAAGGGAGGCCAGGCGAGGCATGCAGCAAAGTGACGGGAGGGAGAGACTCGTTAATGAGCTCAGCCCGTTTCTGGTCAAGCGTCCCGTTCTGACACCAGATTTCAATCATCCCATGCCCTTGCTTGTAGATGTCATCGTCACCCGTTGTTGGCAGCGGGTGTTGATGTTATTTGTTGATGTATCTGTAGTTGTGGCTGACATTTGGTCTTGTGTGTATGTTTTTTTTTTCCCATCCTACTAGTAAATGCCCTTCCTCCCTGTTACTAAGGAGCACTGCAGTTTGTAATCTTACAGTGAAAATTTTCTTAAACCAGTTTTTATTACTTGTCCTCTTAAATTATTACCCTATTTTTCTTTCCTACCATGTACACTATGTACGAAGGAGTCCCCACGCACCGCATTCATTCCAATTAGACTCGCCCGCATTAAGTGGAGAGGTGAGGCCGAGCTTACTATACCATGTACTACGAACGATAATAGAGTCGACAATAAAAAGTATCAGAAAAAAAAAAAAAAAAAAAAGAAGGCCATATTTTAAAAAGTGCCCCCAGTATGGAGCCCAAGAGGGGAAAACTCTGGAGACTCTGGAGCTTCAGTTGGGGGAAGCGCCAGAGAAGCGCCGAGAACAGCCCAACCTACGGCGCCGCCCTTTTCCCTTCCCCGGCCGCTTCTGGTGGCGTTGATTGGCTCGACGCCTCCCTTCTGTTAGTGTGTGGCTGCTTCGATTTGCCCACACGGCAATCCTAAGCCCAGCCGCCCCTGACCCAAGTCCCCTGTCAAATGTCTGATCCCTCCCTCATCCTTCCTGAACCCTGTTCCGCTGTTCTACATACTACCAGCATGGTAACTATGTTCAGCGTGTTCTGATCCCTGGCTGGTCTGATCTTGCTAATTTTTTACCGCTGTAGGTAATACCTTGTGTGTACGAAGCGCGTATGTACACTCCCACTCCCACTGCTGCAGCCAGGTACATCCTCTGGGACCATGTCTCTCCTTGACTTGCTGTCTGTCCTCCACGTCAACCCGTCTCGACTCGGTTGGAAAGGCTGCGGGCTGTATGCTGACTCTGCCGCCGCGGACGCAAGCTCATCCCGTGAGATTCAAACGAAGTCGCTAAATCATCAAATCAGAAACCAAAGCTGGACAGAGACAAGCAGGCACAGACGGACGGAGACCGCTGCCAAAGAATGCGGCTGGCTCTCCCTGGCCAACCCCCCCTTCCAGTCATGACATTAAGTCTCAGGCTCGCCAGAGGCTCTCTCTCTCTCTGTGGCACATGTTTCTCTCTGTTCCCTCTAACCGTCCCTCGTTTCGTGGTGCTTTTTTGATGGTCAGATTCCGGTCGATACGGCCTCTGGCTCATTATCCTAATCCTGGATGGGACTAATGATGCCAACCACACGAGCCGACAGCCGAGACAGGCCGCTGGCGCTCTCCCGCATGCTGCAGCATATTTTCCCTCCGGGGGGCGTACGCCACCTAACTCCCTTCTGTCTAGTCTCGCTAGGGGGGCCAGTAGGCAACTCAAGCATCTCTTCTACCACTTTGTAGTAGTAACTGTCATCTATCTGTCTGTATTAGCTGTCTGTAGGCTTTCCCCCCCCCCCCTCCAAAAGCTCGAAGCTATTCGGGCCAGCTCGAATTGGCCCGAATTCAAAAATTGGCCGAAACTGACGGTTAAGAGTCCTGGAAAAGTCGTTGTGGCCGACTACGTGGTTTGATTAGCTTCGCATGCATGCTACTAACATGCAACCGTTCCATCTCATGCTCATCCATCCCATTTCCCATCACACCCTCTTTTTTTTTTTTTTTTTTGTCCTTTGCTCCCCCAGCTTATTCCCCAAACTCTCCCCCCCCCCATCATCCATCCCTCCAATCCCCGGCCCTGGCTCCAAATGGGCCAATGCTCGGTGGTACTCGACCGCGCTAACTGCCTCCAGATCCCTCTAGATGCAGCGTGCTCTTCAAAATTGGCCGAGTTCCTGTCCGCAGTGGATCTGCTCACATGCGCCTCCAGGCAAGGCCGTACTCCTGGGGCCATCTGGAGATATTGGGGTCTCCAAGAAAACTCCAGGAAAAGAAAACTCTAGCATCTCTAGCATCTCCAGGTTTTTTCTCTCACACACACGCCCCCCGCGGTATCCAATCGATGTCACGCCGTTACCCAGATCTGTGGTTGCTCGCCTGATTCCGGGGATGCGTCGGGGACAACCATATTTTTCTCTGTTGTCGCTACATTATAACATGGTATGGTTCTATAGCCGCCATCATCGTGATTGTTGCTGCCGCTGTTGGTCCCATAGATTCTATAGTCCGATCCTGATCTATATGGAGATGGAGTCCAGCCCGTGGTCTCACCAACAAAGGCGGTGTCCTCGTACCACGTTGCCGCCTGACTCAGTATGCGCCGGTGTTAAGGAACAAACACGCCCGAGTGACCAAAAAAAAAAAAAAAAAAGTCTGTCTGTTTATTCTCTGACTGCTGGTCACCCCCCGGCGGGCTCGCAACCAACTGCCCAGTTGCCCAGTGTGTTCCCACCCCCGGCTGTCGGACTGTGGGTGCTTTCCGAACCCATCCCTGGTCGGCTCTCCGTCACCAGGTGCTTACTTTTACCTGTCAAGGCCGTGACATCGGCCCGTCTTTGATGACGGCCCCATCACTAGCGACCCCGGAAATCAGAATCGCTGCACCCAGGCGCGACGGCCTTGCTTGTGCCTTGCTTCGTCGCCTCGGCTTTCGGCCGAGTTTGGGACTGGTCTCGTTTTGATTTTTTTTTCCTCCTCTCTGTTGTTCCCTTTGGGTTCTCTCTCTGCGTTTGGACTTGCCGCGTATCCTCTTTGTTCCTTTGTTCCTTTTCCCCATGGGCAACACACTGGCGCGACATACCACCGCGTTTTCGCCGTTTCCACATATTTGGATTCCCCCCCCTGAACGGAGTGTGCCAACACCAAAAGCTTACAAACCCCGTGGACGAGACGCTATCTTCTCGTCACTCCACGGGGTCTCCGGGTCACGGTCACGGCCCACGCTGTGTGTGTGTCGGTCTCCGCTCGGAAGGACTTTTCTTCTTCCTTCTGTTAGCAAACGAGAGGAAATGGTCAGGCCCAAACGTTCTCTCTCTCTCTCTGTCTCCCCACTGCGGAGTGTACGTCATCAAACCATACACCCCCTGAGCCGAAGTGGACTCATTCAAGAGGTTCCGACGGGAAAACTAGGGGGAAACGAGTCCAAGGATCGTCAAATCCAGAACTGAGGTCGGAGCCAGTGAAGAACCAAAAGTGTGGAACCTTCGCACACACACGAGATCCATCACGTGGTTACGGCCTTGGCCCAGACCGCGAGTTCATCCAGTGTTTTTTTTTTCTTTCTTTTGTCCTCTTTGGTCTGTCTATTTTCCGCACGGGACCACAGTTCAAACACGAAGGCCCGTTGAAGCAGAAACCCCAGTAAACATAATAGGCACCATCTAGTCTTTACACTAGGTCATCCCGACTCCATGGACACGTGAGTAGGGGGCCCTGTCGCAGACAAGGCCTCGTGTTTTGCTTACCTTGGTGCTGACTGATTCTCTGGGCGGTCGTGCGCCGTTCGCCTATACCTTTTTTTTTTTTTTTCTTCTTCTTTTGGGTCGTTCCAAATGCCCGTGATATCTGGCGCGTCAAAGCTTACAATCTATACGTGATGGAGCCAAACCACCGGATTCTAGCGTCATGACCCAACGTGCCGCGGGTGCCAAGTTTGCGAACCGCTAACCGGGCCAGAGGTCCTACACCCGTCCCCTGTCCGTCGGCCTGGCCGCCTAGAGCCTCGGATGTTGAGCAGGGCCACAAGGTCGATGATGCGTTGCGTTCCCGAGTTTTCGACTTGCCATGGCTTAGCTAATTCGTCGAGATCTTGTCGCTGAAAACGGCGGTCGTATCGAGTAAGCAAACAAACCCCTGGTCACGCGATCTCTCCGTCCAACTCCTTCGAGAAGAACAGCTGCACATCTCAAATCTTCAAACTCGCCACCATTTGACCGTTGACTGCCCCGGACTCAACCCGGAAACGCCTCTGCTTGCGGGTGGGGTGTTTGAGGCTCACCATCACTTTGCGATTATGACTGGTGTGACGAATGAGACACCGTCGATCTGGGGGTCGTCCGCCGCCACTCTCCTGCGCCCGTCGATTCGCTTAACAATGTGACGGACAGATGTACTTACACACACACACACACTGAAGAGGTCAAGCCGATCAATAGACTTTTCGATTGTCACCTGCCATTGAGAAACGCCGCACACCTACTACCTCACTGGAAGGATCAGCCACCCGGCTCGACTCTCCCCCAGCCAAACAGCTTCCCCCAATGACCGTGCTCTCGGGCACTATCGCCTGTGGTTCAATCGTCAATTGCCGACTTTACTCTGACCCTCTCTCTCTCTCTCTCTCATGCCGGTACTCATTGGTCTGCATCCCCCCCCCCCCCCAGCTAAAATAAAATGTGTGACGGCGCACCTGCTCACACGAGGCTACCCCCGACTAGGATAAAGGAGAAAACGACGGTGAGACTATCAATCACAGAGACATAGCTCGAGTAGTCAGTCGTGTATTCCGTAGCTCCCAGATCAGAAAAGGGAACACAAGGCGCTCTACCCCAGAGGACCGGTTTCTGGTTCCGATCTCTTCTGCACCTGGTTGAAAAGACGCTCCAGCGTGGACCTCATCCGATCGACGTCCCGAGCCTCCCTCCCCCATCGCCGCAGGACCCTCAGCGCAAGCCGCACCAGCGACGCCCAGTTCCGTGGCGTCCGCACGGGGCCGCCGTTTCGCAGCCTCGCGGCGAGTATCATGACCGCACACGAGAACGCCCTCCTGGCCACGAACCAGCTTCCCCCGTGACGATGGTGATGCGCCGTCTTGACGACCATCGCCGCGCACGTGTCCACCGCCTTCTGCGCCAGCTCGACAACCCGCGCGTTCAAACCTCTCTGACCGGCAGGAGCGTGGAGCGCGCAATAGAGCAGCGGCCTCAGAGTCGACTCGCGCCACCCCTGGAAGCGGCCCTGTAAGTAGAACGAAAGCTCGTTGTTGGCGTGCCTGTGTTCGTCGAACTGGATCAGGGGCGGCAGGTGAGAATGCCTGATGTACAACATCGGTAAGTTCTTCCGAGAGAGCTGGCCAGGAGGGGGGAATATGTTGGAGGAAATTATTGGGTTCCAAATTTAAAAAATAATAAATAATAAAAAGAAAAAGGGCCGAGACTTACAATTGAGTTATCTCCTTTTCAAACTCGTCATACTGTCGCACCAGGACCTGCTCGTTCTGCAGCCAGTATGTCTCGCCTTTGCGGTACAACACGGCCATGGTGTCTTTGATGGTGCGCCGGAGCGAAATCTCGGCGAGATAGTACAGCCAGCTCCGCTCCTCCTCGACGCGCTGCTGGTCGTCCGACATGGGAGACCACGCGTAGTCGCCGGCGTCGTAGCTGGTGGACGACAGAGTGGACGGCGGAGCAGGGAAGGAGTCCGGGTACGTGAAGTCTTCGAGGCCGCTTGATCTCATTCCGAGCGCAGGCAGTATCTCACTGGGGATCTGTTAGATTTGTGTGTTTTATCGCGGGACGTTGGTCGGCAGGGAAGTGGTCATCACATACTTTTCGGCTTTAAAGCATGACCAGAATACCCTCTGCTCGAGCGGTTGCGTGGGCTCCTCCCTCCCGCTGGTTTCCCTCCACGGCCGACGACCTCTTCGGAGGAGATGGGCCTGAAGCCTCGTCGACGCCTGCTGGATGTAGAAGCATGCCCTCAGCGGTCGTAGACGGCACTTCTCGTACATGGAGGCTAAGAAAAGACACTGGATATCGAGAATGGATGAGCCCAGCAGCCCGATGCGCTTCGACGCGGCTAGGTAGTAGGCGTCTGCCACGCCGCAGTCTTCGGGCTCGATTATCGGCTGGAGAGGCATGTCCGCAACATCCTCGGAGGCGGCTGTGGCGAGGAAGCTTGGGCTTGATGTTGGCGGGGCCCAAGGGGGTTGTCAGGCAGGCCAAGGCGCAAGCGAGCAACTAGCAGGGCGTCAGTATGAATATTCACGGGGAAATATCATGCGAAGGTCGCTTACCACCAGACATGAGGCAGAATCCCATCCCACGCCATGTTCCGCCGCTCGCGTCGCGTAGCCCATGAGCTCCCTTCCCTCGAGAATGGGATTCCGGGGGTGAACATGCATCAAGAACTTCTGGCATAGCGGCACGAAGGCGTCGTCTCTCACTCCGGGACCAGCGGTCGCTGATAATAGTGAAGATGGGCCATCTCGCCCCCATGAACCTCCGTGCGCATGAGGGGCGTCATCAAGATCTGGGCCGAATTCGAGTATGAAAGATTCTATCCGCGCATCATCTTCCGGGATGATGCCGTCGAAAACAGGCCAACGCAACATAGACTCACATCGCAGCGCGGAGTAGAGCGTTCGCGACGTCTCCCCGCGGTGGGTGTGGTCGTCTTCGGCGTCAAACGCACGGTGCCCCGGCAACGGGCCGGCTCCGGCGGCCGAAGTTGTGGGTTCCGGATGAAACACCGGATACTCGGAAACTGGCGGCACGCCCTCCGGAGCCGCCGGGGGGCGTTGCAGGAGCTGTTTGATCTCTTCCAATCGCTCCAAGATGACAGCGCTGGCATCTTCTTCTTGCGATTGACCAGGTACAGTGCCATTTCCGTCATCCTCCTCGCTGTAGACACAGACCGCGCGATGGTGCTGGCAGAAGCCGCAAATGGGACGCACATTGTCGCATTTCGTCTTGCGCAAACGGCAAAACTGGCAGGCTGTCACGGCTCGTTTCCTGCGCGCGTAAGTAGTACCTCCTGTTGAGCTGCCTATCCTTCTTCTCTTTCTGACTGGGGCTACCACTTCCGACGCTGCTGCTTGTTCAACATGCTCCGGCGATGGTGAGGATGTATACGTAGATGTTGACGAGCTGACACCCCCGCGACCTCGCCGCGCCCGTTGCGAAGTCGCATCGCTATCCGGTTGAGAACCACTGATAAGGTCTGGGACGCGCATTTTAAGACGTAAGCTGCCGGCGTGCCGATTGAAGGCTTCTTTCGAATGCGACTAATGTTTGAAGGGGGATCTAACCGCAAATATGTGGTGTGCGGGGGCTGCCTCAGGTTTTGGGTCCAGGGCGAAAAGGGAAAAAATACGATGGGGCCAATGATCACGACATCGCCCTAGTTTCGTCCTTTTGTTTATTTATTTCATTTTAAGAAAAAACCAGCCAGCAGCTGCTTCTTATTCTTATTAGTGATACCCCAACTCTTGGCTTTGGCATACGTTAGATGCCCGATATCTGTCCAACAAGCTGGTGTCCTAATTGAGTAACATCTCTCAAACAGGCAATGTTGCGCGTCGGCAAACGCAATGCCACAGAGCAGCTTACAAGGCCTTTGGTTAGGGGAGGACTAACGACCTGCCTTTCTGAACCATTCAACCTGAATCAGACGACCCGGCGCGGTAATCGGTCATCCCTGGCTTACTTCCCCTGTTTCGTGCCGCACTTGTGCGATAACAAGTTTCCCTGGCAGCAAGATACAAATACTGGCGATGGTCTAGCAATTCAAGATTACGTATTAATTTAGAACAATTAACACCTCGAATCGTGGCCTAACATGATGGCGAGCGACACAGCTTGCCTAACAGGCGGCGACAATGAGTTCGGCCCCCGTATCAACTTCAATTGTCGCCCGTTCGACTTTACCCTCCTCTTCGAAGAGGCAGTCTTTCACATTCTTCCTGCAGCCGCGTTTCTGATGCTGATGCCTATACGACTGTCCTCCCTAAGGCGCACGCCGGTAAATTGACAACTTACAAACTCGCCGTGCTGAAACTGTTTAGAACTCTAGGTGTTGAAAATGATTAGAGTACACATCACTTATATTGTCTCAGGCCTTGCTAGCTGTGCTTGCTGTTCTGAATCTGGCTTTTTCTAATCGCCCAAACCAAGACACCCCTCATTCGCACGAGATTGTCTCTTGCAGCAGGCATTCTCAATTTCGTCACCGTCCTCGGGGCGTCGATTCACTCATGCTTATGCTTCTTAGCGAACCTGCCGGCGGTGTTTGCTCCATTTGCCACATTCGTTATCTATAGCATCATCGCTATCGTCACCAAAGATCGGGCTCTGACTCCCAGTACCGCTTTCACGGCTCTGTCGTTGATCAGCCTTTTTACCAGCTCTCTATTATACTTTTGCCAGCATGTGCCAAGTATCATACAAGGCATTGCTTGTTTTGCGAGAATCGAAACCTTCTGCCTCAAAACGCCGTCGAGTGCATTTCTCGAAAGCTGTAACGGTTCAAGCCCAGGCGGGATAGAGCTTGCCACGCAATTGCCTACTCCAGGCTTAAAAGATACCATCATCTAATTCCGGGATGCAAACATCTCCCGGGCACCTGGTACTGATATCATTCTGAAAAGTATTACTTTGAATATCAGCAAGGGGATTACTATGATCATTGGACCAGTGGGTAGTGAGAAATCATGTCTAGTCGAGAGCATACTTGGAGAGACAACGATATCAAATGGGCATCATGCTGCACCGTCACAAAGAGTTGCGTATTGCTCGCAAGACCCATGGCTGCTCAACAATACCGTATGGCATAACATTATCGGCGACATAGAATATGACCCAGAATGGTTTGAGCGCGTCATTTGGATGTGTTGTCTCACAGAGGGCATCGAAGCTATGCCAGGACAAGATGAATACACTGTTGTAAGTAAGAGTGTGCTCTTCGGATGTGAAATGACTGAAAGGAAAGTTTTCAAAAGGGACGGAATCTGTTTAACATCAAAATAGCTTTGGTTTGGACAAGAACTGGGAGTTGAACCTGGCCGATGCATGACTTCTGGCATCCCCAAAGCCTGCAAATTCGTTTAGAGGAAACAATGGAGAATGCAATTGACAAGCCCTTGATTAGAGCAATAGTCGCTACATAACTCTTGCTGGCTTCTAAAGAAAAAAGACATTTCTTCGTAATATCCCTCGAAAGTCAAATTTACTCTACATGGCACCTCAATATTTATCCTTTTCAGACTATCCACAGCCAAAATCCTCTAAAAGGTGCATGCTACTACCTTCAAAGAAATTTTGATTGAGTTTATAGCAACCAAAATGAGGTATACCGTAACGAAGCGGAGAAGATTGCCGGGTCAAAAGTTATGGTGATCAGCACGTCTTGGCATTGCTGAAGCTTGCTGTAGGTTTCACAGGGGGTGAAACGGAATTCCGTTCGTCAATAACAAATAACAGTAAATTGGTTCTAATCGATGGTTCATGATAGTTGAAAGTGGTGTTGTTGACTAGAAGGTGGGGATATTCCCCCTTGGCCTGTCACGTGGGTCTGGGAGGCTTGGGCCTCTCAGCCTGGCGGGTGTTACGGCCAGCTATCTGACAGTAGGGTTCTGCTAACAGAAGGTGCAGTAAGAGACTAACACTGGTTCGTAGAGGTCGTTCTGGTAGATCGTAAGGTTAGGGTAAGGTGATCAGTCTTACACTATAGTAACGAGGTTCTTAGTATTCACAATACTGAGAGGTAAGCTGAAAGTCATTCGAGGATGAATCACAAGTTGATTGCTGAAGAACTATCTAGAAGGCTTGAGCAGATGCTCAAGTCCTGGTCTATATACAAGTCCTGTTTCCTAATGTCTTGGAGAGTCTATAGAGTCGCTCGTCGACTCTATCGACTCTCTTCTGATTAGTCTTTTACAAGAGTCTATAGAGTCGCTTGTCGACTCTGTCGACTTTGTCCTGATTGGTCGATTGTTACGTGACTTGTAACATAGTTCTTCCTTGCCGAGAGGTTTACCCTGGTTCCCGTGATCCTACGTATATATATCCTGTCGTAGCCGCCCGACCTAGTAGGTCTGTTAAGTACATCTAACGGGTCGTAACATTAGGTCTCCCCTCGATGGTCTTATCCTTAAGGCTAACATAAGTAGGTTGTAGCTTCCTAGGTTAGGGAGTTGTTAATCATGCTTCCTTGTTTATTTATGATGCTGATATTATGTCAGGTCGCGTTTAAAAATCCAAATCAAAGAACCTTATAGCTTATAAAGAACTTAGCTAGCTTATCGATTTGTTCCGGTTGCGCTGGCTGCGGCTGCTAGTGTCGACTGCGTCGTTTCCGAAGTTAATTCTTCTCGTTATTCGCATTACGTTGCCGATAAGCATTCTTGCGATATTCACGGTCCTTCCGCGGCTTCCCTCATTCGGGTTCGGCAATAGAAAATAAAAATTAATAATAAGCTTAAGAAAGCTGAAGAAGAGCAGTTAGCTCTTATAGCGAAGATTTATCGTTTACGAAGGCGTCGTAAGGATATTAATCGTGAGGCGACTGATCTTATTCGATCTAGTTTGCAGCGTATAGAGGAGGTTAAGAATAAGTATCGTTCCGAGGTTCTTGGTTTGCAGAGTGCTAGCTCGGAAACTATAGGTATACTTTATTCCCTAGGTATTATTAGCGTCGTAGATTAGTCTAGCGTCGGTTTAGACGACTAGGGTCTAGAGACGTCCTCTAGTATTAGTATTATTAGAGTTCTTCCTAAGCGTATTCTAGGTTCTTAGCTAGTTCCTACGAATCGTCTTCGTATCTATAGTTTTTCTACTTAATAAAGTATTCTGTTGTTTCGTTATTCCTCCGGTAGTCTAGAATGCGTTCTACTTCGTATTCGGTATTATCTATTTCTATAATAATATAGTCTTCGGTATATATACCGTCCGGTGCTAGTTCTAATAATAAGACGTAAAAGACTAGGTAATATTTTATTATTTCTAGTAGTTTTAACTCGTAGTTGACTTTGGAAATTTTCTTCGTAATTTCGAAAGGTCTTAGTTTTTTAAAGTCGAGTTTGTCGCTAGGTTGTTTCGTTTTGATATTTCGCCGTATAAGATAGGCGCTACCTCCCTCTTTTAAGGGTGGGCCTCTCACCTTATGTCGGTCGGCGTGTTTCTTTATTCTTTGCTATACGAATTCGAGTTCTTAGGGTAGTTTTTATTAGATTTCCTTAAGTTTCTTAATGTCTGCTACTGCTTTTATCGCGGCAGAGCCGGTTCGGGGTTCTCTATAAGCGGTAGGGTTAAATCTATAGTTAAGGAAGAAAGGTAATTCTTACATGCTTTCTCTTATTAAACTATTATATACGAACTATATAGTTAGTAACAACTTAACTTAGTTATCCTAGTCGTAGTTTATATAACTCCTTAGGTATATTTCTAGGATCTAGTTAATTCTTTCCGTTTGTCTGTCAGACTATAGGTAGAAGGCAGTGCTAAGGCTATGCTTTGCTCTGAGCTGCGAGATCAAGGATCTCCAGAACTTAGACGTAAAGACTAATCCTCTGTCTAATACTATTTCCTAGGGCAGGCCGTGTTAGCTAATAATAATCCTAAGAAAGGTATATGCTAAGTCTTCTGCCATGCTTAATTCCAAGTATAGTATGAAATACGCGTACTTCGTAAATCTATCTATAACCACTAGTATACTATCGTACTATACTTTAGTAAGTAGTTCTCTCGATTTTAGTAGTTTGACGATAAAGTCTAGAGAGATTAAGTGCTAGGGTGCTGGTAGTGCTAGCAATGGTTATAATTCTCTATATGGTTTGTATCTGCTAGGCTTACTTTTTGCGCAGACTTCGCAATCCTTGATTACGTTAGCAACGTCTTTTCTTATTACTTGCTTATCATAGTATTGTCTGATTCGTTTCTAGGTTTTCGTAACTCCTTAGTAACCGTAAGCAGGTACGCTGTATATCTCCCTGATCTAGTTATATATCCTCCCAGTCGTGCTAGTCTTAACACGGTTGCCGATTATTAAGAGTTTCGCAGCAGGTACGAGGTCGCTATTATCTTCTTTAAGGATAACCTAAGTTTCTTCTAGGACTTCGTCCTTATAATTAAGTCTTCGGCTAAGCGCGTCTGCTCTGCCGTTTTCTAATCCTTTCCTATAGATAATTCTAAAGTTAAATTCTAAGAGGAATTCTAACCATCTGATTTGTCGTTTGTT